GTAATCACTTGAAAAGCACATGTTAAGTTTGGTTACCGTGGAAGTGGGGATGGTTTAACCAAACATCCGGAAGCGCTTGATAAAGTTATGTTTTAGTTTAACGATCATCACATAGTTCACTTTATAGTAACGCGACTGGTGAACATGGAAACCTTTGTGTAACTATTCAGTAAAATACGTGAAAACGTCTACGATTTGTCTTCATAATAATCATTAAAAAACAGCAATGTACTTTCATTAAAAGTGTATTTCTTTATAGATTATTATGAAGGCATACCGCATACTTAGACCTGGTGTATTAATACTTTATTGTTCTGCTTGCTTTCGCTGTGGCTTGCAGTATTGAAATTCCCATGAATGAAATCTTCTTTATAAGAAGACAACATATCTATTCTTACATTTACAGTTAATGCCACGCTGTCCCTAAACTGTAAATGTCTTAACAAATTGAATACTTTTCTCGAGTTTCAATTTGCCGATGGTGAAATGACTGAAAGGCAGATTGGAAATTTCTTCCATTTCCAAGTTTAGTCATTTCTGTCGAAAGTGGGTTTTCCCCGTACAATTCGTAAAGGTACTAATCCCACGTTCGTTACCTAAGCGTAGCAACTACTCGCCGCAACTATAGCGCATGCCTGAGCTATCTAAGCTTCCTACCTGCGCATGGCACCGGAATTCCGCCCTGAAAAGGAATGCCCCTTGAAGGAGGTAACCCATCATGCCCTTAACCTAACTTAACCTAGTGCATGTTGCACCTACGGGCGACCTCCATCCGGGGTGGGTTGAACTACTCATGCATTATAGGGGATCCCAGAGCGCCTAAATAGTCACTGGAGAAAGCCGTTCATGAAATTGGCCATCTACCAGGACTGCATGCTCCTACCTTTCTAGGGGAGTGAAATAGGTTGCATATCCTTCTACCAAGCAACCACGATCTTTGCTGTGACTTGAGGTCTTGCTCGCTAGATCCAGTCTTCGAGGGTCTTCTTACAGATGCTATTTGCATCCTCTACGCTAAGGTACCATTTGTACCCACTAACCCCAAGTAGAAGTTGCCCTCCTTTGGCCAAACTTCACTTGCATGACCGATCTAAGCTATGATCCTGTCTAATCTTCGCGAGGCAACAACTGCAGCGACCATGCGCGCGCTCCTTAAAGCAGTATATTCACACAGAGGTTTTCAAAAGTAAACAGAATAAAACAGACTCGATCATAAGAAAAACACAAGCTAATAACCGATTGTACAAATTCACACCAACTAAAGAACATATTCTAGTAGGAAGTCAATCAAACCAAAACACAAATCAATTGTTTGCGTCAAAAGAACATTTTTATCGCCTCCTAAAACAAGACTATTTTTGAAAATGCATGAGACAACTTTCATAGAGAAGAGTGTAATTATTTGTTTCTCTGCATTAAAAAATAGCCTTTTGTGGAATATACTGCACACCAGGATTTTTTGTGGCTTTTGCCCGATTTATTTAAGAGATCTGGCCTGTTAGCAGGCTAACCTACGTAAAAACAAGTTTTCACTTACGGTTTTCAAAGAATCCCTTGCCAATTATGAAGACAGACGACGTATCCCTTGCCAATTGTTACGATGAAATGATCTGATGATGAGTTCGTTGAACCACTTAAAGCCCAAATTAATTTTTTGAAAAATTCTAGAGATTGATGGTGCACAACCATCGTATCCAATTTTCAGGCTATCTGACGAACATTCCCGGTTTCATGTCGACGACGGCAAGCACAGAAGCAAGATTGGCCATTTCTTACAACTATGTATGTCGCATACGGCATAAAATCGCAAATATCGACGACAGTCAGTCGGAAAATTAGGACTTTTAAGTTTTGTATTTCATGTTAAGGAAATTCCATGTTCTTACCACGCAATTTTTTAATTATATAATGTCGAAATTAGGGCGTTCGTGGTATAGGAATGAGGTTTTATTGATCTGCAAAGGAAATGAAATTTAGTATAAAATTAGATTTTAAGTAAACTTGAACAATTGAAAATGACTTAGTGGTGTTTATTCTATTGTCGTGAAAAGCTTTTGGCTCTTACAATGGTAAAGCATTGCGTAAAATTGACTTTCTGTTGCCAATGACCATTTCTTGGTTTTAGCTGAGGAAAGTGGCCATGAAAAACGTTTTGGAACGGCCATAGTCCAATACCACATTGACTCATGTCCATGAAAATGTGTGCTAAACTGATGGAAGCTTTGTTCAAGAGCATGCATACAGTTGATAGTATTTGAATGCATTTAAACTGCCCATGTGGACGGCCTTGAGGACAAAACAAGCCACGCGTTTTTCAATTTAAGTAAAGTATATTGTCCATTTTAGATCATTGTTCAGAGGACTTCTTTAAAGTATTGTGTTCATTTTTGATCATTGTTCAGAGGACTTCTTTAAAGTATTGTGTTCATTTTTGATCATTGTTCGGAGGACTTCGATAATGTATCATGTCCATTCTTGATCATTTATCAGAGGACTTCATTAAAGTATATTGTCCATTTTTGATCATTTTCAGTTCAGAGATTTTCTAAATGGTAATAATCATAACTAATATTAGTTCACGATGTATTTCTGTAAAGAAGTAACGTAGATAATATACTTACGTTGAGCATTTAATCATTTGTAAAGCATTTCAATGGAAGTAGAATTTTAACCAAAGTTACAGGACCTACAGCTGCGTACATCAAATTGTTCGGTTTTAAGTTTAGATCAACCTCAAGAAAAGGGTCAACTAAAGCCACGATGCTCATGAACCGCTGTTAACCAAAACTACTTTCTTTAATTGTGCGAGTTCACCATCACGGTGATTGATGAATATAAACTACCAACAATTTCTTGTTGTTTCTCAATCTTATTTGGTGACCATTTATCGTCCAACAGAAAAATGTTAATGTCTAAAATCAACCATAGAACAAACATTAGTTAACCATTAAATAAAAGTTTCATCGAAAGGCATATTGCATTTTCATGAATGACCATAAATGCATGTGTCGTTGTCATTTTACAAAATCAAAGTTGAATACACTCTGTAAAAAAAGAACAGTTAAAAAGATATTTACCTAAACTTGGATTCTAAAACATCAAGAGATATTTGACCAACGAATGACTTCGACTTCAGATAAACATTTCTCGTGAACGTGCTGACTTTCACATTCAAATGCCCGTTCTTCGTTTGAGTTGGTTTCTGAATAAGCAACAAGTTGCAAAAATAAACGTGTTGTGTTCTGATTGGTGAGTGACTGGGTGTGCCGCCAATTGCTTGGTGCCTATAGGTTGTTATCTGAATTCATTTTCATATTGTACTTATTAGCTTTCATTTAGTAAGCCTAATTTCCATACCAACATTAGCATGAGAGAGAGAGAAAAAGCAAACCATACCCTACTGTGCGATTGGAAGAAACAAAACAAAAAGGATTTTATTTTCAATTTGCTTTTGTTCTTTCTTATTCTTGAGTCAACATGTTGTGTTTGTGTTTATGCTTGTGTTGATTTATGTTTATTGCTTTCTTTCGCATTTTCTTTTGTCTTTGATTTCCTCAAGCTTAACCAGGCCTTAAGCGTAATTTTCACTAGCGACGTAAGCATAAGGAAAAACAAAGATAAAAGAAAAAAAAAGGCAATGAAGTGACTGACAAAAGCATCAGCATAAGCATAAGCACAGCGACTTGACACAAGCAAAAATAGAACAAAAAAATTTGAAAAGAAAATCCTTTTCTTTTGTTTCCTATAATCTCTGAAGAATATGCTTTGCTTTGTTTTATCGCTTGTGCTTATATCGCTTGTGAAAACTAGGCTTTACAGGTTAGTTTCGTACAGGGTGTCTCAAACAAAATTCTCCCCTTTGAAATTAACTGACGTTTGGAATTTGTATGATTCATCCGTAATTGATCCTCAAAGACCTGTAAACGCAATTTAAAACATTAACACATAATCAGCATTGCACGAAGAGTATTTTATGGGTACATTCTGTATATTTCATAGAAGGAAAATTAAAAAAATTTAAGCATATTTAACAAGCCTTATTTAAGAGCTTTCTTGAAGAAAAATTCTTGAACATAACATTCATAACTTTCGGACAATCTTTTGCTCATTGAACTAATGATAACAAACTAAGTAAAACATTCATCTTGAAAATTATACATCGTCACGTTGTTAACTTTTTCGCCAAAGTCGCATGTCTTCAATGTTGGGATTTTTCCTTAGTGCTATTTTTCCTAGTTCTGTACTTATTGCCGAAGTCTATTGACCATTTTAAAAAGACTCAAGAAATGTGCAATATATGATGTTCAATAAAAACGTTTTACTTTTTTAAAGTCATATAATTCCTTTCTCTTTTTCTCAAAACTGAAAACTCCCCCAAACATGACTCAGTCATAAAAGTTAGTAACGTGACGACATATATGTATATATATAAACGTGCCAACTGATTATTTATTAAGTGGCAGGACTGGCTCAAATTATCGTTTAAAGCCACTACCCTAAAAACAATAATACTCTCGTTAACTTTCGTCGGAATTACTGTCATGGTAACAATGTGGGTAAGTACTCATAAACATACAATATAAACTAACGAAACGACTTCCACATTGTTTTCCCAATAAATTATCTGATAAATATAAACACCATGACCTCCCTTTTCCTTGAAGTAAATTTCAAAAATTCTGTAGTCATAAAAAAGACCCATGTTCTCTATCTATTGCGGATACTGTCTGGGAAGATGGTTCTCCATATTTCATTCTTGAAGTCGAATTTTTTGAGGCATAAATACCATCTTTCGTGGTATTGCCACGTTTATTTTATACTTTCAAATGTAACCCCAAAATGAACTAACTTACTCCAAAACTTCTTCTCAAGACATCACCCCTATGCTTCCCTCCACCAGCAATCCCCTTTTTAACATTTAAGTGATCGAATGGTCTCTCTTCTGTAAAAAGATTTCTTTAACAATTTACTACGATATGAAACAATAAAAAACTCACTGCTGACACAAATATAATCTTTATTAGATCAAAAATCACCAATATGGCTAGAGCGTACTCAAAACAGTACATAATGTAACATACAAAAAACGTATGGTTAATAAAAGTCTAACAAAATTTAGACAAAATAGGAGATAATAAACCACGACCGTTGTTGAAAGGATCACTACGGAGGCAATGGCAGCAATTCCTTGTAACAACGGTGATGATTTTTTACATCAAAATCAGTTATTCAACATAATTTGAACAAAATCAATTTACAAAAATATTAAGTGGAGAACATTGACTGGCAAGTGCTTCAATACTGACAAATTTAAATTGTAGTCTGAGAATAAAATAAGTGAAAGAACTATAGCGAAGAATAGAACATAGTCTAAAAGAAATATGACCTATTCATTATCTGCATGCTACCAAAACAATGTTCCCTACCTACTATTTCGGTAAGAACTATACCCCCAAAAGTTAATCATTAGATAAATGGTGTAAAATTTTGCGAATTTCAGGCATTGAATAAAATGGAAATAATCACGGAGATGATACAACAATAAAAATCCTGACATTTCCTCCAAAAAGTTCATCGACAAGAAACGAGACATGTGTTGACATGGACCTTACGCTCATTTGACCGATACGGAGATACCAAGATTATTACTGCAGCTTGTTGCCTCGGGTGACTCTACTAATTAACTTTTGAAAGTATATCTAATTGGACAGAACAATCACAAAACTTCTGCATACATGTGTTGAACTTTGAAAATAGCTACTTAATTTTTGAAATGAGTATTAAATTTTTGGGTAGAATGTCTTTTATTTTAGACGGTGAGAGGATGCTATGGCGAGTAATATCAAAACACATGTATGAAAAAGTTGAGCTTTGGGAATGGATTATATGTTCAGATTGTGGTGTATGGAAACATGCAACTCCGCCTCATATAGTCCATTCCCAAATTTAATTTAGAACACGCGATACTTAGCTTTGTTGACCAAAGATGTGCATTAAATAATTGGCAGTTATAGGAAAGTCTAATTTACATAACATAAGAACTAAATTCATCATTATTTCATGGAAGTTTCATCGCAGATCAAGATCAAGCCAAATATCGCGCATATGTGAATGACGTCATGCAAAAGCTGGAATAGTAGCAGTTTTCTTTCATTCGTCTCAAAACAATGGTGCAAATGCGTCATTGTTTAACTGTGTACAATTTGAACTTTTTTTGTTCGAAGAGACGGTTAACTCAAGATAAAGTAAAGGATGAAAAAAGGAAGTAACGTGTCTACGTTACATCGTGTGCAAAACTGCTTAACAAATCCGAGCTTCATACAAAACGTCATAATTTTACATTCCTAATTTGTGCGCAGACACATTCATCAAAAAATTATGGAAAAATTTCGAACATGTACAAACATTGAAATGGACATTGATAAAACACAGCAACAACATTAACGCTATGTCGATAGCAAAATTTTACATTTTTCAATTTTCCGGGATGAATCACACCCATTTATACAACCAATTTCGAATCGATAAATTCAAGTGTATCGACATGCGTCTTAAGACAGTGGTACAACATACAATATTCCACGTGAGCCCTATCAACAGTTATAGGACAGGTTACATACCAACAAATCATACTCAGGACAATCACTTCCCCTTTGGTGCAGAATTTAAACCTTGCAAAATTCATAAATCATTAATGAAATTTGCATGAAAACATAAAAATCGTCATTAAGACGACATATAACTTTAAAAACACAAACGACAAAAAATTTCTAAGAATGATACAATGATAGTGTAATAATTCACGACGAATATGAATAAAGAATCACCAGTATGACCAAAAGGCATCTCCAAAACCACAAATGCAAATTCCCCAAAGCAACTCTTACTTGTATACCACTACGAAGGCGGCGATAGGGGGGACGATGATCAGATGCAAGACGTGTAACCACATTGCTTGTCAACAATACCGTCATGACCTGACAAAGCTAACGGCATATGATCACGTTTGATCACATGACTATCGTCGTCTTCGTCTCCTTCACTAAATGACAAGTAAATATTAAATTGGTGTGATAATCAAGACATTTAAAGATAAAAGGTTGTAAATTTTACAACAAAATTACATCATATGATCTCAAGATTATAAAGTAACAAGTAATCAAGTCAAACAAGGAAAAGGAGATCAGTTTCTCCATAATAAAATGCTTGATTTGACATCATTTACGTCATTTTCTTACGTCTTTCACACAGGCACAGTAATTTTTATGAAAGATTGAAAATGCCCCTCTCCAGGATTTGAAAGGATTTGTGGAAGTCCAAACTGAGGACGTCATAAGAACGTGAAAAATCAAAATACGAAACTCCAACGACCTTCAATTGTACACCAAACAATCGCAATTCCACGAGAATCAAACAACATTTGATACACAGAATTTTTAAATTTTTCTAACTTGGTATATCTAATTCACCAAGCTATATAGCGAAAGAATTTTGTTCGCGATTTTTTGAACACACATATTTTAAGCAAATGAGCTCGGTTGCCATCTTTTAAAAACAAATAGAAAAATTTAATTGACAATCAATACTCATTATACCACTTTTACTTAAAACAAAAATACACAAAATATAGAGTGACTGATACAACACGTCAGTAACAGTCAATCTTAATAGAACAAGCATTGCTCTAAACGTCCTTGAAGCAAATTCTCATCAATCAAGTTGTAATTAATGTCAATCCAACGCTCATTAATGGTGCATTGTCTTCAGCTAAACTTTATCAAACGATAAAAACATGTCAGGGCATGAAAGTCCGAGTGTCAATAAATGTAATCTTAGAATGTCATATTATTGAGCTCCTAATGACCACATAACTGAATTCCACGGACATTTAATGTCAGCATTGAATTGTATGCTTTTCATTTAACGGTTTTAGAAATAAAAACACATCTTGGCCAATAACATAGAATCTAGTAATTACCTCTTCATTTTTGTTTCCAATGCAGTCTTTATAGTTAAAAGAAGATCATAAACTTCCCGGCTGCTAGTCTAAACAAAAAATTGAAGCTGTAGCTAAAGATGCTTGCAGTCAGTGTCATAGAATAACACAATGTTGAGGTAAGTAGCTGGATTTTCCCATTCTTTCCAACCAATGAAAATGGTTGCAGAAGAAATTGCAGAAACCTGATAGTCATGAATAGCGCTTTAAGCAGATTAAAAGAGTATGAGCAAAAGGCATCTCCAAAACCACAAATGCAAATTCCTCCAAGAAACTCTTACTTGTATCAATACTTCTCTCTATCGAAACTACTCTACTACTCTATCGATACTATTTTTCATCGTACGATAAAGGACATTTATCAGAAACATTCAACAAAACAATGTGAAATCTTACTGTTAATATAAACTCCTCTTGAGAAGTCTTTTTCATTTTCTTACGACCCTGACCTTTTTGTTTCGAAGCTAAAAGCATACACAAACCAACAAAAATTACAACATTCTGCAAATTTAGACTACAATTAATGTAAATTTTTTGAGTATAAATTCGCCACCTCTTTTATTGCTTGACTTTTCCATGTTTAATTCATCAGATCGGCGATCTCTTCCTGGGCATGCACAAACACGAATCTCAACGCAAGATCGACCAAGAATTGCTCCACTGAAAAATAAAAGAAAACCACTGTCAAAATTTTACAAAGTGTTTTGGATGAATATTCATTGCAATCTTACGTTTCGCCATCTTCTAGTGTGAAGATGATTTCAATTGGTTTCCGTCCATGACCAGATGCACAAGAACTGAAGCATTTGAATGAAAACATCTCGGTGACAAAGTTCGTACCAGCTATAAAACAAACGTTGACCACATAAGGTCACAATTTTGTCTTGCACGATGCGTAAATATTTTTTTATACCAAATTAGTTTCAAATCGCAAGTATTATTTTTGAAATATTTAGTAAATTAGTTAAAACCATTTATCACCTTGAGGTCCGCTGTATGGAACAAGAACGGAATGTCTGCCAGTTTGAGGGCATTCGAGGTATACAGCGTTTGCATTGTTGCTTCGGATGAAGAAATTGCTTCGAATTTGAGGATCTAAAAAACATTGAAATATGTCAAACATAAAAGGCGACTTGCTATGTGAAATACATATAAGACATTGCCGTGCCCTATACTACACATGATCATATAAAAAAAATCCACAAGTTCTATTTAAACGACTATGATATACTGCAGTCTTGTCGACATGTATTTAGTCGTTTCATTCATCTATAAACTATGCGAAGCAAGTAGACTTGAATGTCTTTCCATGATATGGAAAACTGTCAGTCATGACCTACCTTCGTGACTGTTCTCAGCATGATTTGCACACATTTTTACGATATCGTGAAGATTACTTGATCCTTTGAACATCGCAACAGCTCGAATATAGGCGGGCTTCATTGAGTTACCATTTGTTTTAAACTGGAAGGGGCAGTATGAGCCGATATTAGTGTACAGTTTGGAGGTTTTGGGTGAGTAAGTCCAGGTTGCTGATTTCGGGGCGGAGTCCGTTGGTGGTCCAAATGAGATTTCAAAATTGTAGTCTCCTACAAACTGCTTTGATGTGGGAACAGTTGGTAGTTGCGCTCGTTGAAAAAAGCCAGCGGAGCTCATGGGAAAGGATGAGCTAACTTGGTTATCACGGTAAGGAGAATGCTTTAAACAAAAATACGTTCATAAAATTCTATCGTAATCACAATAACGAGCCCATAAATAAAATATACACATTAATACTTCTTGTAAAATCCTCAGACAAATTTGCACGGAAACTTCAGTAAATTTTGAATCAAACTTTGTTGCCAAGACAAAAAAGTTCATCATGAATTTAACAAGCACTTGACTTTTTGCTAAATACGTTATTAAGTTTTAAGTTTGGAAACGAAGACTCTCAAGAAATTTCATAAAATTTAAACGAAAAGTTCGCAGAGACCGATTGCGAACAAAGAGAATGAACTTGCCAAGCCCAAATTTTGATGGAGATCCGAGCATGACTTCAATCCTAAATTTTGGTAGTTTTCGTTGTTCTCAACTTAAAGTAATACCTGATAAGGTCTAGAGCAACTGTTTTCGCTGGATGTGACTGCAGTGATTTGATGTCTAGCACTTGATTGCATACTTGATGTAAGAACGGGTGGAAATGATAAAGGAGACGATGGTGTGGGAGGCAGGTACTGATGTGGGTCACAGCAATCCTAGAGCAGACGAATTAACATTGATCAGAATTAGGATACAAAACTTAATCCGACATTGTTAGACATATATATACACAGGTGTAAAAATCAAAGTTTGCAATTAATATTGAAAGATAATCAGCATTTCTAAGAAATTATTGAATTTCAAAGGACAAATTACATGTCGCATAGGAATACAATGGATGTGAAAACTATAATCCATATGAATCGAAACATTTGATTAAATCAGCTTTCAAAGGTTTTATAGATTATATGCGCGAACATAATGCAACGTTTATGTCTATGGGATACGTTTGTCAATAGGCTAATAAATTTCACGTATCCTGCAAAACAAATAAATTCCCTCTCAATCACGAATTAATCATAAATATATATTCTTGCTTAAAATCGCAATATTCTTATTATCTTTAATATGAAATTCATAATTATGGACCTGTCGTAAAAACATAGCTCGTATAACTGGTCTATAAGCATGAATTGGTCAGAAACAGAAATGGCCTTCGTCGACAAATAAACAGAACAATCTCTTCCTTGTACTTACGTCTATATTGGCTTCCTGCTGACGCAAGAACTCTAGATCAAATTGAAAAAAAGACATGTTCAGACAACAAAATAATAATAATTTTTGTGTAATATAACACAGATGGTGCGCATTCAAGATTGGTTGGTAAAAATGATAACAAACGGTTGCATGACTGAACAATAAATCCTGAAAAACCTAATACTTCTTAGCTGGCTTTCCTTGACGTCACTTGTTGACAATTGAAATTCCATAAGAAACTTCCAAAGGTTAAAATCCTTAATTGACACTTGACATGATGAAGTTAAGCGTGCGTGGGTTTCAAAACAAAATGATGAACTAGCGCGACGAAATGGCATTAAAAAATGGCATACATATCAACTATCTGAAGTATTCTTAATGATCTAGATGCACGAAACACATCTGTTCATACAAAATTATCATTTTGAGGATCAAAGTCTGGTCTCAGTCGTACTAGATATAGTTTCTAACCAAACAAATTTAAATCCTCCGTAAACATTAACTTTATTTGAATAGTCTTGTGACCGTTGATAGAATGTTATCGTCAAAGTTTTAACTATACGTGACTGAAAATTTAGGAGACGACAATGGGATGTAAAACAAGGGAGATTAAAAATAAAGCCACTGCTATTTCATGTGAAGATATCGTAAAAAGTTAATGAAAAAACAACTTTTCCTTAGAACGTTTTTTCAATATAGAAAAAATCCTTTTCATGTTGGTAAATGTTCTCCCAAATGAGTCAAAAGCTCAAATGTTCTGCGCATGCATCGTCACTAAATAGTGAATTTCAACAAGCGGATGTTTTGTGTATTTTACCGCTAATGATATAAGATTAACTTTGCATTCCACAAAAAAAAACCATCAAATGCACCTTCCTTAAATCCAAAAAACTAAATGTCACATTAACAAGAAACTTAGCTTACAATCAAATGTTTAAAAAAAAACAAGTGTAAAATATATTCACAAAAAAATAGGCGTGGTGTAAAGTTATTTTCAGTGTTTTAAATGTTTACACTAAACACAACATCAAAGTTAATATCGGTTTACTTTAATTGTTATGCACGACCGTTAAAAATAGAACCGAAAAACAATTGACAAACAGCGGTCGGCAGTTGTATCGATTACTCAATGAGCTCATGACATGATATATATAAACAAACGAATTTCTGCTAAAAAGGTTTTTATTTCATAGTTCAAAAAAATGGAAAGTTAAAATTCTTTCCAAAGTTTGAGATGAATAAATTTGCCCTGTTATTCATGGTGCTTCTATCGAAGACTATCATTTGGAGAACCATGCATTTTTTTTGTGGATCGCACCACTTTACACGTGACAAACTCGAGAACTCGCTTTACCCGCAGCTATGTTTTAAATAGTAAATTCACACTATTTTAAGAAAAAATGATGCTATGTTTTCCATTAACCTTCATATATAAATAATAAAAAAAAACTTTAATACTTTGACGATATAGCTAGCTATATAGATTATTAAAATTTGAGCAAGGCAATTTCCACAAGAATAAAAATATTTTTTGTAGTGATGACCCAAATAGAAAACACAGAGAAAAGAGAAATTTGCTACTTGTCTTACCGTCTTGAGCCATAGCCATGCCGGGATTAGTGGTAAAGAAATTCCTATGCAATAAAAAACCAGTTTGTATGATCATAAATTTAAAAGAATTCGAAAAGACAAACTTCGACTAATAAAACACACAAAAACTAATTTCCATAATTTTTTTCTAGTTCAACAAATAGTTTTGAGACAACCATGTTGACAAAACTCCCCAGAAAGAATAAGATTACTTACAAGGTTGTAAATATTTCACTTTTGACTTTTGGTTCAAAAGACATTTGTTTTAATCTATACCGGCAACACAAAAACTTTGAAATAAGCAAACAATATACACTTCTCCACGACGAGAAATCGTTTTCGAAATCAAAAGACAACTTTACCCGTAATATTACATAATTACAACTTCAAATGTCTGACTATAAATATATAGTTGATTCGTCAAATTCTATTCATTCGTCATATATTTAAGACAAATCCTAGTATTGTACATGTTGGAAATGAGTGAGAATAGTAAATGTAGGGAATCGTAAAATTAATTCAACATTAGCTTGACGAATTGCCCAGTTAGTGACTAATTTGTACCCACCTTCCTGCGTCGCTGGGGTCAATGTTGTTGAAGAAGATTTGCTCTTGTGGTAATTGCATATTTGTAGGTTCGGCTCTGTTTTCCATTGATTTATTCTAACAAAAAGTTTACTAAGTTAAGTTTAATAAACACCAAGAGATTGGGATTGAGTTCGTATGAATGAAAACCTTTAGACAGTGGAGTCCCCAATGTTGCTAAAGGTCTTTAAAAATTCATGAATACGTTAAGAAAGCTAGACTTGCATAGTCACAAAAAATACTCACTATAATCCCAAGGAGATTAAGTTTGAGAGCACATAACTATCTTTTTAAGCGTTAAATAACAACAAGCGCCATGAGCCACACACTTCAAATTTTAACTCAAATTTTGATTATTAAAAATCCACAGCCTAATTACGTGCAACTAACAACAATTTCACTTTCATCGATTTGTGTGAAAATATATCTCACCGCAAATTCATTAAAAAATGATTGCATCATTAGTACGTGTTCCCTAAAAATTCATTGTCGGAAAAATATTCGAGATTTCCAAGTATAATAATATATAACAACATTTTCTTGCTCCAAGTTAGTTAGAAAAAAGTGCCATGTTTTTCCCGGTGAACTTTTGAACTTAACAATAAGTCAATAATCGTGAATGGCACAACGAAGTTGGAAATATATTAATGAAAACATTAAGGTTACAAAAAAACAGAGTGAAGCAAATTCATATTTCACGAGTTCGCATTACAGGGTTTTCTGAACGATTCGCATAACCCCTTCTCTTTCTACAAAGACGATTGTCGGTGAGTTATCCATTTCATTAGCGAGTATGTTAGTTTAGTGCACAACGAGGAATCATTATCTTAAAGCTTTGACACTATGTTGCAAGTTGAGCTGTCGTGTAGTTTTCAGCACAGAAGTAGACGTATGGATTACGAAAAACATGTGACTTTAAATGCCACTGAATGTTTGCGTGCCAAGAAAAATTTACAGTGACCATGTTTGTATGACTTGTTTGAAATGGGACATCACATGATTTAAGTATGAGGAAATTGCAAATACTGAAATGAGCCCAAATATTATACACAATTTGGACGACTCATTTCGTTCCGCTTTGCAACATAAAATTTTCTATAAGAAACTTCGATGAGACATTCCCAAGAAAACTAGCCACACAAATGGATTCATACGACTGGCAACACCAAGCAGTCATCCAGCGACAGATACAATGTACAAAAAAGTGCACTATGAAAAATATGCATATAATAAATTGGGTTAAAAGTCTTCAGTTTGTAAGTCAGAAAAACGAGAAAGTCGAAAAATATTCTTAGAAGCAAGGGGATCAATTGTTTTTATCGTGTTTACAATCCTTCAACACCGTTGACACATAGTACTAATGAATTGAGTATAATGCTCTAAATATGACGTCGTGCCCTTTGACTGAAGAGCCGATGTATCAAGAAAATATCGTAGTGCACACAAATCAAATTACGTGTAGAAATATGAAATGGGAGAAATCGAATTTGTAGTTATTAAGATACAATACTAAATGCAAGATCCATTTGTATAATTACTAAATTCTGTACGCTAGCCTTCAGTTCGCAATATTGCTTGTAACTCGATACACATAGTCAGCCGATAAAAAAGCTTAAACACAATCAACAATTTTTAAATTTTGAATGGTTTGAAACGTAGTGTTTGAAATTAACTTGCTTGAAACGTAAAATTTGATCAACAAAATCACCTATTCAAAGTAGCAACATCGTCAAGCCATTCATAAAGTGTCATAACAAAGTGCAATACCGGGGGCTTTAAACGGTTCAAATCAATTCATAGCAATTGATATAAAAATGTTTCCTCATCAAAATATTCATTCAGAAACGACAACTGAATAATGCTAATTCCACATATTAAACGCATGTAAATGATAGTGTCGTCATAATGATACTTTTAAAATGTGAGTATGAGTGTAGCAAATGATCAAACGTTATCTCCTTTAACAACGGACGACTGTAATTTCCGCTTTTATGTTTAATAATCGACGTCTATGCTCTTAAATACATGCATGTACTAAGCTAAATCAAGCACTAAAAATCATGAGTGAATTTGGCACTATTGGCAATCTATAACAACAATCAACTGTTTCAGTCGCAGCAGCAAATTAAGTATGAATGTTATTCTCTACGAACGCTAATTGCAATAATACTTGTACGTTTATAAACAAACGAACGTCATTCCATACTATAACCTGTAACTTTCGAAAAACTTTGCAAGGCGTCGAAAATTTTCATTTAAATGTATTTAATAAGGCACAAATTTCATCATTAGCGTTCGATAAAATGGAGTTTCAAATGTCGGTCGGCATATTGTATATTTAATAAATATAATAAAGAGAAGTGAAGATAAGAGACTAGCTTGGTTTAATGGCGTAGAAAAGCTTCTGCTGAACAATATAGAGTAAAGATATAAAAAGCCTACCTGGTGATTTCAAAGTTGTTCCTTCCTCACCTTCTCTCATATACCTCTTGGTTGCTAATGCGTCTAAATTTTCGAGGAAGAAAATTAACATTCGAAATCGGTTTTGTAGGCACGTGTTTAGAGATATCACGTGAGCCATCATGTTGACATTATTGGTTATAAAAGTTTTTGACGGGGGGTGTATAAAATTACACTAAATTAGATCAAATAGAGAAAGGAGCAGATGTTAAATAAAGGTTCCTTCGTAAATAAATTAAAAATCCCTCTAAGGCAATTCGGAAAGCAAATTGTTTCCAAAGTTTTTGTGTCAATTTAATGTTTTCCTTTTATTTGTTGCTTTATTTATCAGCTTTATTTATCAGTTTATTCATGCGCGAAAAACAATTCTAGCAACTCAAAAGTATTTTTCTGGCTAAGGTTGTTTTAAGTTGCACAATACTATTGAAGTGCTTAGATAAATTCACTTAATATAATAGTCATGATGATTCAGTTTTGTCGATTTTGGAGTACCTCGGGCGTGGGTTTGGATGTGTTATTAGACTTGAAAAAACAGCCAGCATCCTCATATCATTATCATAACAAGATAAAATTCAAATATTTAAATGCCACAACTATTGTGCGGCATTGATACAAATATTTACCGTAACAGGAAGAGATCAAAAAAGTATAATTAATGAGGCGTTAATCCCCTTTGCAAAAATGTCATTAATAATTTTATAAGTCACACTTGGTTACAGTATACTCATTATAATGTGCCTAAAATCAGACAAGTCTGTGCAAGGTCTTTGCTTTGTAACTTAGCAACAACAAGTGTCTTAATTAATCAGATATGGCAAACTATATACTATTTGTGTGAAAAACACAAACAGAAAAACTTTTAATGCCAACTGAACGTTTATACAATGCTATACCTGTCTTATTTGTCTCCTAAAAAACTGAATATTGCTCACACTCGTAATGTAAATGTTTCAAGACTCGACTCATTGGGAAGTGGCAGTTGAAGATTGAATGTATGTTGAGGAGGAAATAAAAATTGCTACCCATGCTGCAAATCATACCTAGATATTATTAAAAACAGATTTGTCCGTCAATCAGTCAGAGGGAGTCTCATTGTTAGACGAGCATTCCCAAGACTCCAACTGAAATACGTCTTTTTGGTCGTAGGAGCCAAGTATATGCTCAAGCATGTGAAACACACGAGATTTCGCGGCATCCTGTGTATCGGTAATGTCTGTCTGCGTGTAACCCAGAAGGCTAATTGATCATTTTGGTCGCATTTTGCCTTCTGTTTTCTAACTTTTAGGTAATCTCAAAAGAGGCAGTAAGAAATGTTTGCCTAGGAGCAGAAAAGATTGTTGACGATGTTTATTGATGCATTTCAATTAAAAATTAAAACATGACACACCACTAAAAATTATTTATGAACACAATTAACATTTTGCCAGTCATTTCTAAGTATTTTTATGTCAATTTCCGAACAAGTAGCATCTTTGAGGTAGGCATTCAATTGAAAGTTTGACATAAGTGACATATAGTGAGAAAAAAACTCCAGTTAAATTGCACAATCCAATCAAATCTTTCACTTGTCTATTGGCCAACTTTACCTCCTAACGAGAAACTAAAAATTAAACTGTGCTGTTGGTAAAGCATTTGCAAAATATTATTTAAGTTATATAATCGACGTTATTTTTCATGTAAAATTCAAAGTGCATAGACTTGAGATATGTTGTCCCATAGAAGAAGAAAGATTATGCAAAAATTGCATAATGGATCTCCTATCAGCACAATGCTATAAAGATGAATAATACTCTGTATATTATCATTACGATTAAATTTTTTGAAGGACCAAAATACAAGATGTATCAATGTTTTCATTTGGCTCAGTGATGACATTTTATAAATAGGCATCTCTTTCCTTTAGATTTATACAGTAAGTTAAAATTGAGACAACCACAATCGCGTGGTTTAAGACTGTAGTTATACAATATCAAAATTCACACCCAACTGACACATGCATCGACTCGTCAACGATGGCCTTTTGACCGAAAAGACAAATTATTTTGTATAAAATAACTACTTTACCTTCACGAAAACATTCTAATTATGAATTTAGTAAATAGCAATGCTCCATGCTGTGTTCAATATCAGATGATTTAAATGTGACTGTACACATAGCACCGCAATGACAAATCATTTGTATGAATGCAAAAACTATTTCCAAAGTATGTGCTAACTTTGTCCAAATTTTGACTACAGTAACGTGTGTGTAAATTATGTCCAAATAATGTCAAAATTGTTGTCAAGCTTTGTCCAGTCGTCAAACCTTCAAGATCGTACATAGCTGATGTTTTCTAAGTCTTCACGGTTATTTATTTGTCAACAATATTCTGTGGTTTCTATTTTATATTGGTTCCAAATACATCATTTAACTTTCAGAATTTTTTTATGTCTTTTGTGAAAACGTTCAAACTTATTGGTGTGGCACCTTACTGTTGTTTTATTTACTTTTTAAAAACGATTGTTTGTATTGTAAACAAATCAAGTCAACTCAATTCAGTTATTTTACTGCAGGGTGTATCTCTTTGACACGTGAGTATAATCAGAAAATAATTGGCAATAAGATTCAATAAGCTGTTGACCCTTTCAAATGCTGCTTTCAAAGGTTTTATTATCGTTTTCTCCTTACTTCGTGACTGCAACACCTAAACTTGAATTTACTGTTCAAACGCAATCTGTATTTTTTAAATGTACCAATGCTTCTTGTCATAGCAAAAAAAATAAATTAAATATATATTGACAACGCGACTTGCAAACAAAATCAATTCAAAAATTATATTTTCTTAAACGTCTAGCCAATTTTCATAGGAATGCAACCTACAGCTGTGCAATGTTGCGTTCACAGAACAGTTTGCATTCCAACCGTCCCATAGTACGCCTATTTTCGCACACTCATTCCTTTCTTTATTTGCGTTTGTTAAAGACAAAATTTAAAAAAATGAACATCAATACGAGGTGCAATAGTTCAGCTCAACGCATTAGTAGATTATGGCGTTTTTTCCAGTTCTTAGCTGATGTGTTTTTAATACACGCATTTTAAGGCATGCCTGGTCGCATTTATTTTTTCCAGATTGTCCCACGGTGATTTTGTGTCAAGGTCTCTTTTCCAGCCTCTGTCAAACCCCTTGTGTTGAAATTCTCAGATAATTAAATATAGTCTAATTAGAATTTGTTGACTCCTCCATCTTGCACATGTTCATTTCATGTGCGTGCATTGCTGTTAATAATTTTTTAAAAAAATGTGCACGATTAGTCCATTGCTGTAAGTGAGTGAACAAAAGCTGTAATGCGGTAACGATTGAAGCTAAGACTCCGGGTGCGTTTGCATTCTTGCTTAACGACGAATTTCCGTAGTCCACATCTTCACGGCAGTATCGCACGATAACTGTGAGAGATGACGTGTAATCATCCAATATAAACTTATGAGGACAATGCCGAAAGGACAAAACGCTATGGGTAATATTGTGACGGGGAAACTCAGTTAAGACAGTCTCAAACAGAGGTGATCATCATTTGAAATTTTCTTTTAACAAATGCTAGGAGTTTTTGTTTATTTAAAGCGTTCTCGTAGAGACAAGCTTCCAAATCGCTGGCGTCAATGATGCCATAGTTTATCGTAATCGTGCACTTAAAGACTTCGTTGTAACATGATGTATGCAGCATGCTGGGAATTGCATTGCTCAAAAAACACAAAATCATACTTAACAGAATTGATACTTTTGTCATTTATAAGAAAAACTAGTTGATGCGATAAACTGGTCACGTGATAAATTAGGCAGATTTTCACAACATTTTGAACTTTAAAATTGAAAAACTCATTTACGATGATTGTAAAAAAACAGGTAACGTCAATAACAGTGACGTTAAAATACAAGGTTTTCTTGGGAAATCTTGAAAAAAACTATAAATCTATGATGACACAACAAAGCTTACGTAACCAACTTTCTTCACTTGCTTTGCCAAAAATAGAGAAAATTTTTTTCTTTGTAGAAGATTAGTAATCTTATATGCATTTATCTGGACATGCCAAGTATGTGAAACTTTGATGTAGCTTGAAAAAATCAACGAAGCTGTCACACGGAAATTCGCGTTAAGGTATTTAAAATGAAACACGCAGAAAGTAGAACAGTTTATGTAGATTTTAATAATTACGTTCACTTGTACGTAAGTATCCAACAAACAATCCAGGCAGACACGTTAAAAAACAATTTATGTTGGTCATTAGCAATTAAGAAACTCTACAACAAATGTCATCTGAATGGTAAAATTTCCATAATTTCGTAAGAGCACAATGGTTATAAGACATTTAAAATAAACGACAAATTTTTTTAAAGCTAACATGTTTCGGCATACTTTATGCCATCTTCAGTGCGAAGTGAATAAATACAACAAACAAATACAACATCTTAACACTATCTTTGACCTGTAAATAGCTATTCCTACCTTATCATATATTTTTCATTTTCTTTGTAATTTTTTTTTTGTAATAAAACCTAAAACAAACAATTTATAACACCTCATTCAACTGTAAATAATTATTCATAACTAATCTATATTTCCGCTTTATCACTTTCACTTATTATCATGTAAACTTCCTGTATTTATTCACTTCGCACTGAAGATGGTATAAAGTATGCCGAAACATGTTTGCTTTAAAAAAAATTGTCGTTTATTTTAAATGGTAAAATTGTGCATCCTTTCAGTTTATGAAGACAAAGATAAATTGGTGAAAACATAATTCATGCTAAAAACAACTCATAGTAACAGAAAGTCTTTGAGCGATCATCTTTCCAGAGAGCAGTATGCAAACTCGTTTGAGCACGAATTCTGTTTTGCTAATCCTCATAAACTGAAAGGTGTCGCAACTGAATAATTAATTTGGCAAATAATAATGTGGATAATATGGCAAATCTTAAAACAGGAAATGTTTCTGTCCACTAAACTGTCTACCATCTGCGCACAACTAAGTACTAAGGAGTAAAATAAGACAAAAGCGTACGAATTGAAATTGCATGAAAGATGTCCGTACAAACATAAAAGAGAAAATGTGATGAAATGAACGAGAACCATACAATTGAGTATAAATTGCAAATTGCACTTCGGTTTAAGTACGACGCATATTAATGCATACTTAAAACTAACTGACAAATGAGTGGTCCAAAGCAGTGTATATTTTTGTTTAAAAAGTTAAAGCTCGATCTGCACTGATTTTGCAGAATTGTAGCAAACACATTAACATAAAATTGAATAGTATTGTCAATTATTATTGCACCACTACTAGATGGCAAGAGATACAATTTTCAGCGAACAACCTGAAAAGTAAACATTCACAGTATTTCTGGAAAAAGGCGGTCAAACGTCAACGAGTTGAAGTTTCAAGTGATGATTCATTAGATAATGACAATATATATAAATATATATATAATATATACAAAGTGTATATACAATGTGCCCTCCCGGCTATCACCACAGTACAATGGTGACTCCTGCACTTGGGACACAGGACGTACGGTTACACATTGCATGGATTGTATTGTAGAGTATATATTATATATATATATATATACATCAAAATATTTTCATATTCTGCGCTCGTCAGAATATGGAATATTATCGTGAGGGTGGATCTTAGCGCTTTAGAGATTCATACAGTTGTTGGTTGGCTAACTGCTCCTTTGCAAATAATCACTAAACAAATATGCTTAAAAATTACAAGAACGTTTTGTTGGGAGTTTGTAAAACTTGGTTTGCGCATATTTGTTCGCATTTCTGTGGGAAACCAGTCATACAAGTGCAAATGTTATAACAATAGGGTCTCAATCTCGTTTTGTAGATTCTTATGTTTGAGAGGCTGGTAATTGCAGGCTTAAAGTAAACAATGGCAAGTACACTCTGCCAGTCGAACTTCATAGTAATTTGGGAATGCTGTATTATCATTGGCAACTCTATAACACTGTAAAAATTTTAGTATATGCAAATGATGAAATCATTATAAATGAAATTATAGCTATGCATTTTGTGGAATGTATAGCTATAACATATAAAAATTAGTATAGCTTATGCACTTGGGCAGCAAAAGAATATGCATGGTTTAAAACACCTACCAAGTCACACTTCCTAAGGTTGATCTTGGTTTCTATCAATCATCATCAATAATTGACTGCTTTGAGATTTTCAATCTGTACCACATCATACACCTTATACAACAATTACATCACTATCATGTACACGTGCAAAATACACCTTGAGCAACACGCTAATACGTAAATATTTTTTTACTTATGGCGTTATCATTGTGTGAAACCTAATGCCTGTTGCTACAAATCTTTACACTCGACAACAAGCTGTGCATGGCCTGGCAAATGTATTAAAAATCCGAGGTGGTCTATTTCTTAAACATAAAGCATGTTTCTTAAACGCCTGCTAGCAAAAGCATATGAGTAATATATGTATTATTTAGCATGCTTTTGCATCTTTATGTTAAATATCTCTTCATGCGTCTACAAATACCACAATAATTACTAGCCAAACTTTTTGCACCATCGCAATAGAAACTAGGTTTGGTATGTTTTAACTGTTCGCATTATTGCAACTAAAATACATGTTTGTTTGTTTTTTCAAAATATGTTTCCGAGGTTCATTCTGGTAAATGAGGCTGCATATTGTTTACGAAATCAAATGGATTTACTGGTGTTATTTGTGAAAGTGTTAAGTTGTAGAGTCATGTTTTTGGCACGTGAGTTTCGTACGTCAAGTAAACCACACGTCATTTATTAATATCTTGTATGCAACAAGTGATTTCACGAAATCAGGTTTAAGACACGTGAGTTATGAAAATCATAAATGAATTATTTTAAAAGCCAACATATACCAGTATGTCATGTAAAAAACATCATTATATGGCAAGCTTTCTTTCCGGCTAAATGACTCGCTTTGATTGGCTCAGAAACATTTTTGTCCGTCCATCATTTTCCGTAATGGACCACGGTCCAAAACACGTAATTTTACAGTCAAATGTAAAAAAAACTTCGTCATGCAAACAGCAAAAACGCAAAAAAAACGAAACAAAAAACTATTTACGAATGTGAGTGGAAGGAAAAATGCTCGGAAAACAGTTTAATTATCGAGACGATACAATTTGACACAATTTATTTTGAAAAGTGAAACCCAACTGGTAAAAAACAGCAAGGACGACAAAGAAAGCAAGCTTCGTTTGAAGTGAAATAATGCCATATAATAAACCTTTATATAACCTTGCTTTCTCGGTGTTTACGGAGAAATATCAGACTCCTGTCTTTTTGTACAAACCTCGCCAGGGATTGGTCTGTACAAAAAGACGTCGGTCTGATATTTCTCTGTAAAGACCTCGCACTCGGTTATTAAGGGCTTTGTATAGATCAGTGGCGAAATAAAGGTGTCTTGCACATAGAATACAGAACATAGAATTATCGTTATAGGTTAGTAGCTTGTCAAATTGTCATTAATTGCCAGAGAAAGTTGCAGAAATGAAGGCTTACTTTTCAGGAATAAATGAAACAAAAATAAAATGCCCAACATGAAGAAATCTAAGGTAATTTTTTTAGTCGCTAAAATATTTTTTGTAAGTCAAATATTCAGATATTTTAACTGTGAGAGGAAGCAAAACTTAGCGCACACTACGTGATAAGCATTCTAAACGTCTTCTCGATGCCATAGACAATGATGACATAAAGGTTATCAACACAAATGGAGCAGATCTTTTTGACTATCTTTGGTATTTTTATCTAGAAGGTTATTACCACAGTGCCCGCATTGCCTCTAAAATAAGAAAATCTATACGGGTTCCTGGCTGTAGGTAAGTCACCCCCATAATCCGCCACTGCTAAAGATATATCTTCCAAGATATATTGGATATTTTACATGCAGTTTTGCAAAAATTGTATAATAGAAAGCAAAAAATACACAGTAGAAAGCAAAAAATACACAGTAGAAAGCAAAATATAGGTTCAGGATGGAAAGCAAATCTAGTGCATGTGAAACCTTTACTTGACATAGTTGCTCAGTGAAGCAGGTTGTTCTCATACAGAGTAAGGAAAGATCTTGTTCGCCGTGAACAGTTCGCGTTTTGAATTTGTTTTTTTGCTGTTTCTGTTAGTTTGAGGTGATAAAATTTTTACAGAAGAAATTATGACCTCCAACACATACAAAACAAAATAAAAGAAATGCCCATTCCTTATATTTTCTGTCCACATATCCTTAGCCAGCCAAAAAGTTGACGACAGTTATTATGTGAATCGTCTCTCCATGATATTGGAAACTAAACCATGGGAATATAACTACCAAAGAATAGGTGCATAAACATTGATTCATTGAACGTCATCAATAAGTTTTTTTTTATTTATAACCGAGTTAAAGTTTATACAGTAACTAAGCAGGCTTTAACATTTGCGATGGGGGCGTACTTTTGAACGCCGAAGAAGTGAGGTTTTTTAGGGGGGGACAGAGGGCATGCTCTCCCTAAAAAAATGTTAAGTATTCATAGCGACAGTGTTTCTGGGTGCGATTTCTGAAAGTTATTTGTTACAGGAAAAACGTGATTTTTATTGTTTACTTAAGCCTAACCACTTTCCAGTGTAACGTAAATTCCAGTGTTTCTGTGGGTAAAGGTGAGAAAGAAAGTTTTGATGGTGAGAACGAAAAGTCAAGGGTGAGGTTGAAATGTTGAGGGTGAGAATAAAAGTTGTGAGTTGAAATAAAAAGTCAAAGGTGAGGGTGAGAATAAAAGTTGTGAATTGAAGTAAAAAGTCAAGGGTGAGGATGAAATTTTGAGGATGAGAATAAAAGTTGTGAGTTGAAATAAAAAGTCAAGGGTGAGGATGAAATGTTGAGGATGAGAATAAAAGTTGTGAGTTGAAATAAAAAGTCAAAGGTGAGGGTGAGAATAAAAGTTGTGAATTGAAGTAAAAAGTCAAGGGTGAGGGTGAAATGTTGAGGGTGAGAATAAAAGTTGTGAGTTGAAGTAAAAAGTCGAAGGTGAGGGTGAAATGTTGAGGATGAGAATAAAAGTTGTGATTTGAAGTAAAAAGTCAAGGGTGAGGATGAAATGTTGAGGATGAGAATAAAAGTTGTGAGTTGAAATAAAAAGTCAAAGGTGAAGGTGAAATGTTGAGGGTGAGAATAAAGTTGTTGAAATAAAGTCAAAGTGAAAATGAGGTGGAATAAAGTTGTGAGTTAAATAAAAGTCAAGGTGAGGTGAAATGTTGAGGATGGAATAAAGTTGTGAGTTAAATAAAGTCAAAGTGAGGGTGAGAATAAAGTTATGGAAGTAAAGTGGTGAGGTGAAATGTGAGGTAAATAAAGTTGTGAGTTAATAAAAGTCAAGGTGAGGTGAAATGTTGAGGATGAAAAGTTGTGGAAATAAAAGTCAAAGTGAGGATGAAATGTGAGGATGAGAATAAAAGTTGTGAGTTAAATAAAAGTCAAGGTGAAAAATGTTGAGGTGAAATAAAGTGAAAAGTCAAAGGTGTGAAAGAATAAAATAAAGTCAAAGGTGAGGGTGAAAGGATGGAATAAAGTTGTGAGTTAAATAAAAGTCAGGTGAGAATAAAGTTGTGAGTTAAATAAAAGTCAAGGTGAGGATGAAATGTTGAGGATGAGAATAAAAGTTGGAGTTGAAGTAAAAGTCAAGGTGAGGTGAAAGGATGAGAATAAAAGTTGTGAGTTGAAGTAAAAAGTCAAAGGTGAGGGTGAGAATAAAAGTTGTGAGTTGAAATAAAAAGTCAAGGGTGAGGATGAAATGTTGAGGATGAGAATAAAAGTTGTGAGTTGAAGTAAAAAGTCGAAGGTGAGGGTGAAATGTTGAGGATGAGAATAAAAGTTGTGAGTTGAAATAAAAAGTCAAAGGTGAAGGTGAAATGTTGAGGGTGAGAATAAAAGTTGTGAGTTGAAGTAAAAAGTCAAGGGTGAGGGTGAAATGTTGAGGGTGAGAATAAAAGTTGTGAGTTGAAGTAAATGTTAAATTATTCGCGATTCTGCAATAACGCTCGGAAAATGTATGAAATATTAGGATTTTTATTCTTGAAGAAAATAACAAGTATCTGCGAACAACAACATTACCATAACAAGTTCTGAATGTCACTTAATATGACATGTGTCATATCTACTTATCGCTATGTTGTTTATGTTTTTTCGTTTAATGTTCGTATCTTAACACTTCCTTTCGAAAAATATAAACTAATCACTATTCCTTTAAATGTTTGTTACTCCCATATTAGATCTCATTCATTGAAATACAGTTTTTCCTAATGGTTTCGTTAACATATCAGCAACCATTTGTTGTGACGTACAATATTCAAGTGCAATTTCTTTCTTCAGTACTTTGTCGCGAATGAAATGATATTTTATGTCAATGTGTTTCGTTCTTGGATGATATTTCGGATTTTTCGAAAAAAACTTATTGCTCCTTGATTATCCTCTTTTATGATAGTTGGTTTCTTTTGAGTGAAGTTTAAATCACGTAGTAATCCTCTTAACCATATTGCTTCTTGACATGCTTGTGATGCTGCAACATACTCAGCTTCAGTAGATGAGAGATCTACAATACTTTGCTTTTTGCTTGCCCAACTTACCAATCCACCACAAATCATGAATAGGTATCCTGAATATGATTTTCGATTATTTGGATCACATCCCCAATCAGCATCAACAAATCCACTTAATTTGACTTCAGATTCCTTATGTCCATCAAAGCAAATGCCGTGGTTAATCGTACCTTTAATGTAACGTAAAATACGTTTGGCAGCATTCCAATGGTTTTTGCTAGGGTTACCACAGAATTGATTAACTGTTGAAAGTGCTTGTGCCAGGTCTGGTCTTGTCGCTGTAACTGCATACGTTAATGCACCAATTAATGCTTGATATTTGGTTATGTTCATTGGCTCTCCTTCATTATTCAACAAATTGGTTCCGAGCTCAACGGGGGTTGCAACAGGTTTGCAGTCTTGCATTCCAAATCTCTTCAATAAATTCGTCAAATACTTTGATTGATGAAGTCGCATTTGTTTCTTTTCCCTGTCTCGTTGAATTTGAATGCCAAGACAGAAATGAATTTCACCTAGATCTTTCATTTCAAAGCGTTTCTTTAACATACCTTTCTCCTCTTCTAGCATTTTCTTGTTGTTACTTGAAAGGATCAAATCATCGACGTATAACGCTAAAAGCATGATATTATCTCCCTTTCGTTTAATGTACAGGCACGGATCAGAATTGGATTGAACGTAAGCGGATTTCTTTAAGAACTGATCAATGGTATCGAACCAGCATCTCGAAGATTGCTTCAAGCCATATATGCTTTTGTTTAATTTACAGACCTTCTGTTCTTGTCCCTTTTTCGCATATCCTTCAGGTTGCTTCATGTATATTTCCTCTTTAAGTTCGCCGTTTAGAAATGCCGTTGAAACATCCATTTGGTGTACGTCCAAATCTAACTGATTAGCGATTGCCAAGAGAGAGCGAGCGAATTGATGTATATTTTGCTACTGGAGAAAATGTTTCTTCATAATCCAAACCATATTCTTGTAAGTATCCTTTAGCAACTAACCGAGCTTTACGCCGTTCAATTGAACCGTCTGCTTTGTACTTTACTTTGAATATCCATCAAGAATCTATGGCTTTACGATTTTTAGGTAAATCAACCAATGTCCACGTATTGTTTTTTATGAGAGAGGAATATTCATTGTCCATTGCTTGTTTCCATTTCGCCTTATCTGGACTATCAAAAGCTTCATTAATATTGAGTGGTTCATCGTGACGGATAGATTCATCATCAATGCTAGCAACATTGTTCTGCCACCAATTACCTGTGATCACCACACAATGTCTATCAGGAGATTTGTGTATTCGTGTTGATCGTCGTGGCTGTTGTTGTTCAACTATCATGCTGTTGTTGGAACTATCTTCCATTTCTTCATTGACTTCATGTTCTTCATTGTCTTCTAATAGTTCATCATTCTGTTTTTCGGTCACAGTATCTTTATCATATCCATGTATTACTATAGTAGATTTCTTTCGTCGATCAAATGAGCTTTCGTCAAATAACACGTCTCTTGATATGTGAATTTTACCTGTTGAAGCGTCGTAGAGTCGATAACCTTTACTTGTGAGGATTACCCAACAAATGTGCATTTCTTGGTTTTGGAGTCCCATTTCTTCCTTGTTTCCTTAGGAACGTGCATGTAAGCTGTGCAACCAAAAATTCTCAGATGTGAAACATCAGGTTTCTTATAATGGAAACATTCGTAAGGTGTAACTCCGTTCACGGATACAGTAGGACTTCGATTTCTTAAGATGACTGCAGTATGAACTGCTTCAGCCCAGAATTTCTTTTGTAGTTTTGCGTTGTTCAGCATAGATCGTGCAGCTTTTTGAATGGTTCTGTTCATTCTTTCAGAAACTCCGTTCAGCTGTGGCGTTCTTGGAACACTAAACTGATGCTGAATTCCCTTATCCTTTAGATATTTTTCAAACATTTGACAAGTGTACTAACCACCGTTATCTGATCGAAGTACCTTAATTTTCTTGTTAGTGAGACTGGTCACCATTGCTTAAAACTCTTTAAATTTCTCAAAAGCTTCATCCTTTCTCTTCATAAAGTAGACTGTTGTGTACCTTGATTTATCATCAATAAATGTTATGAAATATTTATTTCCACCAAGACTTGTCTCTTCCATCGGTCCACAAACATCGCTATGGACAAGATCGAGTACATCTTTAGCACGCGTTGCAGGTTCTCGAGGAAAGGTTGCTCGTATCTGCTTTCCATGTGCACATCCTTCACAAACTTCAAAGTGATCATCTGACTGAAAATTAAGACCTTTAACCAATTTTTGATCTCGAAGTAGACGTATATTCTTCAGGCTTAGATGGCCATACCGTTGATGCCATATTTCTTCGCTAGTATCACTTGTAGAAACATTCGCATGCTTCGAATCATCCTGTTCTTCTTTAACATCAAGAACATACAGGTTATTCATCATTCTTCCTGATCCAGATATAGATCCATTTTGATGAAGTATCAAGCAAGTATGTTGATTAAATTCAACTGAGTATCCTCGTTTTGCCGTAGCACTAACTGAGACGAGATTTTTTCCTAAATCTGGAACATATAGAACGTCAACCAATCTTCTTGGTTCATACTTCTTCTTAGACTTAATCTCAATGTGTACATTTCTATTTCCCAGTGCTTGAACTATTCTGTCATCTCCTAGCTTTACCTTTTCAGGGGATTTGAATGGGATGAAATCAACCATGATGTCCTTATTATATGACATATGAGATGATGCACCTGAATCAATGTACCATGCAGATTCTTTGTTATCTGTAAACAATGATGAATTCTGAACTGTGGCTCCATAGGATGCTTTTTCCCTTTTATTTCTATTGTCACTTTGCTGATTCTGTTTGGGTTTGTGACATTCTTGAGCACAATGTCCAGGTAACCCGCAGTTATGGCATTTACCTTTTCTTTTGAATTTGGTATTCTTTACTTTGTCGTTTTTCAACTTTTGACATAGTAGTGCTTTCTCACCAATATCCTTACTTTCGTTGGATTCTTTACGTTTCTGTTCTTCATGAAGAAGTCTAGCAGTAACGAATTCTAATGATAAGTCATCTGCTCTTGATTCCAATGCTGTTATTAAGCCACGGTACGAATCAGGTAAACTACAAAGGAGTGTCGCTACTTGATCTTCCTCAGAAACAGACGCACCCAATGCTTCTAATTGACTTGCAATATCCTTCATCTTGTTGAGATGTTCGGTCATGGAATCATCAGGACCCATATTTGTAGTGAAATATTTCTTTCGCAAGAATAACTTATTGGCCAAAGATTTGACTTCGTAATGACTTTCTAATTTCGCCCTAGCATCTTTTGCAGTACGCGCTGATCGAACGAGAGATAGAGCTGTTCATCACCGAGAGACAAACATATTGTTGCAAATGCCTTCCTTTCCCGCCTTTGATATTGTCGACGTTGTGTATCAGTAGTTCCTTCGCCATTAGGTTCTACCTCATCGCCAATAACTATTTGCCAGAGATCCTTCTCTTCAAGTACCATCTGCATCTTAAACTTCCAAAGGTGAAAGTTTTGGCCATTGAACTTTTCGATCCGTGTAAATGCTTCCTCATTTCCCGAAGTCGCCATATTCAATATTTCGCACTTATGTAAGTTATATTCTCATGAAATCGCGATATCTCATATACTTTCCGTATTTGCCGTCATCAACAGAAACTCAAACGCTCCTGGGCCCATAACCTGTTAAATTATTCGAGATTCGGCAATGACGTTCGGATAATATGTGAAATATTATGATTTTTATTGTGGAACAAAATAACAACTTACGTACATGCTAACAACGATATTACAATAACAAGTTCAGAATGTCACTTAATATGACATTTGTCATACCTACGCAATCATGTTTTTCGCGTGATGTTCATATCCTAACAATTACTTTGATAAAGACTTGATGTAAGCTAAGAAAGCGTGGCAAAATTTGTTAGTATTACAAAAAATGGAACTGCTTGTTTTCGACAAATTTTTTTGTATTGTTGAATGTTGTGAAATGGACTTAATTCAAGAAACAAGCAGTGAATTGGAGATTATTAAAGTCATTTCGAGAATTAAATTTTTTACTAAGAAAACAAGATAAGTTCATATCAGCATGAACTTACCTTTCAAAACCAAGTATTAAGGAAGCTTACAGTCACCACAACTGCACGAGCAGAAAAAGTAACGTGACAGGGGAGACTTTGACTCCAACTTTTCTATGACTATTCGAATGTGCATGTTCTCTGAATATATGCATTTACGCTTCTACGGCTACCTGACAAGAATTTTTAATAGCAAAACATTTGTTTACATTTTGTGAAGTTCTTTCATCTGATCAGTATATGCTAATTAGAATTTGAACATGCTATGAAACAGCATTAAGCTTTTATGCACACAAAAACATCCGCCGTCCAGCACCATAAACTATTTGCACTTAAAATTTTATGAGGAGTTCAGACGCTAAAGATGCCGATAGCACAATTTGAAAAGGACAGTCAATCAAATTATGCATTAAGAAACATTTATGCGACGCACAACAAAAAAATTACTAATTAAAAACTAATTTCGTTATTAGTCAAATGCAACTTTCTGTAATAAATCCAAGAACGACTCAGTGATTAATTCCACTTATCGCTACGGTATTTAGTAAACAGATACGCTTGTTCCTTAAGACATACTTACCACTTATATGATTATTCTAGATAATGAAACGGAAATATAACAATGTTTCCAACAATTTCACTAAGCTTTTTCAAGGATAATCCTTAGAGGAATTCTCCACAAAATTATCGGACTTAAACCCGTCTTCGCCGGCGTAAAATTTGCTCTCAGAATTTCATTTGGAATATAGTATATATGTAACGGATATTTCTATTTCAATTTATCATAAAGAACTTCAAATGTTCTCCAACATCACGTCATTTCCATGGATAATCAAAGAACAAGTTATTTGAGATGTCTGCAATCCTTATTAGCAACACACCTTTCCTTTTGAACAGTGCCGATGTAATTTTCTTTTTATTACATTTTCCGGTAAAACGCATCGTCTTCGTCATTACAGTTGGTTTGACTAGAGCTATGTTTTGCATGCATCACATCATATGGCTACATTTTTCAGAAGAAAGGAGATTCATTGCAAACCATTAAAATCATGCAATTGCAGTGGTACAAAATGTGTTAATTAGCGTAGAAGGATTTGTCTGTTATATATTATGTGCATTCAAAGTACGACAAACTGGAATTTCTTCCAACGGCGATTTCTCCACTGTTTAAAAAAAGGGAAAAAACTGATGATGCTATTTTTTGATAGAGAACATTTAGAATTGGAAAACAGTGGCTTAACAAAGTATGGCAGCGTTCACAAAATAAACGAATCAACGACTTGCTAAATCGATGTAATATTCTGTTATCCTCAATCACCAATGTCACTGGTTAAATTAACTATCAATCGCCTATACTTTATGTAGTATAACAATGTATCTATTCCTAGATTCCTGCTATCGGCACTTACATAATAGCTTCGTCGTATAACAAGAGTTTTTATAAGCAAATACAACAGAATATCATTAATCACAGTGAGCATTTCAATTCTCTGTGATGCACCTATAAAGAACAAAAACATGACAAATTGGATACGCTCAAAATGATATGACAATGAACAATGAACTGATCTCATTACTTATTATTATTTTTGCGACTGTTCTTCCTCGTTTCTCGCTATCTTATATCCTCTGATGTCCATCGCAATCTCTATTTTTTCATCAAAATAATCCTAGTTGAAGATTGTACAATGATTTGAAAACGCTACAAAAGACCAGGCGCACAAGATGACATCAAATCGTGTACGTTCAATTCTTTAACATAAAAAGCGTGTTGAACACCATGGAAAGCCTTCATACGCGATTAAACTTGTTATAATCCGACTAACGACATTTTATGTAACGAAAGGCGACATTATAACATAAAATCTTGTCCTTGTCCCATTTGTTTACGATAAACTATGAAATAACCGAAAACAACTCTGCTTTTGCCAATAGATCTCGTTTGCCTATCAAAGCGGTAAAATACATCTGAAAACGAAAGCGAAATCGACTCTTCTACAAATGCAAAGCAGGAAAAATAGAAACCAAAAATGGAAGACAGACAATTTTCTTGTCGCCTGTAAATCTTATTAGTGTTGTACTTTTTTACGCAAAAGAAAAATATAGTTCAAAAGGAGAACAAAAACGTCTTTGTCGTGGCTAGTTGAATCTCTCACGCTCGTTATCATGTATTATTACACTACACTTGTTCAATCGTCGGCGTAACAACTTCATTTCAAACTACTTTAGTGATTTACAAACTAGTAATGATATTTAGTGCACTGAGAAATACTACTTATCTACTGTTTATTCTTTTTTTTTTGATAAATGATTCATTAAAGCTAATAGTAAACACTCAATACAGATTTTCATATTTTCAAAATCCAATGTTAACAATCGGAAATCATCAAATTTTTGTGCAAATTTTCTTAGTTTTCATGTCGTGATACAATCCATTGATCGATGAATAATGACAACGATTTCAGATTAAATATCTCGCTGTTTCAAAAAATGTCCGGGAACGAGAAATTCGTTTTCGCAACTGTCTACCGTATGTCGCATTAGTTAAAACGATTACTTTTATAAGTAACTTTCCCTTTCCTACAAAGAAATATTTCCGTGCAAACGTACCACAAACAAATGACAATATTTCATCGTCAAAAAGATTTTTCAAAATAGAATGCGATGATTATTTGTATCTTTAACTTGGCGTCCAGTGCTCTAACTGTACCAGGGCGTAATCTATCTAACCCCTATCAGAACACTTGCACATTATAACGTTCAAGGATATGTAAAATATTTTCCATATATACTTGAGTTAAATGAAAACGTGTATATAGTTAATATAATATATAGAACTAATCCTTCTACTATTTAAATCTCCCTCTAGCAAACTTGAACACCACAGTTTGACCCCCATGTGAATTTTTAAAGGCTAAAACAAGCAATGTATAGTTCTGAAAACATCCTTTTATTGCTTTTTTTTTTGCAAAAAAGAATAAATAATCCAATCTACCCATGTGATTTAATAGACTCATCATAAATTAGCATATCGCGCGAAAAAGCGTGACGATATTTTTTGGCAAAATGGTGTACAAATTTCTTGTATCAGTATATTTATTACAATGCCATAAAATCAGTTTAGTATGGCATCGCTAAATATGTTTATTAAGTTTGTTGTTTGAAAAACAAGTTTGTGAACACATTTTTTGATTTAAACATAGCACGTACTCAAGTAAAATACTTACGTGACGCTATTGTTGAAAATAGGATATTTGTGATAAATATTTTTGCTACTTTGTACATCTACATTCTTCTGTTTTACAAAATTTCGTCACTAAGTCCGAGATTCATTTACAGCTACATAAATGAATTTGCAATTTATAAAGGATGTCAACGCGGAAATGACCCTCCACTTCATATCCAAGTATTGCCGAAACACGAAACTCGATTCTCATAGCGTGACTGAACAACAGCGTACCCATTCAAGAATTTCTACTAGCCGAGTACTTCTAAACAGGTTTTCTGCTGTAGACAAGCGCTTCTAAAACAGGCAGCAAAAAACTGCGTTAGATCTTGAGAAACAAGGCGCAAATATTGCTTTGACTTACTAACACGAACCAAAAACGCATGCAAAAATTTCATAAATTTCGCTGAGTCTGGTCTAAATACGCGAGGTTTCCAGAAGATTGAACACACCTGATCACCTTTCTATCATCAATGCAAGGGACTCTGAACCTCCAACACCCCATCCGTTTCTATCAAATTCGAACACATTTAGACAAGTGGGATTAACAAGTCGGCTGACTTGATACAGACCTCCCCAGTTAAAAAATAGTGTCAACATATCAAATCAAATAAAGGCTTGTTTACTCAGAAATTAATATAATGACAAAAAGAAGGAAAATAAATAGCAATTACGCAGAAACTATGACAGACTAGCTAATCTCTTCAAGTGTATTTGATCACAAAAAATTCGTGAGAGCTTACACAATGTATATAGTAGGATCATACTGTATATGGTAGGATTATACATAAACTGATCTTTTTTTTTAACTCAAACAACTAGATTATCTGGTGTTGATTTCTATGAGATACATAATATTCCTTTACTGTGTGCTTACGATAGCCGAAGTCTCGCGCTCGTTAAGAGTGCGTCAAAGGAAGTCCATGATTTACGTTATTGACCTCGCAGCCCAGAGCACAAAGTTTAGAAGAGAAAATTTGAAAACGATGGCCACATTTTTGCCTCGAAAAACCAACAATTTTTAGCATAAAGATGGACGATTCATTCTGCATATTACAAACTAGTTATAGAAATAGCTACGCTAAGAAAATAACAAAACAAAAAGCAATTCTTTCACTACATGGTTCCATAGAAAATGAATAATTATTGGCATTCTTTAGAAAACGTAAGTTTTTCTGATGCAAAAATGCACAATTCGATGCAAAAATTTAAAATCTGAACTTTATGAATCAATTAAATAATTTTCATACCGATATATCCCATTTCTTGTTTATCATTGAAGAGAATGAAAAGCTGTACATATTCGGAAACAAAATTTCATCGAGGACAGTAGATTTTTGTAACAACCATCATACAGCTTGGTCAACGCAAAGTAAGACGGATGGGAAGAAAGGAAATGAATTGTATTTAGACAGAAAAATTCACAGCAGAAGATAAAAAAATTATTGTATACAGGTACTTCTAAAACATGCGAATTTTGCACTCCGTAAATTCTGAAGACACTCTCCTTCAAGATCAAGGAAAAATAAGGCGATATTTTGACCTGCAGGCGTCTATATAACAAATGCATACAATAATGTCAACCATCTCCTCCCTCCCTCCAATAAATGTTTCATTGGGTCTCTGCCTAGTGTGCGGCATTAGTCGAGTGGAGTTGTTCAAAAAACAACAGAAAATATTTTCCATGCAATTAATACGGAAGAAAAACAATGTAGAATAATATTGTTATCTGTTAACTTTGATGGTGGCCGCTGCAAATGTCTTAATGTTCATGAAAGATAATCTTATAATGTTGGATAAGTATGTACTTGATTTGATAATCAGATATCCCGTATTAAAAATGTAGAGTCTTATAAAACGCTTCGTCTTCCCAACTGACATAACTCTTCGTAGACTCAGCGCTATATCACTATACTTAACTATTACACGACACTATGATGGCAGAAAGCAAAGAAAACGTTTCAACGGTAAACACGACCGAAGAAAGCGAGTATTGGGATGAGGAGATCATTGAAAGGTACAGAACTGTAATCATCGTTCAGGTGGCTTATCTGTCATTTCTCTGTGTATTTGGTACGACTTTGAATATGATCGTAATATTCAGAGCTCTGCGTTACAGAAACAGCTTGCTAACATCGGGAACTTATCGAAAAATTTCAATCGATTCGACGAACATGTTTGTTATCAGTCTAGCAATAGCGAATCTTGGCACGTCAACTTTTTCAATCGGTCTAATAATACTGCCGCTGTATTTCAAAAATATTCCCGTCACCAACTTTGCGTGTCGTTTCATTTGGCCAATTCGTGAACTTTTTTACGCTGTCTCTTGCTTCTCTCTCACTCTCATCGCCGTCAGCCGTTACTTCATTCTCTTTAAGACTTTCCAAAACAGAAAGATATTTCGCTATCCCATCTTAAATAACATTGTACTCTGGCTGTTCTGTTATTTCGTCTTCGCGTTTCCATACAGTCGAGGGTACAAACCGGAGCAAGTGAACGACATATTGATTTGTGATACGACTAACTGGTCAACATTGCAAGAGGAGCGGGGTTATATAACATTTGTCGTTGTCGCCCATGTCGTCATACCAACTATGTTTGTCGGTATAAGTTATATTGGCATAATAACACGACTGAAGCATGCAAGTAACATGATAGCACCGTTATCCACGATTAAAATGGCACATCCAAATGAAGATATGTTGTCGACGGTCGTCAAAAGTCATCGAGCAGTAAAAATCTCCCTTCTCTTACTTCTCAGTTACATGATAACGTTCATACCGATTGCTTGTCTTCTTCTGTTCTTGCAGTACAAAGAAATAACAGAGGATATGTTTCCTGAGATCGAGTACATATATGTAATATGTACTTGTCTGGTGAACTCTGGAGTTGTCATGGACCCAGTTATTCTCATGTTGAGCAATAGGGGTTATAGACCCAATTTACGTGCACTTAAAAACTGCTTTCAGACATAGAAATTTAAATGAAACGAAACATTTCGACGTAAAATTACAAACATATGAACGAAGGCAACGAATGTCTGATATAGCAAAGTAAGTTCACTCTATCTAAACCAATATCCTCATGTTTCACAAATGGAATATTGACCGTCATTTTAAATATTCAAATGTATGTAGATTTAATTTAGATTTTTTAACTAAAACTTCTATAGACAAAATAAAGAAAATAGATTGTACGGTAAAGAATAAAAGTCGTTTATGTTTGCAGGACATTATGCATAGTGAACGTTCAAGCTTCAACTCTCATAAATCTTTTTCAACTTCGCTAGCACGACATTTTTTTGGGCGAGAGCAGAACGACTTTTTTTGTAAACGCCTTGCTTCCACACTCAATCTGAACAAAATTTTTAGTTTTTTCAATGAAAAGGTCGTGTTTGCTACTGAAATAGTTGTTGAAACGGATGAGATGTTATCTTATCTTCATTAATCGTCTAAATCTTCAATTTTTCGCAAATTAATATAATGTTGGTAGATGGCAAACAAAGTTTCGTCTTCGTTAACATCGAAGACAGACGCACAGTCGTATATCTCTTATTGATGTCATTATTTTGACAAACAATTCATAATCTACCGAGTAATTGTGCATTGGTGTTTTAATGGAGGGACAAGCAAACGCTAAACGACTATACCAGAAAGTAATACTTATTCATTCATTTCTTTACCTAAGATATCTAACTACACACCTTAAAGACCCCATTTGTACCTGGTTATCCATGGTTGCTTACCGTTCTGTAGGTAAAACGTATTCCACGAAGATTGTTTAAAATAAGCAATATTTTCGTAAAAGGTCCTTAGCCACTTGATTATTGCCACTTGTACGATATATTAATGACAAGTTGAAGGCAGCTTCACGATGGAGGTTATTTTTGTCCCAAAACTATGTTGAAAAACATAAAAGAAATAAACGACCGACTATTCAAGGATATTACGAACAATATAGTCTCTATAACACCGTTTTTTAGCTGATGATGTTAAATAGATAGAGCACAAAAGTTGATATGTAACTACTAAATCATAAATACAAATGTAATTGCAATTTTTATCTCTATAATTTTGTCAATTCGTTGTCGCTTGGAGACTGTAGATAGATCTGTTCATGAAAGATACAAGAGTTGATGTTCAAGCTAAAGTTAAGCAAATCCAATCACGCATTAATTTTTAAACTACAGCTTCGATTTCTCTGATCGTGAAGACGTTGCTGAAAAAAGATAGATTGAACTAAAAGATATTGCGTTGTTTGTTTTTGTTCCTGTTTTTGTTACTGCAAATATGACTAATGAAACCTATTTTGTATGTGAAATGATTTCTTTCTCAAATGTTTGTTGTTTTAATCAGTAATGCGATGCACTTGTCGATAGGTGTCGGTAAATGCTTCAGTGTTGTGGGTCTTCATTAATCGTATGAAATGATTTGTTTTTATAAAGTCTCAAGATCAAATAGACCATTTGCGAATTTTACGCTCTATTTTACACATACCATTTCGCTTTTATCGCCATTTTCTATCATTGGGTAGTTAAGAACTCGACGGTAGTAATGTGACGCAAAGTTCAATAAACCTATACGGAACAAATAGCTTCCTTTAAAGATTTCCATGAATGGGCGTACAAACATTTAATGCATGCAAACACACCACCAAACAGACAGTTGAAAATAAACAAAAAAAGGAATATTAACGTGAGTTGTTTCAAACAAGACTTCATGTAAGATATCATACATGCTAGCCACAACGACAACCACATGCGATTCGTGATAACGCAATGTAACATAATAATATAAATTTTTTGGTAAATTGATTGAAAAAATGTCTTCATATAAAAATTCTCCACAGTATATAAACATAATTTTATGTATTGACGATATAATGGACAAATTGTACTCAGCAGGAGATAATTACCAATTTGGTGATAACTTCTTCCCAGATTAAAATCAGTCTCCTGACATCGCCCTCGTAAACCTTCGTATTGATAAAGAAATAGGAATCCCTATCACAAAAAAAAAAACACAAGAGAAAAAGGAAACTAAGGCAACACGATTATAGAAGCAAAATTTTTCGAAGAAACACTACATGAGTCTTTACATGCAAAATGTACACGAATGTCAACATCATGTCCTTATCCTAACATGCAGAATGTATACGAATGTCAACATAATGTCCATATACTAACATGCAGAATGTACACGAATGTCAACATAATGTCCATATACTAACATGCAGAATGTACACGAATGTCAACATAATGTCCATATACTAACATGCAGAATGTACACGAATGTCAATAGAATATCCTTATCTTCACAAGCAGAATGTACACGAATGTCAACATAATATCTTTGTCCTCATATACATAATGCAATGATTTAGAACCCAGTCTTCAAGATGTCTAAATACCGAGTCAAGGTGAGGCAAGGACGCCATCTTGAACGGTGGAAAAAAGCAAAACTCAAAATGAAAGTTAAACTAAAACAAAGTTTAAAAAACCCATCCTATCAAACGTTTTAATAATTAAACCTAGACTACCACCTTTGCACCTCTATATCAACTCAGAAAAAAACAAGATATTAGTCGTAAATATCGTCAGTTTTGCCACCTTTCAAGACGGCGGCTTGCCTCACTCGTTACTATACAACATCGGCGGAGTCAGTTATCAAGTAGATTGGGTTCTAGGTCATTGGCATAATGTCACAAGCATAAACATGTTTTCCATGGGCATATACAGATTTTATAAGACGATCTTACCTGAACGATGCTGGCGTTTCGACAATATTGAAATTTCTGGCAAGCCATTTGAATGAAAGACAATCCCATCAATAAGCTTACCATTGGGTCTAAAGGTTTCTGACGAAATGCTCTGGCATATTCCCCTGCAATTGAACGGGAAAAGCTACAAATGCACAGAATTCTTAATAAAATCACAAAAGACAAAGAAAGTAAGTGTGACGTGTTTTTTCCAGTTGTCGCCTACATTCGCACGTCTTACCTAACGCATATCTGTAATTTCCAGATGATAAAGCATTATGACCGTTTATTATCTGAAGGGCAAAGTTCTCGGGGTTCTTGAGTAGCAAACGAAGACAAAACTTTTGATGTTTCGAATCACCATTTCCAACCATCAATCTTGCAAACATATTCCAAAGATGTATGCAATCTAAAAGAAATACGACATAAAGTACCTGTAAGCTCATATTCACATATGCAATTATACTCCGTAGAAAACAATAGATTTCAAAGGAATTTAACACAGCACATCATGCATGTATGAATGTTGCCCCCTCCCCAATTATTGATATCGATTGTATATCTTACTTGTGTCCCTTATAAGAACCACGCGAAGCACATCAAAAGCAGCAGACAAATTACCATTACAATAGCTAGCAGTAACTCCAAGAAAATCCAGTTCACGTTGATAAATCTTGATCCCACTGAATTGGAGTGCACTCATAGCACATTTTATAATATGCTCTAGTTCTGATAGACGACTAGCACTGTGTAAAACTCGAGCAACCTAAGCACAAAATAATATTTACATCCTTAATCGTAATCCGTTGATCAGACTTACACAAAAACAACATATTTGTAATCTAATTTTTGATATGGAACAATACGATATTGTTTGTCACAACATTAATGCGGGATGAAATGTTAAATATCCTCTAGTATAAACTCATCCATTCTTCACTCTCCAGAGGTACATTGTACGTACATAGTAATGTCTAGTTTCTCTCTCTTTTCTCTCCAGAAGTACATTGTACGTATACAGTAATGTCTAGTGTCTCTCACTTTTCCCTGCAGAAGTACATTGTACGTATACAGTAATGTATAGTTTCTTCCTCTCTCTTTCCTTTCCAGCCGAGACTTATATGAGAAAATGATATCACAAATAACTGATAGAAGTGCACAAAAGTCAACGACAGATTATTTGTGCATCCTTGACAGGTTAAATGCACTAAAATATTTAAACTTCAACGTCAGCAGATCTCTCAATCCCCACAATAAAGTACCTGCAATAGAAGATTCCACCAGTCTTCACGTTTTATATCAGCATACATTCCTCCTTGAGCTAAACAAACGTAATAATTATCAGTTAAGATGATTTACTTTGCTACGACTATGCTTTAAAATAATAGCCAGAAGCTTTCCAGCTCAAGGCTTTTGTTTGCATTCATAGGAAACACACATTTCTAATTTAGGCATATTTGAATAATCGAGTAAGTAACAGTAAGTCCCTACCCAACAGTAAGCCCCTTTGCTCACACTGAATGCACAAAGAATGCACCACTCATAACAATAGGTTAATAAGAGGACCAACCTCGTCCTCATAATCATGTTGCCAAGTCAGCCTGTCGAAAACAGGGGAGCAAAACAAAAGCTGACACAGTTTGGAAGGACAGAGGATAAAAAAGATAATTGATTTTGTATACTCCATAATTTCCAACTGTTAAATACGTTCAAATTTCCGCTGTGTGAACGAAAAGTCTGACTGCGAACATAAAATAATTGCATGAAATTCGAAAACCGTTTTAATCATGGAAAACCAGCGGTTTGAAAGCAAAAATTAAGTACATGCTTATGAGACAGTGTTGTTTCCAGAAATTCTTCGAGCATGAAAATGGGAATGGTAGTAAAGTATAGCTACAGCATTTCTGCCATTTAAATTCTCTCCAAATATATCAAAATAAAGAAGCAGAGAAAGTCAAAGATCATGAGACATCTTAACTTTGCAATCTCCTAGACTTCAATGATAGCTTTTTCGAAAATTCTCTAACATTTTCTTCCACTCTAGGATTTTACAAGCCAACCCTTGATTATGTGATCACTTACGTAAATGACAACCATTTACGAAGGGATTGCGTTGGCTGGATATCTAAAATGCATTTCACTTGTTATCGGAATGTGCTCTTGCTGATACAGCGCGTAGTTGATGAACAAAATTTTAACACAAATTACGTCTAGCGTAAAGACATCATGTTGTTCAATGAAAATGCAACATTGATTCAACGATTAATTTGCTATCGCCGACGCTAAAATGACGTAAATCTTAAATGATTATACTGATGAAAGTATTCATTAGGTATGCAAAACTCCACTTACATGACATAGTACGTTAAAGAATAGCAAAATTTTTGTTAGAAATGAGAGCCACATTTTATCATTATCGATATTTGGTTGTTTACTCAATTTTCATGGTTGACTTTAACAAAATGCAACCACACACGACCGCTGCAAGGCCCCCACCAAACCCTCAACAAGGCGTCCACCAAACCCTCTACATGGCCCCCACCAAACCCTCTACAATCCTAAAATATTGCGAAACATACTGACAGAGTTCAATACCACATGCAAAGTTGACCAAACTAAAATGAATACATGTGAAACATTGAAATAGAGGAATGAACGTGGGTGTTGATAGTCTGTGTTAAAATTACTTTGGTCAAAATGGTCAAGGGGTGATTTCATGGCAAAGACCTGGAAGATAAATGCATAGTTTATTGCTTGTCAGGAAAGAGAATCCTCCTTTTGTATGTATCCCTCTTTAAAAAGAATTCTTTCGACCTAATAAAAAAATTAAGAAACGCTGCATTTGTTTCACTCCCACGAATCAACCACTGTGAATTTATGGAGTAATTGCGACTTAACGTATAGTCTTGACCATATATAAATAAATTTTCCAAAAAAAGTAAGTCAAGTTCTTTTAAAGAATGTAGATTGTAGATCGTTACATATTGCGCAAGGATATGAACAAGTACCTAAACTCATGTTGAGGTCAACTATGTTAACAATTCGCTCTTTGCAACACAATGTTCCTGCATTGCGAGCTATGTTAAGAATAATTATAATAACTTTTTCATGTATTAGAACTTATAAATATGCTACTTCAAACATTTGAAGTTCCACGTATAATATATACGAAGCAATTTAGGATTTCATCCAATAAATTATAAATTAGAATTGGAAAAATAGGTTTAATACTATCTAAAACTTGTTCTTCAATTGTATATAATCATTGACACGGTTGTGTAACAGCTATGCTATAAGTGAAAAACAACATGAAATTTAGACCTATTAAACGCCATGTTTACTTTTGAGATGCCTTGTCAAATGACTTGGATTGTTAAAGCGTTTTGGGCAAAAGCTACATTGATAAGGCTTCTCTCCGGAATGGATTAACATATGTCTTTTCAAATTTCCGTGAATAGAGAATGCCTTTTTACAAATGTGACATTGATACGGCTTTATTCCAGTGTGAACTCTGCTGTGAACCTCCAAAGCACTTCTCTTCAAGAACACCATGTTACAAAATTCACATGAAAAGTTACTCCTCCCTGTAGAAAATACCGAAAACACTATAACTTGTCGACGTTGCAATAAGATAGATAGATGTATGTATATATATATCTGTAAAAATAAAAGTATCTCCGGATTGTATAAAATGATTTTATTGAGCTTTCGACTCGGTGCTTCGAGCCTTCATCAGAATTACACAGGATGTAAAAAGTGAAATGATGAGTCGACAGGATCAGTCGAAAGCTCAATAAAATCATTTTATACAATCCGGAGAAACTTTTATTTTTATACATTAAATATGCCTGGATTACCAATCTTTAAACTTATATATACATATACATACATGTGATACTAGTGTGAATATACAGAAATACATACAACCAAAGAAAAAAATCTTAATGTAACAAACAGGATGTATACGACTCGAGGACTCGAGCAGTAGGGATGTTGTATGTTCAAATTATATGCACGTTTGCACTGAAGAATAGCTTTCCTAAACAAGTTTGCCTGTATTTGTGCGAATGTGTTGATCGTAGAAATTTGTTAAAGGGCGGTTTCTTGTATATTTACCGTAACATAAAATATTAATAGCTTTATGAACATCTTTACCTTTATGAGACTGCATGTGTTTTACCAAGCCCGCAGAACTGTAAAACACTCGGTTGCAATAATCACAACTTAATAACTTAGAAAGACCACAATCTCTTGCACTGTTAGGGCTATGTTCCATTTGAGAGACCTGATAATTGCAATTCGTACTTTGTTTATATTTTGCTGTAACATGAGTTAGTTTGTGGCACTGTAAACCATCAGATCTGGCAAAGGATTTCCCACAAATATCGCAGCTAAACGGTCGCTCTCCTGTATGAGTTCGCTCGTGCGCTTTCCAATGAGACTGCCATCGAAATGGTTTGTTGCAATACGAGCATTTAAATTTACAGGTAGTATCGGCAGAAATACGTGATTTTTCTACAGAAGGAATTGGGAGCTCAACGTTGGAAGCTGTATAGCTGCATGAGCTACAATCTTTGGGCAAGACATTCGTTGAGTCTTCGACGCCAAACCATTTAATAACACTAACTCGCTGAGTTGATTCTATCACTTGACCATTTCTATTCATGTCAGGCGAGTGTCTAGACTGGCTATATATTTTTAACCACAAAGAATCTTTCTTGACTGCATCAAGTTCAATCAGAAAACCTACAGTACCAAAACGGCTACTTATACGTACACTGCACAACTTACATAAAATGAGTTTTAAAAGTCAGTATTAATTTTATGATATAACAGACAGAATTCTCGCTCTTACGAAAGCATATAGGTTTTGTAGTTCAAATGCATACCTGCATTGAAGTTAACATATTGTGTTTGATTCTAACAGCAGGTCAAGTCATTCGAACTAGAACGCTGTCTCAGGCTTGGGAGTTTATACACTCAATAACAACTTCTGCAAATAACAACCCACTTTATCGAACTAAAACCGCTGACCTTGATCGGAAATCAGTTTATATATAAGAAGAATTTTGTATTGTATTTAAAGTCCACGACTTTTAAGCTCCTTCTTCAACAAATCCGTGTCCCGGCATAGACACAAATCACATTAGTTAGATTCAATTTATAGGAAAATTTAACGAAAACCAACCATGCATGCGATAGAAATCTAACAGCAACTAACAGCGTACCAGTTTTTCTGTCTTCTTCAAATCGAATCAACTTTAGACAAAGATGCATACGAAAGAATTTGCTCTTCGTAACATGTCAGCTGTTGAAAACCAGCGCTCAAGCAAATGATGTAGTTGTCATAATAACTGGGTGATTTAAGGTCATGAAATGGTCATGACAAATCGCACGATCTAAACACGTATCCGTCACGTGGGACCATATATAGGTGCATATACATTACAACATATCCATGTCAATATAGAGCATTGCGGTCAGGTTAAAGCGTCATGTACCATATCATTACAGAAGTATTCGGAGCGATAATTTCAGTATACATAAATATATGTAAGTCTTTGATGTGACTGTTACTTTCATTCATGTATTATTAGGCTGCTTGCTCTTTCCATGGTCCAAGTATTGTTCAAATTAGGAGGATCCAAGGCCTATCAGAGGTTTCTACAACATCTACTTCTAACAACACAGTACAAAGATTGTTGCCTCGAAGTTCCCAAACTTCCCATAAAATTAGATTATTTGCCGTTTATATAGTCTGAAACGATCTCAACAAATGAGCGCTACATTAATGATACTTGAATTTTAAATAAGCGGCAAATGAAAGCACATTAGTGCATACCTACAAGTATTTATGGTGAGAAATACTAGTCGCATGATTTCATTTAGCAATTGTTTATTTAAGCGTGCAAACACAGTAAACATCTTTTATTTTTTAAATGTTATATATGACATATATATATATATATATATATATATAAATGTGAAAATCAGGCTCTTTGTGTCAATTTAGGCTCATCGAGCAAAAAGGTACATTTGAATGACCATTTGTGCACTGTAAACTAAAACAAAGCAATATAGCTATAAATATTTGTGTGTATAAAGCGTGAAATAAGATGATGAAAACGTCGCATGTATTGTATAAAACTTCTAAATGTGAAAATCAGGCTCTTTGTGTCATTTTAGGCTCATCGAGCAAAAAGGTACATTTCAACGACCATTTGTGCACTGTAAACTAAAACAAAGCAATATAGCTATAAATATTTGTGTGTATAAAGTGTGAAATAAGATGATGAAAATGTCGAATGTATTGTATAGAACCTCTGTCGAGTTCTCTAGATTTAGTGTCGCAAGCACAACCGTTTTGTATAAATAAAGATAGATATAAATGAAATCATGTCCATAAACCGAATAGTACAGTAATAGTTCTAAAATAACCAACATACGAATTCAATAAACAACGTTAGTAGGTCAAGTGAAGATTTTTATATAATTTACGAAAAATCTTAGTTTAACTAGAAATAATAAAAAAAATGTTCATCTAAAAATACACGCAAAGAAATGTAGACATGCAAATTTTCTAACGAATTCTTTCAATACAATAGACATTGCAGCGCGAACAACATAATTATGCACTGACACATGTATGCCGGCTACAAAGGCAGCATTCTTCTAACTACAGGAGTCCTAGCTATCACGAAGTATTTCGCAATTGATTGCTACAAATAATGGCGAATCGGGAATTTTTTAAGAACAAAGAAATATAAAGAGCATTATTTAAACTCAGTTTACAATTCAATAAGTTGAAAGATTCACTTTCGCATTATATTTATTCATTTCAGTCTTGAGTTATAAATAAGTTTGATGCCGATCATACCAAATACCACCTCAAATTCAAAAGAAAAGTCACCAATTACCAACAGGGCGACACGAGAGACATACAATTTGCCCCTCAAAAAATCCTCGAATTATCATTGAAAAGTATTAAATCCCTGAATACCGTTAAAGAAAACTTTGAAAAAAGCGCAAGATTCACTAGCTACAATGTTAGTCAAAATGTGTTCTGTGTGTGAAGGTGGCACGCCTGATTATCGACGGAAAATTAAATGTCACCTGACAAGCATGTTATCCATTTCTTTCCATGCAAATTAACTATTTTTATAATGTACAAGTTTTTGATCGAAATATCGGCTTCTAAAATATGTAATTATAAAATACATTAACCGAAGATGAAACAAATTTTATGAGATGCTTAAAGTAGAGGAGTTGAGTTAAAGTTTTCCATTAGCGAGAGAAGAAAGCACTCTGTAAGTTTTCATGTTGTTATCCACAACTCAATGAAACTGCTGTCAGTGAAAATCAAACTCATTTGTAAGATAAACAGTTTAATTTATTTTCTCTAATGCCTTTTAATACAAACGGGCTTTTTGTAGCTATTTTCAGGCAAAAGATATTTCGTCGAGTTGTACGACTCGTCATTCAGGCGACGTTTGCAAGTTCATTCACAATGTAAATATTTTCATAGCAAATTCCTGCTCTCTGGGACGAATATCAAATGATATTGTTCTAGTGTCGTGTAGCTGCTTCTATTGACAGCGATTTATAGTAACAGGACAAAATATTTTTGTCCAAAGCAAAACAGAATTCGCCGCTACGTTATATATGTATGAAGAAAGTTTCATTGAAACTTGAAAGACTTGACACGGTTATTAATAAAATGGTCTTGGCCTTAGTCGAATCTTGCTATATAGCAAATTTTATGCATGAACTTGCAATGAATGATAAGACCCAGAAATAGTCAATTTCAATAATTGTGACTAGTTTCTGTGACTGTCGTAGTATATATTTACACGTATTCACAGAGAGATATACAGACTAGGTCTTGAAAGACAGAAAATACTGATGACCGATAAAGTACCTTTATGCCAAACTTAAAATTGTGCAATAAAATTGCGAAAAAAATTTCTACGACATCTTCAGAATCATCTTATAACCTCTTTGAAGCTTCTAATACCATCAAAACAACTCTTCCATTCCAGAGTTCATTAATTCCAGAGAAAATTTGCTTTCACAGTCATTTATTCACTAAGTTATGTATATATACAGTTAATATGAGAACTATTTATACAGCTGATTACACAGATACAAAGTCTATACTTCACAACAATAAATGAATATTTTAGTTGACAAAAAACAGTTTGATAAGCTAATCAGAACATATAATGAATGCTCTGAGCGTTGACAACGTTGAAAGGCTAGTTTACCTTAAATCAAACAGTCTTCTTTTCTTGGCCATGTTTGTTTTTCATGTGTCTCGTTAAGTGACTTGGATTGTTAAAACTGTTTGGGCAAAGGCTGCATTGATAAGGCCTTTCTCCGGAATGGATCAACATGTGTCTCTTCAAATTTCCGTGAATTGAAAATGCCTTGTCACATACGTTACAATGATAGGGTCTCACGCCTGTGTGAACTCTGCTGTGGACCTCTAAAGCACTTCTCTTTGAGAACACCATGTTACACAGTTGACATATAAAGTTATTACGAGCTAAAGGGATAAATGAGGAAATACCGTCATAAAAACATCTATGTGATAAAATAGAATTTAATTATCTCGTTAGCTATATGTATTTTATAAGTTAGTCTCCGTCTACAACTGATCAAGCGACTTTAGAATATAAGCAAGAAAAATCGAATGCAAAAAGTGCCCCTCTTGACGATTTTCTTGACGACATGAAAAATTCGCGAAAAAAATTTGTGTGCATTGTACGATTAAGCGATGAATTATGTTAAGAACTAGCTGCTATTGTGTGCAATTTCTTGGTCAGTAATTAGCATGTTGCAATTTCCAACAAATATCTATAGCCGAGTTTCTTTTATGTTTCTGTACATTCCTTAACAACAAACTTGAGAAAATATCAGAAACGATCTCAAACTCCTGTAAACCTAATTGAACTTTAACAAATGCCCAATAAAATCATATTTAGAATAAAATGAAGAAGCAATATATAACCACAGAAATATAATCATTAAATTTGATTTAACCATAAAAATAAGTTAGAATTAGATAGACTAGAATTAGAAATAAGATTAGAATTAAAGACGTAGAGGACAAAATGCGCAGTACCTCTATATAAGGTCATCTTATCATGCGTAAATTGTGCTGAAGTTAAGTACAATTATCCCAATTTAATGTAGTGATTCAACAAAATATCTAAATGGAAAACTTAAGCTGATGTTTTCATACATCAAAACGTTTGATTTAAGAGTTTCTTAATGTCATAATGCCTTCACTTATTTTTTCATTATACAACACCTCTTCATAACATATCATACAATATATAATAACTGTACATCATAATTTGTATTTCTGTACTTATGCATACACGATTATTTTATTTGTATAAATATGACATACATACATCAGTTAAATTTGCATTTCAGTATGCGAAATTTCATGTATCTAATAGGTTTCCAAGATTTCTTCAAGCTATTTGCAAAAGAACTACAAAAAAATTTATTCAGAAGAATCTAATTATCACCTTTCAAAGTGCTTTCCAATGCGTCAGTATAATAATTGTACTTGAAGTGACAGTTACTCCAAATAAAGACAAATTCAAAAAAGATTTTTGCTTCAGTTGAGAAGCATTTTTGTGAATAAATCTATTATATCAAATAAGTGAACCATACCTCTGTGTACTTGCATGTGTTTGACAACGCCTGCTGAACTAAAAAATATTCGACTGCAGTAGTTGCAGCTAAATAACTTCGATCGTTCAAAATCTCTGACGGGATTTGAGCCTGGTTCAAAAGACGACAGACTTGGTGGAGGAAAGGATGCATTACCAAACGCAGAACGACCATATTTTGCTGTGAAATGGGTTAGCTTGTGGCACTGCAAGCCATCAGATCTAGCGAAAGACTTATCGCAAATGTTACATTTGAACGGCCTCTCTCCGGTGTGTGTACGTGTGTGAGACTTCCAATGAGACTGCCATCTAAATGTCATGTTGCAGTATGAACACTGATACCTATTTGACGGTTTTGCATCTTTTACAGCAGCAGCTGCATCATGACAAGCATTCTTTTGAAAAGAAGAAACTTTCTTCTGTGAAACAACCTCTTGCGTCGTTTGAAGCTCTTCATCTCCAGACCACTTGATGACACTGGCTCGGGCGATTTTCCTCACCGATGGAACATCGCTCTTCTCCTCACTCATGTCTGTTGAAAATATCTTGAGAATACGTGACGATAATTTTTACACAAAATGTATAGATCGACGAGAACAGAGGGATCAGTTCTCGCAGAATGCATTCACTTCAATTATTGCCCGAAATGAATGTACCTTTTCCAATGCATCAAAGAAGCACAATCTTACTTCTAGCCTGTTGTCCCTTTTAATGTGAGAATCTTCATGTACGACTTCCTTTTGACCGGCATAACCTTTACAAAACAAAAATATACGAATTTCTTGTAACGAACAAGTCACGTGAGCATTAATCAATCACTTATTGGTCAGTTGTTTTAAAAAAAAATTGCGATGGATTTTCAACTTAAAAATCAGCAAAATCACATAAATCAGGTTTTCTGGATGTGCTTGCGAGATTTCTTTATGAACTAAAAACTTTGTCGTAGTTTTGTCAAACAGCAGAATGTTAAGATTTCAAAAATTAAAATGTATCGTTGACCATTGTGAAATGGCAATTAATATACTAAACTATCAATACCTCAATGCCATTATACTCCAAATCAAATAAACGAAACAAATAGATCACTTACCTGTACAAACTCATAAAAACAAATCAAGTCAAGCGAATGATACTTCTAGTGACAAGTTCGCTGAATTCATGTATTCCGACATTGCAGTGGACAGAAATTGACTTCTCATAGTTTTAAAATTTCAAAACAGATCTTCTTTCATCTTATTACTGTAAATCACTGTTGTAAACACTTCAGCTTGATTATGTGATCATGTTTCATTCATTCTTAAATCATTGGGCTGTTCGCCAAATGCGCAAGAGTATATGCAGTTGCCACATGTAGCTATGTTTAGACGCATGTCCATAAAACATTTTCATAAAATAATAAAAACTTGCGTAATGGCTACAAAAGTACGTCTATTAAAGGTGCTGTTACACAACGCGATTTTCTTTAGCAAGTTGCTATTTTTTTGCTTTTTATCGCAAGTTACGTAAGCATAGGTGTCAAGTAACACCTTCAAGCAACTTGCGCTTTTCGAATTTTTTCACGTTTTTAGCGAATTTAATAGCAGAACGAACTCAACTTTTTCTCGCAACTAAACTAAACGCCTACGTTTTCACTCGTTCGTGAAGATTTTATTCACGCTAATCATCAGTCAACACTTTGAATGTGAAGAGATGAATATTTTCTAACTGGTGCGGACGGTACTTCTTCACGAAACCCCGTAGAAGTTCTCGAAAATAATTTTTAATTAACTGCCTAGAGTCTGCTATCACTCTCACAGTTGTTTCGTAGTAACGAGAGTTTGCGCGGTTGACAATAGTTGTAAGGGCTAACGACTTTTATGACTCAAACGATATATAGGCGTGGAAGTTTGCAGAATAAAGGCTTTTCGTGTCTTTTTCCCGACAAAACATCTACACGGGAATGGACGCACAAGTTATGCAGTGGTTGTTCAATAACGACAACAATAGACTTGTGTACGGTTCCGAATGTCTGAGAAATGCGATAGTACTTAATGAAGCATGTTCGCGTAATAGGATTATTATAAAATATCTCATGCGCAAATACGCTTGCGCGATAACTTTCCAAGATTTGGTTAATTCAAGGAATTATATTACAACAAACATTTTTTATGTCTTTCGTCTACTTATAATTATCGCGCACGATTTTGATTGACCCAAATAAGAATTATTGTTCATTACCCCAACAATCATTGGTGAAACTCAAGAATGGAACGGCATTGTAAAAGTTTACTCCGAGCTGAAGTAAACTTCGTCGAGAAACAACTATGGATGTCACAAGAATTTTTTACATAAGCACTGCCAAAACGGAAATGCCTGTTTTTTCTTTATTACAGTTTTCGCCATAGTGTGCTAGCCATTCATGTCAACAAGACGTTGAGATGTGTCTGACGCGATGTCGAAGGAGTTTCGTCACGCCTTGGAGCAAAAGTAAACGCAGTCTGTGGTCAATACAAACACGAAAAAAAAACAACAACATTGAAATCACTTGCTACAAATGTTTTACCAGCATTTGCTAACTACCGCAAGGCGTGCAAACTTTTCATGTTTGTCAAAGTTTCAGGCGTTCGGGTTAGGCCAGAGATGTTGACCATACAAAATAAAACAATGAATTAATGCCTTTCGTTAGCACAACGTTTCTCCCGTAAACCAGTATCTAAAACAAATCTCGATATTTTCAATTACGTTTTTCGTGCTCGAAGTATTTCCGTAATTCACGTCATGTAAGCCTTATGTTGTAACAATAAAATAAAATTAAACATGCAGATTAAGTAAGCCAGCCTTTTGTTCGTACATGGTTTTGAAATTATCGTATTTTATTGTAGAAAACCCTCATCAAACTCTTGAAATAATCGTGAGATTTTGTGATAAAATATTTCACCCATACAACACATTAGGATAAATCGCGTGAAGTTGAAATTGGAATATTGGATTAAACAGTCTCCTTCCTGAATGAATTTCGGAGAATAGATGAAATCAGATACTACAAAATTTCCCTCCAATTTTTTTCGTTGTCAACAAGTAGCAAAAACGAAAGTGTTTTAAAAAATTGCACTCACGTATCTTGGTGTCTCTCGCGCACGCGCAGTATACGTTTTAAATATAAATTGGAAAGAATGGCAACGGTTTGTTGCTACATTCCCAGCATTTGTATTTCATAATCAATGTCTACAGCACAAGAATTTAAAACCAGAGAGGTTTCTTACAATACAATATTTATGTACCTACCTCTTAATTCTTCGGGTATGTCTTCACAAATTCTTTTCATTCTTGCAAGAGCCATCCTGTAGTTTCGTGATGGCCGACCACCTATACAAAGAACGTCGACATAAAGTGATTTTAAGAAGCGAGTGACTTTGATTTTTTTTTAGCTTCAATTGCAAAATGATCACTCAGTTTAAACAGAGACTAAATCCCTTACAAAGTAGTTAGAAATAAGAGATAAATTAGAACAGTCGAATAGGGGCAACAGGACCCACAACACGCAATTTATAGAACTCTTGAGCAGTATTCTTACTTGTTCTTATTAAACATTTACTGATTACTAGTAAAGATTCACCAAAGATCTCCAAAACACCGTATTTGTACTTACTAAGCAGATCTTCATCATGGTAGACATCTGCCATGTAATGAGCCAAAAGTTTAAGGCCATCACACAAAAATTCATCAAACTTATTTTGAGAGTGTAGCAATAAGCATCGATGATAGGCAAGTCGAACTTCCTAAAATGTGATGGACATGAAGCTGTATAATTGCAACAATTTGTGGGTTTTTGTATCACCATACTTCATTTATAGGTTATGGGAGACGAACCTGAGTTGAAAGCTGACCAAAGTCGGGTTTTTTCTCTGTCAGAGAAATATCTCGATCATTTTCTTCAATATCAAACCCGTAATCATCTTTATCGTCATTGGCTATTATAAAAATTACCAAAAATTTTTTAACTTTTAAATTAATAATCAAAAAACTTAATTATGGGTTTTGAAGAAGCGTGCAAGGGGAAAGTATAAACAAACAGGCCATTCAAGTTTAAAGAACCTGCCTTTCAAATATGAATAAGCAGGCCATTTAAATATGAATTGAGGCAATGATATAAAACTCAGTCTACAAGATACCAGACCCAATCCCCTGGAGGTAAAAACAGCCATCTTGAAAGACGGCAAAACCACCATATGCCCAGCTATAATCTGCTTTCTCCGCGTTGATATTCAGTTGCATAAAGTTGATAATCTAGTTTTCATTTTTTTTTAAATAGTTAATAGGATTGTTATTTATACTTCTTTGAACTCAATTTCGTTGAGTTTTGCTTTTGGTCACATCACAAGATGGCGTCATTTGGTAATCGGAAAATCGACGGGATTGGGTTCTAAATCCTTAGAATCGAGCCAATTCAAGTGTCAACAAACAGGTCAGTCACAAGTATGAACTGAGGCCATTGAACTGTCTCGAGTATCAATAAACAGGTCATTTAAGCGGTAAAAGATCATGCAAATACAATACCACTTACCTTCCAAAACACTCAAGGCCTTTTCATAGTAACCCAGTCTTTGATACAAAGTTGAAAGAGTAAATCGCGCTTCAATATGATTGGGAGCCAAAGCAACAACCATGGAATAAGCACTCGCCGCTTCCTCGTCCCTTTCTAATATCGACAGGCACTCAGCTTTCTTCAACCATACAGCAGCCTGAGTAACGCAAAATTTCTTCACATATATGTATATAAGATAAGGCTGACAAAAAACGCACAGTTACATGAAACATAGATGATTGATGCAATAAGAATAGAATAGAATTTTTACACGCTAGGACAAGCCGTTATATTAGATTCGTTAAAGCGAGGTGCCGTCTACATTAGGTCAATATTAGAAAAGATTTCACATTGAGAAATACTTGCCCACACTTAATCTAAGCCGAAAACATTTCTTCATTTTAAAGTTGACAGTTTTAAATACAACAGTGCAGTGCATGACATAGGCATGCACAGTGATAGTAGTTCACACATTTCTAATTTGCAGCAGTGCATGACATAGGCATGTACAGTGATAGTAGTTCATGCCTTTCTAATTTTTAGCAGTGCGTGATATAGGCATGTACAGTGACAGTATTCACAGCTTTCTAATTTGCAGCAGTGCGTGTTGTAAGGCATTATAGAGCGACAGTAGTTCACAGCTTTCTAATTTGCAGCAGTGCGTGTTGTAAGGCATTATAGAGCGACAGTAGTTCACAGCTTTCTAATTTGCAGCAGAGCGTGATATAGGCATGTACAGTGACATACGTCCACAGCTTTTTAATTTGCAGAACTGCATGACATAGACATGTTCAGTGACAGGAGTTTTCAGCTTTCTAATTAGATCAGTGCGTGACGTAAGAATAGAGTGATTTATCAGATCGTGATTTGACACATGTCTTTTCGCATATTTTCTTAGAAATACCTGTCCAAAATGCACAGTGTTGACAAGGGGATCCAACAAAACGAGAGCTTCTTCGTAGCACCCTAGGAAATTGGATACATTAGGTATCTACAAGTGAGTTTATAGCTCGTCATTTAAGATTAACGGTAAAATTTATGACCATAAATAATGAAGGAGGCATGTAATAAAATTACGTAAAAAAATCCAGACACACCTGTCTCAAAATACGCTTCAGATATGTCCAGGTACAAATCTCCTACTTCTTCAATTGGTTCCATAAAGATGGGCGATATAATCTCCTAAGTAAGTGTGATGTCTATGTGATGATTAAAGCCTGGCACATGCAAGCAAATCTTCATCGACAAGTCTACTTGATCGTATGAATTTCTAGTAACTTTTACTGTTTGTCGTAACTACTTGATTTTGGAAATCTTCAACCATTTTGTGTGAAACGCATACAATTTTTCTTAAAATTTTAAATTCAAATTTGAATATTATTAGACGGGATGGAGTGTTCCTATCAATTTTTCGACAGATGTGCATACAAACAATTGTATAGGAAAAAGTGTTAAATATCTCGCAGCAAGTAGCTACGTAATACGTGCGTTGTAAATGGCTAAAACTAGGGGGATTTGGATTGCTTTAAACAATATATTTATTTAAAAACCTAGTATAACTTCGGAAAATTTGCAGGAATGGTAGAATACCAAACAAGGGCAAGCTTTTGCACCACTTAGTATCCTACATGGCATTTTTTGAAGTCAAATAAGAAAAAATTTCCAAAAAACTCATTAAATTTGTTTACTTCAGAACACAGCGATTTCCAAGAGCGGTCAATTCGACTTAGCGTGTATGAGCACATATATAAAAACAATTTTTCATGCGATAAAAAGCCTCGGGTGCTCAATAGACATTGACAGAAACGCGCGCTTCAATGAAGACAGGATGTTTTTTTCCCATTAAAATGTCTTGCATTAATTACGGTTAATTTATGTATCTGTCTTTCCGTCTCACAAAAAAAGTATTTCATACGTATTTCATAGGTGTAAAAAAACACACATATCCTGGGAATGTTTTAAAACGTCTACAGTTTGCATGTGTGTGTAATCAATTCGGATACACGTAACGAGGACCTAAGACACAAGCATTGTAATTTTAGATCAGGTAAACTCTTTTTAAGATTTTAGTGCGACATCGTTTGTCAAAACGTCATCCCTGAAAGATACGGGTTTGTTTGTCTACGGCGTCTTATAAAAGATACAAATCGGTATCGTAAATTGTTATGGAATAGAATTCACACCAAATGTGCGTAAGAGACGTCACATGTGTGCAATAAGTAGATTATGGAAAAAAACAAGAGCGCGAGGACGTATTCAATTACTATTTACGTATGCATACCTGAATTTTGTCTGCTTTCGCTTTGCAATGGATAAGACAGACGGCGATTTTAGTGCGAATATCAACAGGAGTTTCCACCCCAACTTCAAACGTAAAGTCGGAAATTTTCTCATTCACAAGATCCTCTTCAGTAAGCACTTCGGCTGCATTCACTAAAGAGTTGCAGTATTCAGCATCCTCAAAGGTCACATCGCAATATTGACATAACACCTAAAAATTTCCAAAAAAAACTATGATAGCGAATACGTTTTTGGCAGACGGGGGGGGGGAGATTGTTTATTTCATAAAGTTAAAAATCCGTTTATGGAGCGACTTGTGTCAGGGCGTATCAGTTAGAGTTTGATAATAATTATGGCGAGAGCCTAAATGCTGCATCTAATGTAAAGGCTATGATGGCAATCTTAGTATCTATCAAGCTAAAGTACAAGACTGCACACCAACATCATGAATTCATTGAATTAAAACTCTCAAAACTGTACAGACTTCAAAATGTAAAATTGTTAGCTAGCGATAAATACAAGCCAGTCACATGTAATGAATTGAACCAACGACACTAGTTCGCTAAATGTTTTTTTAAGAATGTGTATCAACCAAGATGCATTGCGCGCATTTGTTTATGTTTACATCGTTACTTTTTTAGCTTGCGGCACACTGAATTCAATTTCGTGACTACATCGTCTAATTTATCTGAAAAGTTAGCAAAAATATTGATTAAGAAGCATTGTTTGTCTACGTTATACGGACTACAATAACAAAATCCGCCACTTTCTCGATCCACAAAATGGCCGTCACGCTGTGACTAACGCGCAAAGCATCTTGGTTGACACGCATTTTGTAAAACATCTACGACATAAAAACTGATCTATCAACAAAACTCACTTGGAATGCTTTGTTAAATTGACGCAGTGACATATAGAGTTCGGAGAAGATGTTTACATCTAAGAAAAAAAGCTGTTAGTCTATCAGGGTGCATTATATCTAGTTATATTTTGAGCGAAAACATCACTTGGAACTCGCAAATTAATTCATTTCACACGTATGGGGGTATTTAGAACAGCTTTTAATTCAAATCTATTGATAAGTTCAGTACTGTATTAAACAACTGAAATATTCACCGCCAGATTCGATACCAACAAATCGTTAAAAGTTACTTTCAATTAGGAGTTTTCTAAAAGATTTTCACGTTGAATATTTCAGATCATCACTATATTAAGTGTATTTTTATTGTCCACATGTCCCATGAAGATATAAGCAATAAACATGTCAATGTGCGATGCAAAGTAGGCTACAAACAATGCACCTTCGTATTTGATTTCATCTGGATATTTCTTGAAAGCTTGGTACAATACTTCAATTGCTTTCTCAGGTTGTTTGTCGCTATGGTATAACTAAATGCGAAAACATTTGGTATGGTGAAAACAGCTAACATAAGTAGGATGTTTTTGGGAGCATGCAGGAATGTAAGATGTTTGTATTCTAGATAGCCACGCTACATGCAAATGCCTTAAGCTAACTGCAAACGGCGGTGAAAAGAACGTTATGCACATTTACAGTAGAGTGTCCATAACATTTTGCAACATTTATAGACAAGAATCTATTACGTAGTAATTAGAATGGAATAAAATGAATGAAGAACTAGCACATAAAGTTTGCACTACGTATAGTTCAAACTACATAGGTAATTGGAATTTTTATCATCTGCCTGCAAATTATACAGGCATATTTTAAGGAACTGCTTTTTATGGACTCAATCTAAGACCAGTTCAATCACCGGCTTTGCTACATCTGCCAACACCAGCCAGTAATCATCTGATTAGCATAGCATTTTAAAAGACAGCGCAAATAAAAACATCAGGTAGCTATCACTAGTCAGACGAGGTCGTGTATGGAAAAATTCCTGAAGAAAACAGAGCATCATGTGTCCCCCCCCCAAAAATACAGTCAAGCAAAATGGCATTCCTCTATAAAATAAGTGGCACCTAGAGGCGAAACCAGCCGGATCATTTACTCCTGCAATGCTAACAAATTCCATTCATTGTTTTTCCAGCGATTAAACACAAAAATATTTGCATTGTAGGCGAAAAAAACGGGCTGGCTTCGCTATTGGCGGCACCTACCCCTTAATGATAGCTAGGCGAGAATTGATGGCAAAAAGATGACGACATGACGACTATATCAAATCATCATAACATCATAAAAGATTTTTGTCCTTCAACTTCTTGAACAATATGTTACGGTTAGAGAAGTCTTTTATCCACAAAGGATAACGAGAAGATAAAAATGCCAACATCATTTTGTCATCATCAATTTCCACAGACAAGAAAGCTCAAAAGTACAATACAAAAAACTCAGTTTGACCAGCTTTCTTCTTACTTACTTGTGCAACCATTTTGGCATGCGAAAAATACTTTTCTCCGTCATTCGGCAAAACCTGACAGAAAATTGTAGTATATTATGCCAATAAATTAATGCAGCACATTTTGGAATATAGCTATTTCCAGTTCTAAGCCCTTTGAGTCAATTCGATTGGTAAAATTATATTCTTAAGAAATTCAAACCAATCACGTTTTTTTTTAAAGAAGTTTGAATATAAAATTGAGCAGCTATAATTTATTTTGACGAATGCTGGGATCCGCTACTGTATTATACAGAGAAAAAGAAACGTCAAAAAACAGTCTGTTCATAAATTTACGTTCACCTTAAGTATATTTTCATATACTTCCATCTTCTTTTTTTGCTGCTTGAGATTCTCATAAATAGAAGCTTTGGTCATGAGAATGTCGACATTTGTGGGATCTTTTCTGCTGGCTAAAACGTACAAATCGACCAAGCATTTATATCGTGATAAATTAAGTGGCTGTTCAGTTAAAATTGAAAAACTTAAAAGCAAAATGAATGATCTCTTTACCCCACCTTCATTAAAACATATCAGAGCTTCCTGCGGATTTCCTCTCTTTAAGGACGTTTCACCCAATTCAATCCATTCCTCGCAATCAGCTGACCCCAAATGAGCTGCAATCAACTTGTACTAAGATACAAAACATTACAACTATAAATTGTAACTTCAAACTTGTGGCAAAACTGACTTTTACTAAAATTACCTGATGAGCTTTGACAGGGTCATTTTTCTCCTCGCAAATGAAAGCTAGCGTTTGAAATGGTTCTGGGACGCGGGGAACTAAAACAAACACTGATTCATAAGTACCGTAGGAGATTATGCTTAACAGCGGTTTATTTAACATGCAATCAATGTAACATTTATCAATATATGTTTATTTTCGCAGTCCTAGAATTTGGTACACAGGCGCACATCAGTAGACGAGGAGCGTGTAGGTGTGACACAACCCCGGCTTCTCATAAGTTTGTGTGAAAATTCGGTCGATGAACTGATAGAGACCGAAACAAGTTAGTCCTTCTAAAATTTTGGGCATAGCTATGAAATAAAGACAATACAAAAGTCGGTCCCAGTACGATAAGCCCCCCTCTCCAATTCTTTTTTTAGGGGGTGGGGGATGTGCGTTCCTGAATTGGTGCAAAATTGATAAAGCCCTTCCGTTTAAATAAGTGTTCAAATTCTAAAGAAGGTGCTCTTTAGCCAGAGTTGGTGTTTGATTTCTATAACGTCGAGGTCATGGTGAAAATTCTAATTAAAAATTTAGCTACGTTTCTAGGTGAAAAAATTGAAATCATTCAAGACGGTGCATTATGCTTGACCTTATCTAGCCCTGCTCCTACGTACGTGTCTTAGTTCTTATAAAATTGTCTGAGCACTAAAATAATAAACATTTCGTCTTTTTAACTGTAAATGCGCAGGGTCGTATAACGCTAATCGAGCATTCAAAATACTTTCCTTCGACGTAAATTTTGGGATATACCTTTTTGAATTAATTCTTCGCATAGATTCCAAGCTTCATCAAATTGTTTCTTAGCATACAACATGTTGATCTTGCCCATTAAAGCACGATGCTCCCTGCCAAGTTCATTCATTCGTCTACGACGTTTTCGCTTTTTGCCAATGATTGGTAGTTCATCCATGAATTCGTCGACAGATTTAGCAGATTGAGAGGCTTGTCCCATCAATAGAAGTTCCGTCATTTTCTTTGGGAAACGTACAATGGATGGATGAAATAATTCAGAAGACGAGTCAGGACAGTCTTCGTCATCATGCTTATTGTCCGATTCCCCAACTTTTGATTGACCTGCACAATACAGACACAGAGAGAACATGACAATTATTAAAAGATTCGCTTCATGCTCGTTTTTAAACCATTTTGAGTTTACAAAATTTATACGGAAAAAGCACAACAACTACTGAATGCAAGCTATCAGTGTGTGAATTAGTTCAGAAAAAACGATGTGCAATTTTTTTGACAAAAGTGTTTCTTTAGAGGCATAATCAAATCGATATTACGTTAATGATTATATAGCGCTAATTGCTAAATTAATATTTTTAAACGTGCACAAATTCATATGATTTACGACAGTGTTTTTCGTTAAAACCGCTGATTTTTGCACATCGTTTGAAAAAATGATGTGCAATTGTTTTCGTTTTAGCTAAAACGATGTGCAAATTGCATATTGCACACCGTTAATTCGCACACTGCAAACTATGTTGCAATATTTACTGAAGGAAAAACTCAGAGGACCAACAATAAAACCCACAAAACATTAGGCAGAATAATGACATACTCTTAGCACAAGAGTATCAATCCAAACTTAATTCAGGGGGACCATAATCATATATTCTGTTATTCTGTTTTGAAATTGAAATTGTTGTGAAAAGAAATTAGTCAGGCGTAGGACTTAGCAGAATATAAGAATATGGTTACTCCATCCCCCCTCCCCCCACACACACATATAAACGTAGGATTGATGCCTAGGCACCAGAGACTATCCAATTTGCGAGCAACTGGCAAGGCAGAAGGCAACTAACATGAAGGCTACTAATGCGCAAGGCTACAAGCAACAAAAACAAAGGTCAGCTAATATAAAGGCTAAAAAATGTGCAAGGCTACAAGCAGTAAATCTAAAGGCAAGGTTGTATGTAACTAGTTTCCAGGCTACTGATGTGTAAAGGTGGAGGCAGCTAATGTAAAATTATTTTTTATCAATGGCCAGAATCAAAATCAACATCTCAACAGTTAAAAGCAAACAAAGTCTCTGACAGCTACATCTACAAAAATGAAAAGTTGTGGTAATAAGGCCTACAGAAAACCATGCTCACGTGACATGGTAGAGGTATGACACATGAACTAACACACAAAACAAGTAACTTGTCACAAACCTCTCACAATTAATTGAACTAAAGATGCACCAAAACAACGGACTAAGAAAATAATTTAAGTGTTCACATCTCTCTTTTATATAAACTGAACTTGGCACATTTTTATCTGGCTACTTCGTCAAAACAACAAAACCCATACTTGTCCTTATCAACCAGGTTGTGGTAAAATCAACAATATAGTTACATGCAGTACTTCACAAGGGGTTTTGGGACAAATCACGGGGTAAAACTCAAAATTCTGACTGTTTTGCTCAATTCCAAAGCATATTCAGAAAACGACAGTAATTTGGTAAGTGAAGACTTTTGTTTTTTGACAATATATTTGATAATTTGCATTTTTTATGACAAGTTACAGTAAATACCACACAGTTTACTCTGAATAATACCATCACATAGGATATTTCTTTAAAAATGCATACAAAAATCATGTTCTAAATTTTAATATCCATAAATGGTTTTCATGAATCAACAATCTGTATCCATGAATGGATATGATTTAACAATTTCACTATTGTTAACGAACATGAGAACTATGTAAATACTATGATGAATAACAGCATTGAGTTTTTTACATGAATTCCCAACTCAATTATAATTATCAAATAATACTCATAGGAATTTGATGCCAAAGATGACAAGGAAAAGAGTGAAAAACTCATATTTAGCAGAATTGCGTAGACAACTAAGGAAATATATGTAACCCACCCTCCCTGTTGCATATCATGGTGAAGATAGGCCAGTTTTACACCTACATGCATTCCGAAAATATGCCTATCATTATCATAAACTATATTACAAAATTGAAAGTACACGCAGAAGATCTTTAACGTAGACTACATTGAATGAGATCTGGGTTATAAACAAATGGTGACATGAAAATGTACAACTCACTCAAACCCTTATGGCCCCCCTTCCACTCAAACTCACCAACAACAGCGTTCTTTTGGCTGATGGCATCGGAGGTCTCATTAAATTCAGGGTGTTCATTTTCATCTAACAGCACGTTTTCTCCATCTTCTGAAGGCTTATCTGGGTCACCGGAATAACATTTCAACCATTCGTCAAACGATATTTGCCCACTCAAATATTTCTCCAAAAAGCCGGATCTTTGATCATCGTGAAGATCAATTTCATCAATTTCCATAGTAATTTTGTTGATACATTGCAAGAAACTTTGGAGAAATGCTTATGACTTTAGAACTGTTAATACGTCAAATAAGTCGAAACAAAACTGCCATTCACATTTCACGGGGGTGGGGTGGGTGGGAGATTGTTATTTTCAGCATTGAGTACAGAAATTGGTAACATAACATTCAAATCAATGCTATATAAAAAGTATTTTTCAATGAGCTTAAAAAATATATATTTTTCATCACACTAATACTGGAATATAGTTACAGAATATATTTTTTGCAAATTTGAAAACTTTCTTTTTCGGGAGAGTGGCTACTTTATTTAAGAGGATAGATATATGGACTGTGCAGTATCTCTAAACTTGTGTTGTTTTCGTGCATTCATAAAAAAATGTTTGAAATAGCACGACTAAAATATTCAAACACATTTTATTTCAATATTTGTTGTACAAGGATCAACTACAAGGATCATTTTCCCTTGGAACTTGATTAAATTTAGGATAACAACCATGTCTCATTCTGTACTCCTGTAAAAGATAGTACACGACTTCTGGTGGATTTTTTGCAGGCATCCAACGAACATATATTTTGTTCCAGTTAGCTGCAGCATTACTAGTTAGATACGCTCCAATAGCAAGACCATCATTACCACTGAAATGCGCATTTAAGCAGTCGCGAACATTACTACAAAACGGATTTCCCCCGATATAAATTACTTCATTTTCGTTTCGTATCTCGTACACTCCTGTCAATCTATAACTGTCTCTGACTGTAAAACTTTGAACTGCAGGACGCCAAGTAATGTTGTCAAATTGTTGTCGAAGTTGGTTCATTTTTTGCATCCAAATTTCAAAACCTTTGGCATCATGGTTGCAGCTTCTATTCATTGTCAAATCTGATTAAAAAAATTGTGTTTTCAGTGTGATTTTTTCTTCAAAGCTACATTTTAGGAAATGTATATTTAAGAAAGATATAGTTACACAAAAGCGCGTCAAACCTATAAAGTTGAATAAAAAACTACGCCATGATTCTTTGAAGGGATTTATAATGAGTTCGCTCACATCATCCATTTTATTACGAAAAAAAATAATTGTAACAGTCGCTTACTTTATGACAGAATTGAAATTTGAAAAAACCACCCACAAACGTTTTGGGCTGCAGACCTTTAAAACTATTCGTCTAAATCATTCATTGTCATTCTTAGAAATATTAAATTACTGTAAAACTTACTTTTGCTACTTTTTTATTTGAAATTTTAACGTAGACATTATCCTAAAGAGTTCTTTGGTGTCGTAATTGACTTTAGTACCATATTTGTAGAAATTATAGAAGTTTCATGATGAAAAAGACAAATAAATACTTGTATACAGACGTTGTTCTTTCTCACCTTTTTGGTCTATCTTCTGTAAGAACTTCACGCATCAAAAATATTTTTTAATCTTACGTTGTCACGGGATACGCAATTTAACGGTTTCTTTCGTGAGCATTTCACGAGCTCGTTCAACTGACCTATACCTATGCCTGGACACAAGAATTATATTTTAATGCATTAAAAATATGAATACAGTCCTAATTTGACATTAGCCCACTAATGATGATGATGGTGATTAAGCCATAAAGGTTATTGGAAATAATGTATGCAGTTGAACGTTTTATCATTTTACAATTCTGCAGCATGTTAAATTACTTCAGTTGCGTTGTCCATATGAAAGTGCATTCCAGTGATTATAAAACTCTCTAAGATGTTCTTGGGAGACTATAGGCGGCCCAGAAATCTGTTTAAGTTTTTTATACAAATGATTTATAAGAATAGATTGATTTATAGAATCTAAGATACCAATGCTATTGTTTATGAATTTTCAAATAGTGTAATCATACCATTGTATTTTCAAGGATTATGAAAAAATGAGCAGTTGTCTAAGATCAAACCGGATTTTGACAAGTGAACCGTGAATGAGATAAATGCATAAAACCTCGCATAAACAGTCTTTATAGTACATTAATGCTGAAACACGTTTAAATATAATCACAGCAAGAATTATTGTTGGAAACAGAGTAAAGAGTTAGCTAACTCTTTTCTTCCTCCAAACATTCTTGATAAGGTGCCAAAGCAAGAAAAGTTTTCTTGTTTGATTCATTAACAGTTTCATTCAAACCAAATGCACTTAGGTCTCTGGCATAGCACTCATCAGCAGTCCCAGAAATGCCGTCGTCGTGAAGTACTTTAGCACACAATTCAGCAGTCTTGTCGCAGGATAACCCCTCGTTCAAATACATAGTATCATTATTAGTTCTTGAAATATCAGAGTGCGGTAAAGTTGCTTTATCCGGATGTACGCTTTCGGCAGAAAGTTCCAATAACTGCTGGCCATTTTCAGGATTAGTTGTCAGTATCAATGTGTGAGAGATAGTTTCATTCGATTCAAATAAAACTTGTTGCGATCCATGACTAGTGTATACAACTTTAGCAACATTAAACTGCACACCTCCTTGAAAGGACAAATTCTGCGCGACATTCTCAGTTACCGTTCCCACAGAAATGTCGCTCACCGTAGGTAATGAGATCTGTGCTGACTGCGCATGTGATGAAAGTTCGTCAACTTTCTTCGCTCTTGATTTCTGTTCCCTTTCTTTGCCACAATTACCCCTCTTGTGGTTCTTCAAGTACACTGAACGAGTGAAAGTCTTTCCACATTGCTCACACGAAAATGGCCGCTCCCCGCTGTGCACATTTCGATGACGTTTATATGTGGTAAGATAGTTAAATTCTTTCAAGCAAATCTCACATTTGTACGGTCTAATCCCAGTGTGAAGACGGAGATGGTTCTTGTAGCTGTCAAGACGAGTAAATTCGCGGTTACATTCTTCGCATTTGTACGGTTTGTAGCCAGTGTGTAAACGCAAATGGCGCTTATGACTTCCATAATCAGAAAATGACCTTCCGCAATATTCGCACTAAAGAGAAAAAAATTATTACCTACGTCGAACGTCAGATGCATGAACTGTGCGCCAATTACTTCAAAGTGCTAATGAACGTGTGCAAAAGATGTTGACTCGGGTAGGATAAATTGCTGTGGAAGCTTCCCAATCAGATGATTTATGGAAGATTTACTCTAGTTTAACTTAGAATTTGGTGGCTATTTTGTGGGTATCGCCGGGCCATGTCAAATTTTCTTTGTTCAATTCTGTTACTTCTCACCATGAGAGGGAGATAACTTTGGAAGTGTGCTCCCTGATCCATTAAACACAAATAACAATTGCTTTTCTTTAATTGCTTTGTATATTGATATCTTGTAGGGAAATTGGCATCCCTTCTGCACCCTCTCTAACCAAGGCTAAAAGGAGGTGCGCATCCCTCTGTATCCTCTCTAAGAAAGGCTAGGAGGTGATGCACATCCTTCCCCCAAGCAAACCATAAATGAAGATAGGTAGATTTTCTTATACTCACAGAATATGGCTTTTCTCCAGTATGTATTCTTTTATGTCGCTTAAGATCACCTAGGTTGGCAAAGCCATGGCCACAAACATCACATTGGTAAGGTCTTTCTCCACTATGTACACGATGATGTGTCTTTAGGTTATAGGATTTACTGAAAATCTTACCACAATATTCACATGGAAACACCTTAGGCGGTGTATCTTAAACAAGAGATACAAGACAAAATTTTAACTTATAATTTATTTAAACACTTACAGCACATGTCATGTCTCATACTGAAAAAATTGGATATAATATGAAATTCAATGAAGCATACGCACCATTATGAGCAGCAGTTCTTGAAAACGACGACAGAATTTTCGCTTTGTTTTCTGGTTCACTATTGCACAAGGCAACCATCACAGATGTACCACTGGCATCAAGAACTTCATTTTCACCAACAGAAGCAATCTCTGAAGTAAAAATGATAAACATATATATCATTTGCTTTTCAATTCAACTTTACTTTGACAATGAATCAATCACCTTGATTTGATGTTTCAACATCACATTCATGTGCAATAACTGAACCATCTACATGCAAAGTGCTATCTGATTGGTTAGCAATTTTCTTGCACTGTGACAGCTGAGAAAGAACACTGGCAGCATTTGTTTCATCAGCATTGCATGACATCTTACTGGATGAAAATGAAAGATGATCTCAAGCATTCAGAATTATACAAGGAAGAAACTTCAATAAAATAAATAAAGTGATTGTTGTTAAGAACTGTGTTTTTACCCAATTTACTTCATTGAATAGTTTAAAAGGCTTTAAAAATAATATAATTTATATAATATTCCCACAAAATGAAGATACACGTATTTGGTGAAAATGCTTCAGCAATATTTAACATATTAATGTAATGTTATCATGAAATAAATGCCATATTTGTCATACAATTGGCTAAAAATCTGTGAGCTACAAATGTTTATCAAGCAAATTTCAAGAAATTTTGGGTAAATTTTCATAAAATAATATTGTATGTTCTTCACAAAGCACATGCTTCCTAGCCAGCATGAGACTGCTGATCTTGCTGAACAGGTTTCTTTTCTCCTCTGTATTTATTTGAAATGTATGTTAAACTTCCTGAGGGATATAAGTGGCAGATGGGGAGGGGAGGGGGGTGATGGTTCTGCACTTTATTTTCATTCCATACCATCATCACCAGCAGAAAATAGAATGTAATAGTACTTAAGAATGTCGCAAAATGATCTCAAAAGCCAATTGATAGATCTAATTTTTTCCATACTGTAAATCAATTGAAGGCATACTTTAAATGTGTTCATAAATGAAGTAGTGTCAACACAATTGTTCAAAAAACTAAAACGTCGATTCACAAAATGTAACGTTTGCTTCACTAAATTACGATGAAAGGAAAATATCTGACACATTCACATCACATCTGCTAAACATATTATCGAATAATGGCTAACATGATTAGAAATGACAATGCTTTCTTTAATAACCTCGAATTCAACATAAACAGCTCAGCGGTTAGGTGGAACCAAATTTCATTAGCATCCTATGTATCATTTGAAAACAATGTCTGAAACAAGAATTTCGTCTTTGAAACCGCGCCTTAATTATTCAAGTTTCTTTTCAACCAGAGTATCGTATGCTTTCCTTCCAACCACTTTGCTTTCTTTCTTCATCAAATTATTTGTTTCCCGTGAGCCCACACGAGCCCGCGATTTAACGATTTAAATGACTTCCACTCCGGGGAGGGGAGGATAATGATAACTGATGAACATGATATTGGATTCAATTTCTAGTTGTTCTGGATTAACAAGTGTGATTTATGACTTGTAATAAGTGTAGTTACATGCATCCAATGCATTTCAATTGAACTATTTTCAATTCAAAGGGAGCTTAAAGTACATTATTTCATAAATTTGATGTCAAATTTATCCAAAATAGTGTTGGTGGCAGCCAGTGGATTTGCAATTGGCATCATTGTGGTCGTTCATTGGTCACAAGATGCTGATAGAAAAAGACTCAGGGAAGGTGTTCAAAGGGATTTGGAACGTCAAAAAAAGAAGAAAAATGATGAAACAAAAAAGACCTATGAACAAAACCTAACAGTCATTTCAGAAGAGCCGAGAATCAATCGATGACAAAACATGTAAAACTTTTGCTTTGTCGAACAATGTTATAGTTCAGCAGTTTATAATTGTAAATAATGATCAGTGCATGTATGAAATGACCCACATATAGCATGTTAAGTATGTAATGTGCATTTCTTATTAGACAAATGTCACACCAAGAGCAAAAATTTGTGCTTACTTGCTTCCACATTGACTATAACAAATAAATCCATCATCAAAGAGTCAAGTTACAGCACATTTATTAATGTATGAATCAATTAACAATGTTAAATAGAACTGAAAGAATATAATACTCACAATGATTTTCACACTGCTCAGTCATGGCAGTTCTCAAGCAACAACATTACTTATTAATTTATTCTCATTGGGTTATTAATATGCTACTGCTTGCTCATAAAATAGCCCCCCCCCCCTCAATGTCCCTATCCTGGATACGTAGTGCCTGTTAAAGTAGAGCTCAGCTTCATAAGTAACATTTCATAGAAATTAGCACAAGTACATACACGATGAAAGATGTTCGAGAAAGTAATAACGAGTTCTGCCAACATACCATCTCGGAAAACTACATGGCATGTCATATTTGGTGAGGACGTATGTGCTAGCGTGTGAACACGTATGTGCTAGCGTGTGAACACGTATGAACTAGCGTGTGTACACGTATGAACTAGCGTGTGAACACGTATGTGCTTGCGTGTGAACACGTATGTGCTAGCGTGTGAACACGTATGGGCTTGCGTGTGAACGCGTATGTGCTAGCGTGTGAACACGTATGTGCTAGCGTATGAACATGTATGTGCTTGCGTGTGAACACGTATATGCTAGCGTGTGAACGCGTATATGCTAGCGTGTGAACGCGTATGTGCCATTGCTATGTGCTAGCGTGCGAACGCGTACCTATTTTAAGATTTCATGAGTAAAGTATGGGAAAGGAGGTTGGTTGGAGAAATCGATTCATGCTCTACACTGCAAATGTTCAATCATTGAAAACGCATTTCATCATCATCACAGGCACGATTATACGCGTAGACTTGTAACAGTAAGATTACGTTCAGCAATCAATAAACAACAAAACCACTTGTTTTAAACATTGGCTCGTTCCACTTTCGTAGCTACAACATTCGTAGCGAAGCACCCTACACCCCCCCCCCACGTGAAATTACGTAAAACACACTTGTTGGTGCAGATCAAAGTCCAATCATAATGATACATGATCTAATGTAGTACACAGCTACTCTTTTACAAACGCATGAATGGTGACACATTCATGGGGACAAGTTATGACTGCTCCTTAATACATCATTTCTATGTGTTTACTGACGAGCATGTACTTGCCTAGATTGCGCAAGGATCACACAAGTACAGTATTTAAATATATTGTAATGTTTTAGAAAATTTGCGAGAAAATTTTCCTCCATAATTACGTAATATACTTACTCACATAATTACGTAAAAGACTTACTGATATAATTACGTAATAGATTTACTAACATAATTACGTAATAGACTTACTGACGTTACTATACCCTACACCTACACATGACAACAAAATTCGAGTCTCGCATCCCGTTCTTATGTCTTCATCGTCGTAATTCGTTAAACTTTGAACTTTAAAAACAACCCCAAAGAAATCACGAAGATGCCGTAAAAATTGTATTCTACAAAATGAAAGCAAAACTGTGATATCACTTATCAGAGTCTATGGAGAGATGAAAATTAGAAAGACAAGTTTCAAGCTTGTGGTATGAAAGATATACTCGAAAGGGGTAGAAAATATCTTACGTGTATGATGATAAAACTCCAGTGAGCAGTTTTGAAACATCGCGTTGACCTAGAGCCATAAAGAGCAACGGTAAACTCTGATGTTTTGAATCGACACAACCGCCCTATTGGAGACAGAGATAGATAAATACGTGAAGAATCAATCATGTGTTTACCACAGAAGGATGAGTTAGCAGGTTCAAGGAGTTATTAATAACACGGCTTCATAAAAATTAGCTACAAGAGAAACCTCACCCGGTAAATCTCTTCAAGAAGCATCATAGCTGTCTTTCTGCCAATATCTTCCGGGGATACGGCACCTTCCTGGTCAGCAGGTTTTGATGCGCCTTCGGCACTTAGTAGAGTACCTTTCGTTGATTCGGCAACAAGGGACAATCCAAAACCAGGTGATCTAAATCCATAAAACATGAACCTGGCATTAGTATTTCAATTGCGTAAACATCCTATAACCCAGTATTCACAGCTTATTCAGGGTGTTTTTCAAAAATATAGATTTACACGCTTGAATTTAAAAAAAATTGATGTAAATTACATTTTCTCGTTATTACTAGCGCTGTATCAAATAACTTAATGACATTCTCCATAAAGAGACAGGTTCAAATATTTGAACAACGGTTCTACTAGTTCTACGTTATTTGTGAAGAAAGCAGTGTTGTTAATTGTATTTTATGTAAACAATCATTTGATCTGGTCATGCAAATGGATCTTTGTGATCACGAGTTACAACATAGAACTTAGCATTCAAAATGTTGTCAGTCAAATCATGAATGTTGTCAGTCAAGTGATGAATGTTGTCAGTCAAATCATGAATGCTGTCAGTCAAATCATGAATGTTGTCAGTCAAATCATGAATGTTGTCAGTCAAATCATGAATGTTGTCAGTCAAATCATGAATATTGTCAGTCAAATCATGAATATTGTCAGTCAAATCATGAATATTGTCAGTCAAATCATGAATGTTGTCAGTCAAATCATGAATGTTGTCAGTCAAATCATGGATGTTTTCATTTGTTCCATTTTAAAGGGTATTCCTATCTGTGACTTGCGAACAGACCATTCATAATAACTGACTTACATTTACCTTCCAGCTTGAGCACCTTTGCAATGATCAGTATAAATATAAATGTCCGAAACACATTTGTTCAAGATTTCCCTTGCAGCATCAACAATTCTGTTTACCATAGCGGGAGAAACTCTCACAGAATATCTTTGTTAAAATGTTAAGTAAAAAATAAGCCAACTTGAGGCATTCCCCCAAAAAACGCAAGCAAACTGTCAAATCAATGAAATCAAGTAATCAATGACTACAACATGATCAATTTAAGTCCTTAAAACCAACACATTAAGACCTTATAAGTTATAATATCTTATGACTTGATTGACTTCATGTATATACGTATTAGAACATAAAAACGCAGCATGGTGGTTTTTTTAAATAAAAAAGATACGCAAGTCCCCGAACACGTTTGATTTTTCCAGCATCATTAAGGTGTAATGGTCGTAAAGTTCGTCTCACGGGGCATGAAAACACCACCTCGCCACCTCCATTTGGTGCTGCACCTCTTTTCACAATCTAAACATGTGTTGCAGATATTTTGACAATTATTGGGTAGGATTGCATGTCCAGATTCGTCCCTAAGAGTTCTCAAAAGTTCCCATTGAGATTCCTTATGGTTTCTTAAGAACAGTGGAAGATCCAGCAATAGGCAGAACAAAATAGAAAAAGTTCCTTCAAGTTCCTTGAACATATACATACATTTCAAAATACTTGAAAGGTAGTTAGCAATATGTAAAATTTTATTCTTTAAAAATTCAAAATCAAAATATTGGTAGCATTTATTAAAAATTGTGGCCTAGGATTTGCTAGCAGAAAACAAGTTTTCACAATGAATATAATAGGCCAACATAAGACTTTTAATCATTGCTCAATGATGTTTTGTCTTCAACAAAAGATATCTTCATACGTATAAAATGACAGACATTTATAAGTGGATTTCTAAAATCATAAATATATAATTATCAGCTTCTATTGGAAGCTTAGTGTGAACATATATCATTGTATATTGTAGCTTTATGCATATGCATAGTTTGTATAAAAGATTAAAGATATTTTTGTTCATACCTTAAGATCTAATCCTTCATCATCCAACAAAAATCTTTTCATCAAAGGAATTGTAACAGTCTTAATTATGTCAACCTAAAAAATTCCTTATAGCTAGAACACATTTGGTAAGTTGAATGGGAAAAATTCATTGATTATTATGTGGTAATAAGCTCTTATACAGCAAGTGTTACAATCAAATTTATTGAAAGTGACCTTGATCCAATACTTCTTAAGCCCACATTATAGTACATTCCAAAGGCTAATATTTCTTTTGTGATGGCATAGCAATCAAGGTCGATGAAATGTTTTATTATACAGCATATGAGATTTGTACTTAAGCTGTTTCTTTTAAAAATTTGTTTACTTTTTTTGTGATGGGCCGTCAATAAAACTGTGCTGTTTCACTGGAAGTGACATCTGCCATTTTATAACAGCTCATGAAGAGAAATTGAAAAATCGTAATAATTACACACTGATGGGTCCTCGCCGTCATTTGTCACCCCTCGGAGTGTCAGCTGTAAAGGTCTTTTACAAAACGGTGCAAGACAGACAACACTTTCAAGAAAATAACCAATTGATCTTTGCAAACTACAATCATGATCTACTGTTCCACCAATAAGCAATCCAGGTTTATAGAATATAGAAGTGCCTGAAACGAAATACAATGGACGAATGACATTGCTAAAAACAAACCTGACCAACGCTAACATCTACATATAGCAAAAAGGGATCAGAGCTAAAATATTCATTCTTATACAATGTGTATTTCTTTCTGTATTTTTATGCAAGTCATTTGACAATCGTGAGTGTATAAATGTGTCCATTTTCATCAATACATTTATGACTTCACGTTACTACGATTTTTTTAACCATAATTAAATACCTGTTTCATTAACTTCAATCTTAGATCCATTGGTTATCTTGTCAAGTAACCTTATAAAACCAGCTTCAAAAGCTAAATCCAAGACAATCAAACATATTAAAATAGTACATTAGTTACTAAGATGAGCACATCGTTGCACATGGCACAAAAATAAAGGAAACTTTAAATTTTTAATTGAAATTATAGAAATGCAACTTACCACAAAGACCTGGATCATCATCAAATGTTCTTATATTTTTTATCATAACTGATTTTCCACTCAATGTAGAAAGAACAAGTCTTTGACGATAAAAATTACATCCTTCGTAATTCAAGTCGGCCGCCATTGCTGATTTGTTTCGGACTTCGAAAATCGGAACTAGTTCGGATCCGTTCGGCTCATTTCCGGAACTTAATCGGGTTTCCTTCGGGAAAAAATGCGCATTCGCAAAATTGTTTTCCAGTTCCACAAAATGGCCGACGACGACGTTGGAGATGGGTCTGTATTTGGTATATTTATTGCTCGTTTTTGTTGCTAAAAATTTGTGGTAATATCTGTTTTTTCCGCGAAAACTATTTTCTAAAGGTTTGACGACGATTTAGAACAATTTGAGGAGGAAGAACCGCTTGAAGATGTTGATGAGTTAGAGGTACAAAATTCATTGTTAAATTAAAATGTTATCACTGTTTAATATATATCAATATATCACAATATATGATCGTTGTTGGACGATGAAAAATCTCGGTTTTTCATCATATAATCCTTTTCTATAAATTTATAGCAAGTAGATGAAAATGGTGGCGGTTTTGAAATCTTACCAGATGGTGAAGAAGGAACTGAATCAACAAGACATGTGACAACTCCATACATGACAAAATATGAAAGAGCTAGAGTTCTTGGAACACGTGCCTTGCAAATCAGTATGGGGGCACCTGTTATGGTTGAGCTAGAAGGGGAAACTGATCCATTGCAAATTGCCATGAAAGAATTAAAAGCACAAAAGATACCTATTATAATACGTCGTTACATGCCAGATGGAAGTCACGAAGACTGGGGTATTGATGAACTTATTATCACAGAATAATATCAAAGGAACTTTTCATATAAACCTCTATGACTTCAAGGACTGTCTATTGCACTTCAATTTAGTTTATTCAATAACAAAAAAGGTTCAAGGCAATAATGCAGGTTCCCCTTTGTTAGTTCAGAGGTCTCTCTGTAGATGCTTTTTGTATAACATTCATTCCGACCAATAACAACAAAATGGTTTTTAAATTTTGTTATGTATATAGTTTTATTGTTTCAAACCTACTTTTTTGTATTCATTTACTTAGACTTACAATTTAGTTATTCCATCATAAGTAACAAGTAAAAAGGTTTTACCTCGATAAAAACCCTGTTTCAAATTCAACATGTAACAAGATAATGATTTAGCTGCAATGTTCAAAGTTTTTTCCTGGTTGAACAAACGGGGGGGTTCGAATCCCGTTGAGTCACCTGATTTTTTCAGGTCCTGAGACGATTGCTTAAATTGTCCAGCTAAGTGCGAAGATCATATCTCATTTAATTATCTCATTTAATATTTAACTCTAACAAACAAAGCAGATAGGTCAAATTTCGCAATTGGATTGGATGCATTTTCTTAAGAAACTTTTTTTAATAATAGAGAGAATATGAAAGAAAAAAATTTTTAAATTAAATAATCAACAATAAATTCGCCATTTACATAACACAAAAGCTTCAGTAGCTCAAGCAAAAAACTGTAAATATTAATGAGAAACGCTCGTACTCATATAATCTTACTAGTGGTTTGAATTGAGTCTTCCTAGTCATCTAAATAGAGCTTTTCCCAGATGGCCTGCGTTATAGAAAGGATTAAAGCAACTCGGAAGAGTAATTAAGGACCAGACTCAAAGGGCCAGTATAACGAAAAATTTGTTATAAAAATTATTGTTTCATTGTAAAGACATCGTAAAATGACTGTGGAATTTCAAAAACAGTTTGGTCGTATTTTTTTTTATTCTCAAGACATGAAGTTTTGTGAATTTCATTATTAAAAATATCAATCATTGTTATTTGTTAAGTGTTCATGGCATGCAATTCTGCATAGGTATTTTATCAAAAAATCTGGCAGGCAACTAAACTATATCACAAACTAGCAGCGACTCATGTAATGCAACGTTACATTATAAAACTTCAATATCTTTAATGGGAAAAGAGATTTGATTACACTGTTTTAGGAAGTCCACAGTTATTTTACGAGATCTTTCGAGGAAACGCATGCCGAAACAAGAATTTCAAGCATATTTTTTTCGTCAAACGGTACCTTTCGTAAGAGATTTTTTATTCAAGATGAAAATTTTGTTTCTTGAGCACTTTAAAACGAAAAGTTAGCGTTGCTTTACGCATGCAATGATCGTACATTTCTACAACTATAACATTGATGTCAATAAATAAATGAGAATTAACGTATACGCGAGTTGTTCCTTCTAACTGATATGTTACACAATCAAACGTCAACGTTCAATCCTTTGCTCTTCAAAAAAGCTTTGTTGTTTGGTTTACGACCAAGGAAATTTTGCAACATGTCCATTGCGTCCTGGAAATAGATAAATAAAGTCATCAATTAACCATACTAACGTTATTTTGAAATACGAACATGCGTCAATGTAGGTTATATAGCTAGAATAGTTTCCTAGCAAACATTTGGAAAATTTGGCAATAGTGAGCGGTGCAAGATTGGTAAGTCACTAACAATTGGCATTGATTCGCAAATTTTGTGGCACTTATTTTAATGGAACAACAGAAGTCAATAGAAATCAACAACCGTAGGTGGAGGAATCGCCCCAAGGCTTTCGTTACTAAGGATGTAATAAAACCGTTCAATGATAAGGACGTAATAAAACTGTTCAAGAGAAAAAGAAAGATTTTCGTTCTGCAAAAAACTTTCTTACCTAAAAAAAAGATGACTAAACGGGTGACACAGCATGAAAATAATAAATCCAGTTCATTTCTTACCAGAGATCCACCTGGCTCTAAGATACAACGCCTGTATTCCTTTCCAACTTTAGCGTTCATAATTCCTTCTTTCTTGAAGCGACTGTGGTACATATCCATACAGTAAACTTCACTCCACTGAAAAAAATGATCCGTTTAGTTGTATAATTTCTTCAGACGCTCAAACTAGAGACACGTTGTAAAATTTGACTGAATCAATGCTAAATATCTTGAAATTCGTGCATCACTTAGATCTATTCTCATTCCTAAGAATCATCTGCGCAGTCATCAAAGCAAGAAGATGAGTAGTTTGTTCGATCGTGACATGGAAAAAATCATCCATGTAAATAATATAAATTTATCAAAATTAATTAGAGTAATTTGAGTAATTAGATTTGTTTGTTTCATCGTGACATGGAAGAAATCATCCATGTAATTATTGTAAATTTATTAAAATTAGAGTAATTTGAGTAATTAGAGTTGTTTGTTTCATCGTGCCATGGAAGAAATCCTCCATGTAAAAATAATGTAAATTTTTTAAAATTCACCAGTAATAAAGGAACAAAGAGATACTTCGCAACAAGCACACTTATTTCAATACTTATCCCATTACAGTAACAAACTATTAATACGAAATGGTGCATAAATGAAAAACTTACAAGATAACCGTAGTATTGGGCGTCATATCCTCCGGTTAAATGACCAAATGATGCAGCCATATTAGTTCCTAACAGAACGACAAAAACGTACTTAGACATAAAGCAGGCACATTCAAAGTAAAGAAATTATGAAAAGAAACGATGGAAATAAGTCGACGTCTCTTCTATGATATTCGTAGATAGTAAATAAATCAAGCTTGAAAGAACTTATAAAGACATTTCAAACCTGGAGTGGCGGCAACTTGCAAAATCTCCTGGGAAAGCTTTGCCATTATGTTTGCAGTGTCAGCCTAACGACGAACATATTAATTAATGTATTTAATCGTGAAAATGAAATGAATATTCGCCACCCACCACACCCCCTCTCCTTAGCAATACCTTTCCTCGAGTATGGATGGCTTGATCAAAACTTCCAAGTAGTATCTAAAATGTTGAATCATCTCCATAAGTTGATTTGTTTTTTCAAATAGCAGCCAATTTATTCCTCATTTCCTATCTTAAATTCTATTGTGTCAGTTAGAATCTACTTAGGTAAGACCCAAAATCATATCAGCAACAGCATGGTAAAATCTAACATTTATGATGAAATAAGAAAAAAGCATATCAAATAACCAGACACTGTGTATCTTTAATTAAAATCCTAGAAAATTCCGTACAACATAAAGTATCAATCCGTTTGTGGCACACGTTCATCAAAGAGACTACAATCGTAGTAAAAGATAGCATTTCATATATATGCTCTTTTCTGCTCTTATGTTTCTGCTCTTATGTAGATCTCATTTGCTAGTTTAGTTTGATGTATGTGTATACGTTTGATGGATGATAAGCAGTATGCAGCATTTAAGTTACCTGTCTTAAATTACTAACACCAACATTTGCGTAACGTGACTTGATTAAAGTATCCAACATTTCCTCAGGTAGCGGCGTGGAGTCTGAAACGACAGACGAAAAGTACGTAACCTGTATAAAAAAGACTTGAAGATATTTTAGTTCAAAAAATAATATATTATTCACAGTTGCTACGTTTATTGTTGTTCAGCTGATAAATATATATGATCGTTGTCCATCAATGAAAAATGTCGGTTTTTCAAAAGTAGACGACCTCACCATAATCCTTTTCTATAAATTTATAGCCAGTCGACGAAAATGATGTGACAACTCCACACATGCAAAATACGAAAGAACTAAAGTTCTTCAAAGTGTGCAACTTGTATAAAAAAGTTGATAGGTTTATAAAAGCTATAACATGTAAAAAGTGAAGAACTTGTGAAAAGTTATAGCTTGTATTTGTACTTATAACTTTTAAAAGTTATAACTTGTAAAAAAAAGTTTTCCCGTTCCTTCTACAAATACCTTTAAAATGCGACGACATTCTCCTTAGAGGTTCCTTTTCCCAGCACCAGTTTTCCAACATCTGTGACGGTGCTTCCACAAAATCACGTTCGACATTCAATCCACTGGAAAATGAAAGCAAAATTCGAGTTCATATGGAAATATGTTACTGCAATATAACACAATAACAAGCACTACAGTTTGCAAGCCTGGGGCTGGTTGCACGAAGCCTGGATAACGTTATCCATTGGATAGCAAAAATCTTCAAACTTATTAAAAAGGTGTTAATATTTTTCTTGCGACAAAGAAATTTCGTAATCTTCGAAACAATATTTTATTTCAATGATTGTTCAGTTCAAATCTTATAATTTTTGCTTCTTAAAAGTTTTGTAAAAGTTTAAAAAAAATTGCCATCCAATGGATAACGCTATCCTGGCTTCGTGCAACCGGCCACTGCTCTATATATTCTATTTGACACACAATACGACTTAAACAATTATGTAAAATAAAGTTAAAAGTTTTACTGTATAGATTCTACTTTAACATTTGGTAATGCTGATAATAAATCAGTATCTCGAGTTGAGTTCGATCACCTGAATATGGGATAGTTAACTTTGATACACAAACTGTGCATCACATGACCAAATTCGTGGAAATAAGTTTCTACCTGTAAGAATTGGCGAAAATACACATCCATCATTGTTAGCCCTGTCATGATACGAAGATAAATATGTTCAATTATCTACTCAAACATCACCCAAAATGACCCCCGACCAATTCAAACCTAGCTTCAGTTCACGAAGAAAAATTACTTTCAGGAGAAAAATAACCAAAGTTCATATTTACTTCAGTATGCATCAGTAACGAAGGTCGATCTGAACTTGGCTTCGTAAAATTTGCAACCATCACCGCAACGGCAAGCTTAAAATTTTCAAAAAAGAAAACGCCAGATGCTATCACCACAAGTAGTATGAAGCACAACCCCCTTTTACCATTTAGAAGTGAAAAAACTTGGGATACCTGTCTCGATCCATCAGCTAGTCTGCAACCGGGCTGCAAAGATGTTCAAGTTCTTAGAAACATTGCCAATAGCGTTGTCAAGAACTAAGAACGCGCAGCTAAGAACTTTATCTAATATGGATAACACTATTAACGAGCCAGAGATCATTAAAAAGTCAAGATCTATTTAGTGCCGTAACAATTTTCTACTCTGAGGATCAAATCATCACACGCTCGAAATGCATTAAATTTCTCACTAAATTTATATACATAAGAGACGATACTTATATGACTAATTTCAAATTGTACTTTAAATACATTGCAAGCAAAAGTAGCGTTAGCAAATAATGTACTTTGAATGAAGACAAAATGTTGACTTAACTATGAGTTTTACGCAGCCAAACATCTTTATAAAACAAATGAAAGATGAACCTGTATAGGAAAGCATGCGGCGTGTCCAAATTTGCCTTCTCTTGGAAATAAATCGAGATAAAAATATCCCAATAGTTCACCACATTCACTATCTTTTACACTAAACTAAAATGAAAAAGCGGATAGGAAAAACTTAGCCTGCGTCGTAGACCCATTAAAATTATGATAACGGAAGATTACCGCGACACATTTTATACAAAATAAGATATGGGATAAAAAGGGAGATTGCATATTATACAACTGCACGTATTTATACATTATGAGCACATTAGCACATTATGAGAGTTAAGACCTACCCTTAAAGGGCAGGGGGGGGGGCTTATTCAAAATATTAAGGAGGGTAATATAAATTATAACAGTTACCTTCCATTAAACATTTGAACTTCTTTGCGGTATTGATACATACAATATTCCCAAAGAGTTTCTATACAGTGCTTTGCATGTGACCACACATATATATATATAGACTATAAAACTCTTACACAATAGTTATGGAGCAGTAGCTAGCCAGGTATCTATCAAACACTAAGAACGTACCATGCGCACTTCATCGCACCAAACAGGAGGATTCTTAATTTCTTCGAATTTCAATCCAAGAAGTTCCTAGAAATAATATGAAGTCCCAGTTTATATGTACTCAATCCAGTTCCACGTTCACGCAAGCCAACCACACTAACCTGGTATATTGATAAAAGACCTAAAGAAAAACTACAGATGTTGAAGTTAATTTGTACATTACACAAAAATATGTGGAAAGATTTTGGGTGGCTGTATAATAAATGAATGCAGTTAAGTCGTGTGTCGGTCAATGAGATCAACCTTCGTATTTCATGAAGTATAGCGAGAGAAATTCTCATAACCGCAACTAATTTAAAACTTACCATTTGTCACAAAGGACATTGGAAAGTATTCTTTGATTTTACTTTGATCAACAGCATATTTGATTTCTTCTATTTTGTTCATATAATATCGCAAATCCCAACCATTTATCTTTCCATCAAAATCGAAGCCAAGTTCTTTGCACTGAAAAAACAAACAACAATCAGTAACATCAATGGATAAGATTCGATGATTTTTCGGAAAACATATTTTCTACAATTTTATACAAATGGCTTATGAGTATAAACCTACTTCTTTATGTTTCAGATCAAGCATCGTCTTTAGGTCATCTTCACCTAATGATCTCAATTTACGAGTGAGATCTGAAAGAAAATCTGCAACGGTTTCCGGTGTTTTAGCCATCCTCATCTGAAATAAAATAATATAAAATTAAACTATTTGAATTTAGCAAAAGAACATCAGTAACGTTCACAACATTTTTTTTATATTTTCTTCATTCTTTTATCGAGCTTGAATTGATGTTCAAAAGCTTAATTTTAGTCTATAAACATGCTAAGAACTTGCATAAGATGAACTGATGAACCATGCTAGCTGATAAACTACGTATAATGCAAAAGGTTAACAATTTCATGAAAATACATTGGGGCTATCACATGACGGGATGGTAATCATGCGACACGCACAGTTAAACTCACTAACTTCGAGAATGTAACTTGAATGAGTTGAATAACCGAGTATTGTCGCCATCTAAAAAATGAAGAAATTACATCTTTAATTAATGTAGTATTTCGTCATTTACACTCACAAATTGATTACTTTTTGTCGTAGATCAACCAACTGTTCCAATATTTCAGTATTTTCCTTTAAACACCTATTCTTAAAAGAGACGAAAAATGTCATTCACGATTCGTGAATTTTTTATCGAACGTTGATCACTGCATGAGTAGACCTGGAATTGAACACCTTCTCTATAGCTTGACGAATTTTAGGATTTGAACACTTTCTCATAACAGGGAAGTAATGGGGATACTCTAGTGTGATCTTTCTAGCACCGTTTTCATTCTACAAATCAATAAATTAAAAGAAAAAGTTCATATTTACACACACATATATATATGCACCAATTCACGTTAAAAGATATGAGAAGAATGAGTTTCGAAGTTTGCCCGTCAAATCACCTGAAAATTCGTGTAATATAGACCACGGACAAAAAGTTAGAGGTCACCTTCAGCAATTAAAAAATTAAAATGATAAACGCGACTTTTGAGGTCAATTTATACAATCCTCATAAAACCTCGTGACGTTAGTTTTTGATTCTGTTGTCTTGATATGGTTAGCGCTGTAACAATAACATATCGCTAAATAGCACTTGTGCTGATGGAGAGATACAAAATTCGTTGTTGCCTTGCTAAATCATACCTTATTGAACGTTCATTAGACGTTTTTGTCCATCATTATAAAACGATCCTAAAAGTGGCCTTCAACTTTTGGCCAGTATAAACAGCTATTTATATGCTTCAACGAAATAGCTGTCAATCAACTATATCCCTCTAAATGAGTATGTATATGTATACATAAATACCTTTTCTAAGCTTTCAACAAATTCTGAAGGAAGACCAGCTGCAAATATAGTAAATAAAGTTTATATCAATAGAGAATATAAAGCAAGATCTTTCGAAAATCATCACTTGTAATACCAACATTGATTAGGAATACAGCGAGCTTTGCATTCCTGATCAATGTTAGGTATTACAAGTTATAAATCATATTCCACAAAAACCAAAGGGACGATCAATTAATTAAAAAATTCTGACATTGGGTAGTTTTCATGATTATTTTTTGATCACATAAAGATTATGTTAGTAACGTCCACGTTTAAGAATACTTCATCAACTCTGGAGAAAAGACGATTACTTGCCAAATTGAAATTGAAATTGAAAAGAGCATGGCACATAAACATGTGAAAACGTGATTCCTAGACTTACTGAGATCGTTTTCAAAAAATTCCAAAATCGTATTATCATCATTCAAATTCTTTCCAAAATCAATACAAAGTTCGCCTGTTGTCTTCTTTATTTCTTTTAATTGATGCCTTAATTCTTGACAAAGATGCACACCTAAAATGAATTCACCAACAAAAATATAAAATAACTATAAATCCAATTTGTGTTTATAAGCATGCATCAAAGTAAGACAAACCGTTTCTCCTCCCAACTTTGATCAATCGCTCAAGATATCTAACGGACTCGGCATCTTTTAAAGTTTCTTTTTTGTTTTTCTACATAAACGTCAAAAAAGAATAAGTGTGAGATGTTTAAAGGCATTTATATCGATCAACTGCCATCATGAATTGTTGTCGCTAATAATAATGAACTTAATGCGACGCTACACGAATGTTGCAAAGTAAATTAATGTAACAAGGAACGAGCATGACATTTTACAGAATGTCTCTTTCGTGAGAGCTATATGTTCTCCTGCTCTTTTTATTGAAAATCATTCGTAATTTTTAACATTTTACCCTTCATAAAATACAAAGCGTAAAGATGCTACGTTGAATTCCATTCTGGTAAAGATGGTACGTAAAATTTCGCTCTCTGAAAGATGATTTGTAAAAGTTGCTTTTGGTAAGAATGATACGTAAATTTTGCTAAAGGTAAAAATGGTACGTAAATTTTGCTAAAGGTAAAAATGATACGTAAATTTTGCTAAAGGTAAAAATGATACGTAAATTTTGCTAAAGGTAAGAATGATACGTAAATTTTGCTAAAGTAAAAATGATACGTAAATTTTGCTAAAGGTAAAAATGATACGTAAATTTTGCTAAAGGTAAGAATGATACGTAAATTTTGCTAAAGTAAAATGATACGTAAATTTTGCTAAAGGTAAAAATGATACGTACATTTTGCTAAAGGTAAAAATGATACGTAAATTTTGCTAAAGGTAAAAATGGTACGTAAATTTTGCTAAAGGTAAAAATGATACGTAAATTTTGCTAAAGGTAAAAATGATACGTAAATTTTGCTAAAGGTAAAAATGATACGTAAATTTTGCTAAAGGTAAAAATGATACGTAAATTTTGCTAAAGGTAAAAATGATACGTAAATTTTGCTAAAGGTAAAAATGATACGTAAATTTTGCTAAAAGTAAAAACATTTAAATTAGGTAAACTGACATAAAGAAGGGGGCACTCTCCATGAAATCAGGGGTATTATTGGCATGTAAGAAAAGAAGTTTCAGATAACCAATAAAAAGCCAAATAAAAATATGATAAAATACCTGTAAAAATACCAGATTATTGAAAACATCTTCTCTCATGCTAAAATTGAATATGAAGAATAAAGTAATGCTTCTGCCTCCATTATTCCTTCTATAGAGAATCTTTACAAAACGTCAACATAAAACATGCCCTATCACATAATATCATAGCTATATGTATAAGTATGTTATTTTTCACCTCATTTCAATTAAGAATCCTGAAATCTTTTTATCTGATTGTGTACTGGCTTCACGAATATAACTATCTAGTAAACATTTCCATCAAACTTAATTGTTATGCGAATCTTTGTTGAACTTTTAAAAAACTACACAACTGTACATAAAATATCACTGCAAGCTCAAAAAGTGCTGCTTCTGAAATTCACAAGCAACAGTTCAACATGAAAATATCTATCTATTGTTTAACAACAAACAACATCCTTGAGTGTAAAACTGGCCTAGTACGTTTGTGCAATTTATCAATAAAGCATAAAAATACTTTCATAAAAGTCAAAGAAATTCTACTATTAGCAACAGCATATTCAAGATTTTGATAAATTTGTTTCAAGTAAACCAAAATACCTGGTGAAACATGCTGCAAGAATTCCACAATATTCTGTATGGTACAATGGTATGCCATATGATCTCCTAAATACTGATTGTTAACAAAAAGAAATAAAGATTCCAAAATAAGTGTTATGACAACAAAAAACATTTTAGCCACAACAGGAATTAACAGCCTTGATAATGAAGGTGGTTTGAAAGTACCATTCCGTCCATACCACATCCACCCCATTTACAAAAAGTTTCATCAAAGTGGGACTAGAAGCTGCAGACCAATAAACCCAGAAAGCAACATCATGTTTGTAGAAATCAGTTTACAAGAAAAAGAAACCAAAATGTACATAAGTTTCTATGAGAAAGCATATAGCTTCGTTTTTCTAATGGCAAAAAGACACTAAACTCAAAATCTGATGGGCCATCAATTAAAACTTATTAAAACGAAGCCATTTAACCAAAAAATCATTAAAACGTAAAATAGCATCTGATCACGCGATAGCCACTGCCATCCCACCATTCTTACATGATTACAGGCTACACCTACAGGTCTACAGCTAAACGTTCTCTTAAAACAAACTTTACAACTATGTGTGACTCTTGGTGGAATACTGTACAAAGCTTGCTAAAATGACCTGTTAGAAAACTTAACAATACCAGACCTACATGGCAATATAAAGAAAATCGGAAAGGGTGTACCGAAAGCAGTACCTTGATTGTATTCTCAAAAGAAACTTCCGCCGTTGTCAAAGAACCAATTTCATCATAAACCGATCTAGTTTTATCAATAAGCTTATTTGTTTCGTGTCGTATTTCAGACGCAGATAAAGTCCAATTTATGCAAGATATTCCCACTAAATTCTCCATTCACTTTACTTTTAAGAAAATCCTCCAAAAAAGAAATGTCAAACTTTTATAAAATAAACACATTGAAACGCGTGCGCTGATTGGTCTAGAGCTGTGTTAGCATGCAAAACGATCTGAGCTTAACCAATCAAATCAATCAATCAATCAAAGAGAATTTGTAAATCAATCATGAATACACGTTGGAAGAATTTTGAAACATTTTGCTCATTTCGCATTATTGTTATTTTATAAAAGAAATAAAAGATTTTTTTCGTGCTCACACTGTCTTATGCAAACCTTGGAGACGTTTGTGAGAACTCTCGAGCAGGTGCAACCCTCGACCTTCGGTCTCGGGCTAGCACTGATCAGCTCTCCAGTTCTCCCAAAGGTCTCCGCGGTTTGCATAAGCCTGTGCAAACCACTGACCTGAATAGTAATTATCTCATTACTAATAGGTAATTTACATTGAACTAATTTAATAGAACCATAAATAGAACTCAATGTTGTAAACAAGGTGCAAACCAGTGGTGCATCTTAATTTTATTTCTTAAATCATACGTCTTACAATGACCCATTATGATCCCATGCAATTCATTATACATCCGGCGATTCCCGAAGATAATCGACTATTCCCGTTCAATACTAAAGTACAAAAGTAAATATGGGGTGACATTGAAGTAAAACAAAACATTTTGAAAAGAACACATTCTCTCTTAAACCATGGCTGAAAAGAAAAAGAGGCACAGAGAAGAAAGTAGTCGGCGCGCGTCACGAAAAGTTAGTTCAAACATGGTGACATCTTTAGTGCATTCAGAAAGAGGAAAACTAAAAATTGGCAACTACACTTTGGGTATAACACTTGGACACGGCACATTTGGCAAAGTCAAGCGTAAGTATGGATTCAGTGATAATAATTGAACCTATGTGATTCATCACAATTGCAACGAAGCCACGTCAATTCGGTTGTGCCATCTCTTTATGCTGTTGTTTGGGTTTTATTGATGGACTCTTTCAGGTTTACGTGGCTACCCTATTTTAATCAACGATCAATCTGTTTTCTCAATTGTAATGCTTTTTTCCATCAATTAGTAACGCTATATTATTTGCAAGATGTTCAGTTGTCATAGGGGCATAAATGTCAAAGTTATGTCATTGTTTCCCATGGTAAAGATGAGCTAGGTGTCAGATGCTAGAGCAGGATTTCCAATTTCATTCATGTTTTTCTTACAGCTTAGCATGATAGAGTCTAGCAACTAGTTGCCTTCATATACATACAACCATATCATGCAATTGCATTAAAAGAAGTGCCTACAGTAGTTCTCTTCACGATACACTCATACACTGTAATTTTTTCTATTTTTCTGGTTATGTCTTCATATAAACTTAGTTTGCACTTGCGACATAAGCATAAAGATAAGAAGAGTGCCATGTGTTGCTGATGATACGTAATGTATGAGGCTATGTCTATGTTGCAATTGAGGACCAAGCTATACAGATGTGATTATTGTTTTTGGTGATTATTTACGAGTACTGTTAAATATATTAAGACACTTGTTTTTGTTTTCAGTTGCAGAGCATAAGTTGACAGGTCATAAAGTTGCCATAAAGATTTTAAATCGTCAGAAGATAAAGAGCTTGGATGTTGTAGGAAAAATACGCCGTGAAATTACAAACTTGAAATTGTTTCGTCATCCACATATAATTAAACTGTAGGTATCATGAAATTTAGCATAAATATTTCATTAAAAAAGCTGGAAATAAGCTTTTGCAATATTTAAGCAATGTTTAGGCTCTATGAATATTACGTATATTGGAAAACACTTGAATGCAAATCTCAAACTCAATTTATTTCATTACAGCTATCAAGTTATCAGCACACCTACAGATATATTTATGATAATGGAGTATGTATCTGGTGGTGAGCTGTTTGAGTACATTTTAAAACATGGCAAGGTATTCATATTAACTTTTAAAATCAGCATTTATCCCATTTGTAAACCCTACTTTTTATGTAAATGATTTTGTTGTATTTTCTCACAGTCTGAAGAACATAGTGCAAGAAAATTTTTTCAACAAATCATCTCTGGTGTTGACTATTGTCACAGGCATATGGTTGTTCACAGGTATAGCTAACACACATGTCAATGATAATCATTGTCCGTGTTGACTATTGTCACAGGCATACGGTAGTTCACAGGTATAGCTTACACACATGTCAATGATAATCATTGTCCGTGTTGACTATTGTCACAGGTATACAGTAGTTCACAGGTATAGCTTACACACATGTCAATGATAATCATCTCTGGTGTTGACTATGGTCACAGGTATACGGTAGTTCACAGGTATAGCTTACACACATGTCAATGATAATCATTGTCCGTGTTGACTATTGTCACAGGTATACGGTAGTTCACAGGTATAGCTTACACACATGTCAATGATAATCATTGTCCGTGTTGACTATTGTCACAGGTATACGGTAGTTCACAGGTATAGCTTACACACATGTCAATGATAGTCATCTCCAGTGTTGACTATTGTCACAGGCATATGGTAGTTTACAGGCATAACTGACACACATGTCAAATACTTCAATCAAAATGTGTACAATAAACTAAAAATTTTGACTTCATTGTAATCTTAACAATCAAACTTTTCAAATAAATACCTGATGCTCATAAACTATGCTTCCTTTATATTTGTTGCTAGGCATAATTACTTTGTTACTAGTTTTTGCACAACTTGTTTGTATAATAAAACAAATGCAATTTTTTAAAAAACATTCTTTTAGGAGCTATCGACTAAATTTAGTATGTTCATTGAACACTAAGATCTTAATTACTTTGATATATCTTTGTAGAGATCTTAAGCCCGAGAATTTGCTTCTTGATGACCATGGCAATGTTCGTATAGCAGATTTTGGACTGAGCAACATGATGCAAGATGGAGAATTTCTAAGAACAAGTTGTGGATCACCAAATTATGCTGCACCGGAAGTTATCTCGGGAAAGTAAGGATTTTGTCATGTATATCAATAAATGAACGGGCTATATGCTACAATGTATAGCCATGTGACTGATGCTGTGGCTTTCGAAAATACATGTTATTTGATAAGAGCATAAATTTTATATGCACGATTTTCAGATTGTATGCTGGACCTGAAGTGGATGTTTGGAGTTGTGGTGTAATCTTGTATGCTCTTCTCTGTGGCACGGTAAGACATAACCTTTGAGAGATTTATAAAACATGGATAAGACATAACCTTTGAGAGATGTGTAAAACATGGATAAGTTAAAAACCTAAACCTTTTGATGGCAGAGAACAGGATAAATTATTACAATACGGATTGCATGACGCGTAACTGGAAAAATGAGTGACAGTTCTTTACAATTCTAAAATTGCCATCCGGACTCATTATAGTCAAAACATGTTTCTAAATGGCAAAGTTACTACCATCATGCTTTGGTTGTTGTCGTGGGGGAATAGTTTTATTTCTCACAGAAGATGGTACATGCTGTTTGATTCATTCACTTATCCTTTGAAAAGTTCTAGCAACATAGCGGGCATCACAAACACATTTAAACTCATAAACAAAATCGCTTGACATTTTGTTAGGTAGAGATACTTTGGGGTTGGTGGCAGAATAGTTTTTTTCCGAAAATATAAAGATGACATTGCTTGCCAAAAATAAATCTCTGTTATTCTCTTAGTTTCTCTCTCGGTATCATTCGAAGCCTTGCCCATGAACACAGGGCACTTAGCAGGTCCAAATGACCTCTCTTGTTCATCGTTGGTAGATAAAAACAGTTGGTATAATAATTTCTCAAGGTACCATGGACATTATAGGATGCCCAGGATATCCAAAGAGATATTTTTTTGAAGGAGTTATGATAATTTTTCATTGAATCCTTCGATGAAAATCTGGAAATCTTTATCAAGCACGTGCATAGACTTTCTTGTCTTCACTATAAATATAAGTTGATTTATAGTTTTCATTTAAGTAGACGCGATACCTGATATAAAGTCTGCCGAAATTCATCGTGTCAATTTACAACTAAAATACATGGTTTTCAAAACAGCTCTTTTTGGAACTTCCTAGACATCTTTTTACCATTAATCACTTCATACAAAGCATTAATTACTTCATATAAAGCAATATTTGATGACTTAATGTTTTTCTCATATGATGACCATGTTTGAAATTATCTATCACTGTTATATGTATTTCTGTTTGTTTATTTTTAAATACAGCTTCCCTTTGATGATGATCATATCCCAACACTCTTTAGAAAAATCAAAAGTAAGTATACACTTTTAGCATGACGAATGAATATATTGTCACAAGAAATGATTTCATGCAGCAACTTGCTTTCCTCTTCCTATTCCTCAAACCTTTTTAACTTCAAACAAGTTTCTTTTAATTTAATTCCAAACTCACGTAGTGCTCTGAATGCTTTAGGTGGGATATTTCACGTTCCAGACCATTTGAGTTCAAAGGCCGCAGACCTGATTTCGGCCATGTTAAACGTAGATCCAGTAAGGCGTGCAACCATAAAACAAATAAGGTGAGCCCATCGATACATGAATGACGCATATGTATCACCTTGAGAATTTATTTGTTAATGATTTGTTGGCTTTAGGGATCATGAATGGTTTAATACAAATCTACCAGCTTATTTATTTACTGAAACATATCGTCCTACGACACCAGATCCTGACGCTATATCTCATATTTGCGAGGTACGTTGAGATTATGGCAGGGGTTAACATTAGGAGGCAAGGGTGAATATTAGGAGGGGGTGCAGGGGTAAATATTACGAGCGGGGAGGCCAGGTAAACATTAGGAGGGGGGAGACAGGGTTAAAGCTACGAGCGGGGAGGCCAGGTAAACATTAAGAGGGGGGAGACAGGGGTGAAAATTACGAGCGGGGAGGTAGAAAATGACGAAAAGTCGGTTCTAGAACGAACCCTCTGGGTGCAGATGCACACTACCTTGATTGTTCTCCTTTTAGAAAAAATGAAATTGTCATTTATACTTGTTAATCAATCGAATGATAAAGTTGACGACCTTTTTAACTAGAAAATCCATTGTCGCTCTCAATTGAATAGGGTCATTTCAAATTTAAACTGTTTCGCAATTGCTTTGAAAATCATTTATCAAGATATTTCACAAAGCAAGTGGAAACTGAGCTTAAATAAGAGATTCAGTGAAACGCTGATGTAGGTTCTTTCGGGATAAATGAATTACGCTCAAAATCATTTTATTTCATAAAGAGATTTGGCGTTACATACAATGACGTGTTGTCTGCAATAAACAGTGAAGATAGTCATGATCAATTGAGGATTGCTTATCATTTGATACTGGACAACAGAAACGTGCAGACAGGTGAATCAAATTCACACATTACTTCCCTGGTTTAGACTGTAGTATCGCGACAGACATATAAAGTTCACACATTGTGCCCTTCTACGTGTATATTTTCTCAACTGTGGAAAACATTTGAAAAACTGCAAAATTGAGCTTGTAGTTTGATTTGGGTTAAGAATCAAACAAAGAACATGCAATAAAGATTTAGTACAATGTTCTTGTGTATACAAGTTACGTAACAGTTTTCCTCTACACTAAAAAATTCTACGACTTCAGAGGGAAATTATCTTGTTCTGAATGACTGTTTCAAAAGACAAAAAGCGCAAAATTTTTATAATATATGAAGGATTTCTTGTCAATGTAATATCTTTTCTGTTTAGCGTTTAAGCGTCATATTGAACCTGATGTTGAAATGCTCAATTTAACCAATATGACTGATGGTAAAATTGATCATGCTGAGGTAAGTGGTGAGTTAATGACTGATGGTAAAATTGTTAAGGCTGAGGGAGGGTGGTGAGTAAATGACTGATGGTAAAATTGGTCATGCTGAGGTGAGTGGTGAGTTAATGACTGATGGTAAAATTGATCATGCTGAGGTGAGTGGTGAGTAAATGACTGATGGTAAAATTGATCATGCTGAGGTGAGTGGTGAGTTAATGACTGATGGTAAAATTGATCATGCTGAGGTGAGTGGTGAGTTAATGACTGTTGGTAAAATTGATCAAGCTGAGGTGAGTGGTGAGTTAATGACTGATGGTAAAATTGTTAAGGCTGAGGGAGGGTGGTGAGTAAATGACTGTTGGTAAAATTGATCAAGCTGAGGCTCGTATGATTAGAGAACTGCTTATCAAAAGAACGCTCAATGAGATGCAACATGCTTAGCAACCATGCACAGGCATGTAGACTGAAAACTTTAGGATTTGGTGAAAGCATAGGAAGTAAACGTCATTTGTTTTTAGACGAATTTCGTCGCCATTGTTAGCGGTTTACAAGTTTATAAAAGAAATTTAGTTTGACATTGCAAATGCTTTTCATTATAGTCCAGTTTTGCGAGTAAATCCACATCTCACGCTGTCGCTGAACGCAAAATTTCTGGTATGACATCCGACAAGTGTTTGCATGATATTTCAAAGTCTTGTGTCTTGCAATAGTTTATTGATATTTTGCAGCTGCGAAAGAACTTACGCCATCAAAGAAACATCCTTACATAAAGTTTGCTAGTTCAAAAAAACCAAAATGGCATTTAGGTCAGTATGCCTGGCACAAACGCAAGCCATAGAAAACTAAGAATAGAAATGTCTACACGAAGTTCCATGATTAATGTTGTGTGCAAGTGATGTTGCCAAACAATAGTAATGTTACATGAAGTTTCGACATGCATATGCACTGTCTTGTTTTGCGTGATGTATTAAATGAATGCATCCAATAGGAATTCGTTCGCAAAGTAAACCTCAAGATATAATGGGAGAAGTTTACAAAGCTATGATGTCTTTGGGATATGTAAGATATTATTTAAACACTTTTCGTCAATAACGGTGATTTTTTATAATGACGATTTATTTTTCGTTTAAGTCGTGGAAAATCATCAACCCGTTTCATTTGCGTGTCATTCACGAAAATAAAATCACGCAGAAAACGGTACGTAAAAGAAATCAATGGCATGATTACCACAAGTACTGATTTTGCATTCCTGGTATTTGAATGAATCGTTTCTCAACATTTAGAATGCCCTTCGTCAGTTAAGATCGTTTTCTCACTGTCGTTTCTTGATTAATTTATATTCTTGACGGCTAGTGTCTGACGATCGCTTGCTATTGTCTAGATCAAGATAGCAATCCAGTTGTATCAAGTAGATCAACGGAGCTACTTGCTGGATTTCAAAAGCTTGCCGTCCGATGGGGAATCTATCTCGCCATCTTCTCGATCAAGCAGTGTATCTGTTCACTCCTCGTGCAGTAACCTCAGCAATCCAAGCGACTCTGGACTCTCAAATTATGTTGTTGCTCATCATACGATGGAATTCTTGGATATGTGCGCTGATTTGATTATTGCGTTAGCATGTTAGTATTAAAGTAGTACACGCACAAATATATTACCTGTGATGAGAATGGGGAAAATTTTCTATATTATTGACTGCTTTGAAATACTGTATGTAGATTTATGTATAGTAGTCGTTGTTTATGATGTCGCGCAAATGATTAAACAACTTCCACAACTTGGCTCTTGTAATTTGAATTAAGGTATTTTTACTTTTCATATTTATGTTATTCTGACGTCTAAGGTGATGAACGAGACATGAAAGACGTTCAACGTTCTTAAAATAACTAAGGAATAGAACACGGTTCTATTCCTTAATTATTTTAGAAATATGGTTTGATTGAAATTCTCGATAATGTATAACAAGGACTGGTATTTTATGTAGTCTTCCTTAAGATTTGTAAAAACTATAGAGTAATTATTTGTCAAAAACATCGACCCTTATATAGATGGTATTTGTGATGTTATTTGAATAGTATACTCAATAAAAGTAGAGTGCAGTCACGTCGTTAAAATCAAACTTCCTTCAATTTGCAACCGTATTTAACTTCAAATGGTGGGCGATACGGCGGAGTCAGCCAGGTTCCTTTTCTACCTGATAAACCCATTGGTTTTCTTTCAATGTAAAATGAACGAGTTTTTCTTTGTTGTTTTAAAAACTCTCTCATCGTGTTGAGCGCCGCTCTACTGTTTAATGTGCATATCAAATCGCCATTTTTCCATGTTTTGTTCATGTCTGTATGACAGAAATCTTCTGAAAGACCCCAGAACTCGTCAATATCAGGACAATGATGATCATCTTTACTTGAAAGTACAGGGCACTTGACAGTATCATTATTTTCAATTTTCGAGAAAACGTTTTCATCTACGTTTTCAATGATCGCTGGCTTAGTTTTCGAACGTGTCAAATGAGATTTATCGAAACGTAAGCTTGTAACACCTAATAAAAAATGAACACGGTTTCTTCTGTTCGACCAGTAATCATCGTCGTCTAGTTTCAGAGACTGATTGTATTTCATAGATCTTTTGATATCCATCTTCCTGTTTCTCATTTCATTTTTCACCTCATTCAGCTGATACACCTTTTGGCTCGTTTCAGATAACATTTCTTTAATGCTGATGTTATTTTTCAAATCTTTTCTTCTAAGTTTGTATTCTTTTAGTATTTGGCAACTTCCAATTTCATCATATTCACTATCTAAAACAGTTGGTTTATCGTCAGTTTTACTGCAGCCAGGCCACTCATTAAGATTGTTTTGGCACTTGTTCTTTTTTTGACTTTAATATTTGTTTCCTGTGCAGTTTACCTATTTTTACGTGATGACTTAAGGCCTTCACTATGATTACTGTAAAACATCTATTTACATATGATTCATCTTCCTTTCTTTCAGTATTATCTGTGACAAATGCTGAACTACCTTCTATTCGCTGAAGTACTCTTTCTATTTTTTCAATTCTTTCCTGCATGAAGCTATCATCATACCCAACAGTCGAAAGCACGCTATCAATATCATTTAACAAGACAAGCAATTCTTTGCCAATTAAAGTGGCAAATTCAAGCTTTCTTGCTCTACGTATTATTCTGTTCAGTGCACGAACATTACGCTGTGTGTTGTGGCCATTTTCAACATACAATGATACAACGTGCCTAACACAACGTAGAAGGCACTGCAATTGTGAGTTCTGTTCACATTCTTCCATCCTGCAAGCATTCACGTAAATATAATTCTGAAGTTCATCCGAATGAAATTATTACGTCATAATGTAAATGCAGCTGATTAGTGCTTTATTATGACGTCATCAATCGTGACTATGCAGATAAATAATCGTGAAGTTTGCAACGTAGTCAATGATCCTGTCACTAAATTTGAAGATTTCGGTTCCAGCTTAATGGCCTAAAACTGCTGCTCGTTTCAGTCTATTAAGTCTATTTCTATTTTTAATTTGTAATTTCTGCTTATGAAGTGTATCATGAAATTGTGGATATCTTTATATGCTGTTTTCCCAATTCTATCTGTCGAATCATCATGTATAACATCAGAAAGTACAATACTACCAGTAGAAAAGCTGATATCCAGCTACATTCAATCATATTAGATTCATTCATCCGAAGTCTCTCTAAGAAGTGATGATTAAGCCAGTTGCCTTTCCGTTTTTGTTTAGGCAAATGCTTCTGTGCCCTGCAGTGAGATGAGATTTCAATTTCTTCTAGGTTTGAACATAAAACTTCATGTACAAGCCTGCTGAACGACTTGATCAATTCCACATTTCCATTAAGTAATTTTACAATTCATGGAAGTTGGATATGGTTGGCTGAAGTGGAATAGACAGCCCACAAGTTTAGTTTGGTCACGCAATGTAAATTTTAGATCATTACCATAGTTCTCCTTGTAAGTGTTTCCATATCTCTAGCTCGTGTGCAACATTTGTGCAAAATTTGTTTGGTTTCTACCTCTACCATAGCTAAAACACAAGGATTGAAGAACAAGTCGTTTCTTATTTTATCAAACATCTCATCAACATGTTCCTTGGTGGGCATAAATTTCATCATCTTCTGTCAACGACTACGACGAGGTAAACTGCGCGAGGACTTAAGTTGTAGGTTTTGTTACAGTTCACTTCAGTTTCAAACTAGTTCAGGAGATGTCACGGCCAAATCACTTCAGTTGTTAACTAGTTCAGGAGATGTCACGGCCAAATCACTTCAGTTGTTAACTAGTTCAGGAGATGTCACGGCTAAAGTATTATTGTCCATTACAGCAATAGCCGCGGGCCATGTACTTTTTTTATCAGTACAAAATTATCTTGTTTGCTGAAGTTCTAAAAAATCTTCTGCATTCATCGTGAATTTTTACTGTTTTAGTTTTTTTTTAGTTTTACGGTGGTTTAGCCACAAAGTCCGCAGGTCTATTCTGTTTTTTTTTAGGTAGGAGTAAAATAAAGATTAAATAAAAATGGGTAAAATTAGGTCCTCAACATGGTATCAAAACATTTGCTTGCTCGTGGACAAATGCAACTAACGAAGACATGCATGCTCAAAGTATTTTTAAGTTGGTTTTTTTTTTGTGAAGTCTGTTTCACATCACACGGTCTCGCAGGCTTAGCACGACTCCAAAGAAATAAAGTTACACTGAGAGATTATATGTTGAAGAGCAGGTCACTGACGCAACAGTTTCGGTGTGTAAAACACTTGAGACATACGACCTGCATGTCGTCTAAACCTCAGGTTTTCCCTCTGACGTATAACTCGCCGTTCCTCACGTTCAAAATTTCAGTACATAATTTCAATAAGAGCACGTTTGTACATGATTTAGTGTGAGTTGATCAAAACACAAATGTTGATAGCTTAAAATACAGTTAATGATTAACTGCGTATACGATTGGATCGGGAAATGTCAAATAATTCCTGAAAATATCAGCCCAAAGTGCATTAACCTTAACGTCAAACCAGTTTACAAGTTATGAGGGGTAAAAAAACAGTGCATGCAAGTGATCTAGGTCAGCCCGAAATATAGAGTTTTTTCGATAGTTTGTATGAAAGCCAGCTTGTTTTAAAAATATGCGTGATGAATAGTCCAGCCAGGACAAACCTTAACGAGAAGATGCTGTCTGCGCTTGTTTAGTATTGGATGACCGTCGACGAGCAGCCTGACGTTGTCTAGCTAAAAATGACATTCCTGGACCACCGGATAATCTTTCTTCTGCAGCTTTTTTATGGAGTTGCATAGCCTTAAATATGATAAAAAATGAAACGCTCAATCAAAATAAACAAACAGAAAACACTGCCTGTACTGTATTTTGAAATGGTGTATGTAAATCAACAGGCTTTCACAACAACGAAATGTCAAATAAGTTTATTGTGTTTACTTTAGGCAACACGTGCGAAGTGCATGCAAGTAGTTATGTATCAAAAACACATAAATATGTTTCAAAAATATTACTCGTGCCTCTATTTTCCTTGACACACGAGATTACAATTTATGCAGAGATAAACATCAATCAAGATGACAATATATTCATCAATGTAAAATCACGAGTAGCATGGTGCAACATATTCATTGTAGACAGTTTATTTTCCATGAAGTTCCTCTATAGAAAAGCGTTTATAGAATTTCAATCCGAAAAACGCATACCAGTTTTTGAACATTCTAGAATTTTCACTGCGGCAAAACAGACAATTAGTTCATCTACGTACCATTTCATACCAGGCAGTAACCATCAATTTCTCTTCTCGTTCACGAGTCAATTTCATTTTCTCGTTGTTACGCTATACATGAAAGTTGAGAACAACGAAGTCATCAGTATCTCCGAGTAAAGTTTTTCGGTGCAGCTATATAGCTAGCTAAATACATTTGGATAACTTGGTCCTGAGTGTAACGTAAGAAGAGGAATCGGACCTATTGATTCATTAAGTATTTCAACCATCAACCCATTGCAACTATAGATTCATCCAGTCAAACTACATTAACCCCATGAAACTATTGATTCATCGAGTCGAATTCTTGATCCATTAAAACTATACATCCCTTCAAAATACTGATCCATCAAGTATTCGAACTTATTGATCCAATAACTATTTAAACTATTGATTCATTGAGTAATCAAACTATGTATCCAGAGGGATAGCAAGTCTGCAAGTTTGTTCGTACTATGCAAAATTCATATCATTGGCATTATTTATTTCGTTAGAAATCTATTGTTTTACAGTGAGCAAACCAAACGATATATGTACATAGCAAGACCAAACATGCAGGCTGGCTACGCAAACGTATTGCAATGCATCAACGTTTGAAGAGCACATCTTTCGCTTTCAGTATACAAGACGCTATGAAATACATTCAATACCTCTAAATGTTCGATGAACTTTTCTTTTTCTTGAAGTTGATTCTTTAACGTATCGATCTGAAATAAAAAATGAAAACAAATCATGCAAAAAAAAGTTAGACGTTCAACAATAAATGAGATGTAAAAAAGTCTTCATAAATACTGCACTAAATACTATTCGATCATGGTTCATGCCAAAATTAATGCAACGAATTTCCTGACAGATAAGACCAAGAATACAAATTCACAGCATGAAATAACAGCAGAAATCAACGTACATCATGCATTGTTGAGTGAGCTCGACAATTTCATTCATTGATTCAAGCAAACGAGAAAACATCACTTTGTTCAAAAGCCTGCAAGCTAACTTTTGAAAAAATGTACTTGTCATCAAGCCGCCAATCCCGATATGTGGATAAGCTAATCTTAGTTCATTCAAAAAATAATGATCAAAACGTTTTTTGGATGAAGCAATGAAAACAAGAATCATTAGAGATGGCCTCCTGAATAGATTCCCTTCTTGTTTTAGTCAGAAATACACCTCAAGGAAACTGCATGGAAAGTGTCCTTACCTCTGGCCCATTTGCAGATGTATTTTGTTTAGGGTCAAGTGTCTTTATAACCTAAATGAAATATCGTTGAACGTTAGTGCAATTACGCACTTTCACAGGGGAAATACATATACATTGCCCCGCAATCAACCAATCACAATCATGAAATATCTCAACGTATATTGTTTCTCACACAAATAAAATATGTATTTTGTTACTTTATCCAAACTACGCTTGTTTGGTATTCAAAAAAACCAAACATTGTCGCGCGATCGACTTTTTGTGATCACTTTCCTTTGAATTGTGTGCAGCTACGTAAAACTGCTCAGGCCGAGAGCTTACAATTGAAAAGAAAGTGATATCAAAAAGTCGATCACGCGACAATTTGCACTGAATGGAAATCAGCCTTAAGTATGACATGAACACTAAATATCTTACACTTTTTGCTTTCTCAAGATATTTTTTGTATTTCGCTTCCATGGCCTTCGTCTCTTGGTCTTTTTTATTCAACAATTCTTGTAACTCGTTCACCTTTTCCGCTGAAATGAGGATGAAATAATTTTACTGCGGATGTAGACCAGCAACGAGTATTTTAAACATAGCTAAGAATACAACAGATCGATTAAAGAAAAAATTAAACCTGTGGCATTTGTTCCTGGCTCAAGTGATTCCATATAAGTCTTTTTCTTCTGCAACTCATCATTAGCGTCCTTTAATTTTTGCCTAAAAAGAAAGTCTTAATTGTTTATAAAGATACGATAAAAATTCCCAGACTGTTGATCAATTTTCAATCGATACAATCAAAAAAAGATAAATATCAAACAATACATTTTGTCAGTTAAACCTTCACAGAATGCATGGTTAACTAAATTATTCACTGCATTCTAGTAGTAGTAAAGACATTTATCAGTGACCGATCCAAATGTATACATCCTTCCATATTTCACATACAGGTGATCCATGTATTTTTGTTGCAATTCATTTTCTTTCTCTTCGCGCAAACTACTTTGTTGATTCCGCATTTCTTCAAGTTCGCTCTCCAGCTCCATATTCCGCTGGTTCAACTCCCTGAAAGTCAAATACTCACTTTAAAAGCTCAGATAGTCGTATTCACCACAAGTACCCCCCACCCCCAATATTTCATAAAGCATCCGTCACTGTGTTAAACAATTTCAAACAAAAACTTTTACAGTTTGTGATTCTATGGCATGCGATCTTATGACATACAAACCTTGTTTCCTTTTTCAATTGCTCCTTAGCAGCATTAGCATCTTCCAATAAGCTCTTCAACAACTCCGTCTGAAAATACAATCATTTCATATTTTGTAAAAGCATTGAAATTTACGATGCAGAGACAAGTCGAAGATTAAATGTTGAATACCTCGATGCTAGACACGTACCTGCTCAGATTCTGCACCATCTGATAGTTCCTTTAGTTTCTTATTTTGATGTTCGAGAAGAATTATCCTTTCCCTAGCATTAAACACATGGAAAGTAGATGTAACAAAAATGATGTTCAATCATCTACAACTTCTTTTCGCCAGTAAAATTTTTGATTATTTCATTATATTGCAAGCATTATTGCCAAGATGTACAACATTAACACTTAACAGTAAGAACGATAATAATAGATTAATTGATGATTACAAAGACCACACAAATAAACGAGAGGCATACACATGCAACATGATAGTTGCAACTGAATATCTTCAACGGCTTTATATAAACAGACTTCCTTAAACGGGCATTAACTCCAGAAGAATGATAGAAATAACCATTCTGCGAAGCATTGATTCAACCAACAAAGCACAATTGCCCCCCCCCCAAAAAAAAAATATTTCATCTGCATGGTAGATCATCTGTTGATTAAGTGACAAACCTAGCTTCAGGTGGTAAATCTGCCATGAAAAAGTTGTCAGAGCTGTCAGATAGAAACGAAGATTTATCCCCAGTCGTTCTCGACACTTCATTGAGGGTAAGTTCTTCATTTTTTTCTCGTAGTGTATTTCGTTCTTGTTTCAAACGCTAATTATAAATCAAAAAAGGATACATTTGACTACACTTACATCAAATACACAACAATTAGGTATATATTAGCTTTTTACAAATCGCAGTTGTTCTTTATTTCAACGATGAAAACGATAACACAGCAACAGCTCGCATGGAAGAACGAAAACGTTATAGACGCTATACTTACCTCGTTCTCGCCCTGTAACTGCACCATTTTCTCTTTGACGCGTTTAGATTCGAACTCAGCCTAAAATTAGAGCTGTGTGGGTGCAGTTGTTCAACGCTACGTCAATGACTATAACTGCTTATTACAGAGCTGATGTATCCTGTTTCTATTGGATGTTCATTGCAACATATGAGACATACGTACTAGTTCAAGTATTCACTGTCAAACGTTGAGCACAGTCTACTATTTACGCTACAACCCCCTTGATCCAAAACCGACTCACAAGCGTACATCATGTATATTTTGAGTCCAACGTATTGTATTGCCAAGTGTACAAAGACTTTACCGCATCTTTAGCATGAGCAATGATTCATCTCAGTCAAGACGAGGAGCGCAAGATTTTCATTCGTTACGTATATGATTAAGATGTATAACAAACGACATTTAACAACAAGCATCATGACTCCCATACAAACACTAAATGAAGATGGAAAGTTGAATTACCTTGTCAGCTCTTCTTTCATTTTCCGAGACGGAACTTTGTAGCTGATGGACCTGTTTTACAAACGTTTGCACGGTGAACGCTCAAACACTTCTATATAATATACGCTTGCTTGCTTTTCAGTTTAAGTCAAAGTTTAAAAAGCAGTATAGTTTAGAGCAGCACTATCTAATTAGTTGTAGAGCATGACGCTAAACTAATCCATAAAAAGGATTCGTATATGTACCTGTTTCTTGTAGGTTTCGAGTTGGGTCTTTAGTGCGTTGGCTTTTTTTAAATCCTGTTAAAAAACAGAAGATCCTAAAATTCAAGGGGAAGGTTATGCGGTTTATTCGAATATTTATGAATTTCGTTCATGGAGCCATGATTCACAATCGACGGCTTAGAAAGCCGGTTTCCAACGTTGAACTTTTAAAACACCAATTAGCGAACAGCCTTAAAATTAAGCCTTTAGATTAAAATGGTGCGCGAGTGATCTTTTTGGACATCATCAATATTAATGTAAATAAACCAGCCATACTACATGATGTTTTAAACAAAAGAAATTCATGACGTCACGCGAAATTAACTTTGTATAAATGTATATAAAAATATGAAGCACCTTTACTATCTCGGAGTCTAGTTCTATTATGGTCTAACGAGAATATTGTACAGGGCGTCTTCCACGCAAACCCTGTTAATAAACTGTTCGCATTTATAGCAATTGCTACCTATTACATTGATATCACTGAAAAGCAGTAATATTTTAATTATATTTCATGAATTTGAGTACAAATGATAGAAATCAAAGACTTCAAAAGTATTTTCAAATAATGTATAATGGTCGTAAAGTTAGGTTTAAAAAGTCTTTACCGGCCATGTTTACAAATACCAACCAAAGTATTGATGTATATCTACATACGTACCTCTTGTAAATCAATAGTTTGCTGCATATATGAAGCATTCTTTTCCTCCATTGACTTCATTTGCTTTCTCATTTCAGTTAATTCCTCTAAACATAAATCAAATTATATAATTAATGGATCCGATAAAATCATGCACGAATCCTTTAAAGTCTTTAAGAGAGGAATTCGGCTACCACGACGTCTTTGAGACATTGCGAAAATGGCGTAAATTTTGCGTGCAGTTAATCATACCATAGTATAGGGAAAATACAGTCGGACAACTTCACGCTGCAAGTCGCTGCTGTAAAGTTTATTCAGTTAATCATATCACAGTACAGGGAATATACAGTCGGACAACTTCACGCTGCAAGTCGCTGCTGTAAAGTTTATTCTATTAATTGTTAGCTATCGTTCTTATTGGTCAGAAAACGCAACTTGCAGCATGGAAAGACAATACAATTTGCTCCACAATAATGTGTTAATACAAGGTGAAATAGCGAGCCAACTTATTTAATCCTGCTATGCTAAATATTACGTATTTACTTACTGTGAAAACAATAGATTTCCGAAGAAATGTATAATGCAATGTTCTAAAATTTACGTAGCATGGAACGAAATCCTACAGGCAGGTTTGCTTTGCCACTAATTTGTACATGAATATTGATATTATGATAATGATAATACGTCAATAAATACAAAAAACTCGGTCAAAAAATAAACCCACTGTATCCTCTATTCGTTTTGATAGAAATGTATTGTTTTCACATTGAGTTAACACAAAACATTTGCATAGCAGGAATAAAGCAAAAGAGCAGGCTACACTACTAACAAAAAGCAATATTTACAAATATTGCTAACATTTATATTATGTTGCATGTGCATTATCCGAGATAATTTTATGTAATATAGTGCTTATTTTTTTAAAATAGTTTTTAAATTTGTAATAGTTCACTGAAAAGCGCTTTTTGGGGAGTGGCTAATAAATTCTACTACTATTACTAAATATGCAAGACAAAAACGTTAGAACAAAGTGTTAACCACTAATTATACATTTAAAGGCATAATTAATTTCCATAAGCTTTCCATAGCCCTAATGTACGTATAATTACCAAGTTTTTTCTTGTAGGAGTCGATTGTAGATTCATATTTTGCCTAAAATATGTGGGAAATATGTCACACGTCATAACATTGGCCTATACCTGCAAATGTTAAAACTATGAAATTATCATGGTTTAACAAAAAAAATTTCTTTATCCAGGAATTTTCTCCTTTATCTAAGTTTACATATTATTATTCTCTTTCGAAGAATCCCAACAACACAAATGAATCAATAAATTCGTGAGTAACTTTCGGATATGTATGTGTCTTAACATGGATAACTTAATTAAGCTTCTGCTTGCCTCGGGGTGAATAAGGCAATGCCACACGTAATTCTGAGTAAGTTGAAAAACCTTTTCCAGAAAGAAAACACCATTAACCGTCTTTGTGATGTTTTATACGCAAAAGCTTAATAATACATTTTCCACACTGGGATAGCGATAGAAGTCAGAAAAGACGCTGGTGGGGTTAAAATACTTTTTACCTTGTTTTACATGCTTTCAGAATTTTTATTAAATAAACATTTCTTTCATTCATTGGAGAAACTAACAGTTATTTTCAAGCAACTTATCAATGGAAAAACTCCAGTTAATGGACGTGTTCTCTTCATACAAATAGTGCAACTTAAAATAAATCTTTTAGCTGAAGTAGAGTTGGTGGAGAGCTCAACAATCCTCATTAAATACGATCGATAATCTGATACTAATATATGCAGTGTGTCTCCACTGTCCGCCATGTTGGTAGGAAAACCCGTATAATGAAGCAATTTATTCTGATTTCATGCTATGTTGAGAACCAGTCCTTAACGGTAGCAAACCAACATAGCCGCACGTAATACGAAAAAAAGAAACCTACGACTTTCTCTTGCGTATGTCGTAGTACATCCATCTCATCTCGAAGTTGCTGAGATTCCTCGGCTAAACTTTGCAGTTGTTCAATCTAAGGAAAAAGTCGTTATAAATAAATAAACGAGAGCTTCCCATCTTTGAAACAAAGAAATCATCAATTTGATGACACATACGTACACGTTCGCTTAAGTCCAAATTTTCTTTTTCATACGTACTGCACTTTATTCGAAATTCATCTCGACCTAGAGAATAAAATACGAACAATAAACATAGAGTTGTGGATTTACTTTATATTATTGTTGCTCGTAGGGAATATTTTTGAAAACTTCCAATAGATTTAGAATACAGATTACTCTGCGATCTTTATTCCCTAAACTACAATACCATTTGGGAATTCATATGCAAGAGCACTGCTTGTTCTCAATGGTTATTAATGAAAATTTTGCGGGATTTTTCGCTGCCAACTTGCAATCCAGATCTGTTTTCTAAATGACATTCCTATGTAAACATAAGTCATGAGGCATAAGTCGTACTTGATTCAAGAGAAAAGTTTTGCTCTTTAAGCAATTCCACTTGTTGCTGAAGTTGATTAAGTCGCTCACTCGCATCACTAGAAAAGTCGGTGACGTCAAAAATCAGTCAATCACGTGATAAAAGAATCTATTCATCGACATATAACGTATACGGAAGCATACTAACGCAGACTGTCCACTTTCATCACTTTTACTGTTCAGTTGTTTTCTTAAAATATGGTTCTCTGTCTCGAGTGTCGAATGATGCTCTCTCAATAATGATAACTTTATAGGAAAAAAATAAAGTTAAGTTCCAATAGCAAATTAGTATATTCTCAATAGCGCAGCATTACAGGGAAGAAAAGAAAACAATCGAAAATATAGAAGGTGAAACAAAGAGCTGGTAATATCGTCCCTAGTGTTAGGTCATAGGCGACAAAAGAGATCAAAACCAAAAACTCATCGATCTATGATAACCTCATCGATCGGCTGATCTTAAGAGGTACAAACTATGTTTTGAGAGAAATTTTCCAAACGTCAGTAATGTTGATCTTCGTTTTCAGCGACGTATAATAATGACGCAAGTTGTCACGTATAGTTGTGACGTGTATATAGTTGTGACTAGTGACGATAATTGTGACGTGCTGCTGTGACTTGTGGTTATAAAGTATAATCGTGATGTATAGTTGTGACGTAAGTTTGTTGTCACATACTTGTTCGTCGAGCTCGTGACATCTTTGTGATATTTCCTCTTTTTGGGCCATAGTCGATCGTAACTGTTCTAGGGTCGTTTTGTGCTTTAATCAAAAAGAAAAAAATACTTTTAAAAGAAGAAAATTGTCGCATAATCAGTTGTGTTTTGCGAGTTGTGTTGTCTCACATTGTAGATTATGAATCATTTACACATATTCAGTTGTGTTTTGCGAGGTGTGTTGTCTCACATTGCAGATTATGGATCATTTACACATATTCAGGTGTGTTTTGCGAGTTGTGTTGTCTCACATTGTAGATTATGAATCCTTTACACACATTCAGGTGTGTTTTGCGAGATGTATAGTCTCACATTGTAGATTTTGGATCATTTACACATATTCAGGTGTGTTTTGCGAGGTGTATTGTCTCACATTGTAGATTATGAATCATTTACACACATTCAGGTGTGTTTTGCGAGATGTATAGTCTCACATTGTAGATTTTGGATCATTTACACATATTCAGTGTGTTTTGCGAGGTGTGTTGTCTCACATTGTACATTATGAATCATTTACACATATTCAGGTGAGTTTTGCGAGGTGTGTTGTCTCACATTGCAAATTATGGATCATTTACACATATTCAGGTGAGTTTTGCGAGGTGTGTTGTCTCACATTGCAGATTATGGATCATTTACACATATTCAGGTGAGTTTTGCGAGGTGTGTTGTCTCACATTGTAGATTATGAATCATTTACACATATTCAGGTGAGTTTTGCGAGGTGTGTTGTCTCACATTGTAGATTATGAATCATTTACACATATTCAGTTGTGTTTTGCGAGGTGTGTTGTCTCACATTGTAGATTATGAATCATTTACACATATTCAGGTGAGTTTTGCGATGTGTGTTGTCTCACATTGCAGATTATGGATCATTTACACATATTCAGTTGTGTTTTGCGAGGTGTGTTGTCTCACATTGTAGATTATGAATCATTTACACACTTTAAAACAATGAAACAACTACAAGATGCACTAACTTGAACTTCAAGATCTTTGTATGTATCATTATCAACAGAGCTGGAAACATCCTTGCACGCCATCAACTGCAAAATTTAAAACAAATTATACTTCATGTTCAACCTGTTTATTTCTTGTCGTGCATTCATTAACGAAAAACAACGCTCTATAAATTTACCTCTTGTATAGCAGTCATGACGACATGTTGAACTGATTCCTCCATTTGCATAATATTTTGTATGTATTCTGAATGCAATAATACCATAGAATTATCCTTATCTTAGTTTTAAGGTACAGTCAACTCTCGCCCTGTAGACATCTCGCCCTGTAGACATCCCGCTATTACGGAAATCACTTTATCACAAGGTAATTTTCTAAATTACCGAGTGAAACTACTTTAAAATGTCGTAAAATTACTCTCTCTAGTAGAGATTCTTCATTTTGAAAGAAGAAACCATCAGCAAACAATAAATGTTCGAGCTACGTCATCAACTGTTGCTACCTTGTTTTTCATCACAGTTAACAGCACAACCCAAAATAAGTTGGAGAAGCCGTCCCAATTCTGCTTTGTCATGCTTCTCCGCTGTGAAAATGGACAGTCAATTCAATAACATAAAGCCATATTCTCAGAATTAAATAAAAATTATGTATATACGTATAATATATATTACTAATAAAAATCTTCAATGATTGAAGTCAGTCAAAAATACGTAGTTTACGTATTTCCTCATTTTTATCTGACTACAACCATAGAAGATTTTTCTTGTTTTTTATATATTGATGGTGCTTCTGAGTGGACTTGGTTGGTTCTTTATCGCTGCATGTACATATATAACCATATATGTACATTATGATCATATAAAGTGATAGCAATATATTCACTTTTCAACATATGACCATTTACATACGTAAATAATTTAAACTCACCAATACAAGAAACATCAGGTAACGTAAAACCAACAATATCCATGTTCAAAACCTAGTAAGTTTGCAAACAGCAATGTTATATGAGTAAAAATCAAATATTGATGATGCAACTCGGATCAAACATGGATACTTACTTCAGTATAATAATCCATTATTCCCTTCAATAATTTCTTCAGATTGCTACACTATTGAGAAAAAAAATGAAAAGAAATAATGTACACTTTCCAAAGTAAATTTTACTTTCCAAATGCACTTCCATGCACATCGCCATTTAATTGGTCTGACAATTAATACATTGACTTTGAAAGAAATAAGAGAATGCGTTCTGAAAGTTGAACCCATACATGTGATTGTTGTGTCTATGTCATCAGTGGCATAGCAAGGATTACAACTATCACTTAACAACATAATATATACGTAAAATATAGCATTTTAAAGGGGCTAAGAATTTTGCAAGAGTTTGGGGCTTGCCCCTAGGACCCACTCTGGCTACACACTTTATGTATTTTGAGCAATAAACATAAAACATCACTTGTGAGAAAAAACAACCTTCAGTCTCCAATTGTCTCCAGCATCCTTCTTTACTTTAGACATCCATTCATCATCAAACCAATCAGGAGCACTAAAATTCATTTAGTAATGTCGACCCTTTACATTGTACATATGTCTTATATTCTACTTCATGCTTAAAATATCAATCCTATGGCAAAAGTTTCAAATCATCAGCCAATAAAACAAAGAACATCGGCCATTTCTTATTATCCAAGAATTTCCTTTTAGACAAAAACCAATAGTTGTCTTTCAAGTTTCAAGATATACTTAAGTACCTGATGTTTGAAGTTTGGTGACATCAATTCAAATAATAAAAACAAAAATGTTTTCAACTTACATCAATGCCAGACATTGGCACATTGCAACACCATCGCTGAGCTCAACAGCATTAGACTTAAGAGCTTCAATCTCATCAAAAGTATTAAGCTGAAAACAAACAAAAACATTCAAAACTTGTTTGATATAAAAAAATTGATGATCTCGTCTAGCATTATTTTTACAAACAAGATATACCCAATTGATCTAAGCAAAACATGTAAAACTATTAAACTTTTATAGGCAGACAAACTGGACAGGAAAGTTTGTATTACGCATCTGAGATCCCTGGTATGCCTTTTTGAAAAACTAGGCACCTACGTATGCATGAAAATTTCAATTCTTGGGAGTGTAGTTTACAATCTTTTCACTTTAGCAGACAAATAATCCCTAAAACTCTTTGAAAATACAAAATATTTAAAAAGTAAAAAAATATCTTCAATGATTCTGGGAGCTTACATAACTGATGACACGAGAAGAGAAACAATTCTAAGCCAACAATTGTGTTGGGTAGCAATTGACAAATGACTATCTCATCTTAGCTAATCTTGTTTTCCAGTTTGTAAATTGTAACTAGAATCATCAACTAGAAATCTGGTCTTCCCTTTCAAGTTTTTGATTTAAACACTGCAACATCTTAAACAATGCAATGGTAAACCAAGATTACCCTATGAAGTATAAAATTTCCACTGATTAAGAAAATGGAATCAGAAGTTTTATTGATCAATTAGAAAGTTATATTGATCACTTAGAAAGTTTTATTGATCACTTAGAGCAATCATTGACACGAATGGCGAAAATGGCAACTTGTCGTAGCACTCATTTATTTTTCATGGCTATGAATATTGTTTATCTAAATAGATAACATGCATTCAAAAATTTCTTATTCACTTTACCCAAATAATCAAGCTTTCACATAGGCTTTCATCGTCCATAATTTCGGGATATAATTCAAAATGCGCCCAAAAATTCTATGTTCATGCAGTATAAACATCCAATCCGATTGAAAACAGTGAACAATGATGGACGATGGCAACAGTGCTAACACTGACCTATATATCATTACCTGGACGTGACCATCACGTAACGTAAATGTTGATCTGTGACGAGGGGAGGGGGAGTGTTGGGGTTTGATCAAATTTACAAGCCAGTATTTGGTAAAATTTTTCGACACTTTGCAGTGTTGTGATTTTATGTAGGAACATGCGCACAATTCATACATACACATAGCCTGCGGCAGAAATAAATTATGATAATGTCTTCGTTCTGTTCGTTCAAATCAAATTTCGCACAATTTTTGGTGCAAGATTTCCTTCATTCATCTCAGACTCATGTGTTAAAACGTGGAAACCTTCAAATGGGAGAAAACAATGAAGCAAACAAACCGATGAAGTCATGAAGATGAACAGAAGCTAGTGAACTAAAAATAAATTTATACTAAGAACAATAGCGATAAGACATTCAGGCCATTGAAGCCAATGACGTGAATGGACAGTGAAACCAATGACGTGAATGGACAGTGAAGACTATGACGTGAATGGACAGTGAAGCCAATTCACCTTGCATTTAACTTCAAGCTTCAATGCTTTTTTCCATTCATCCCATCTGAACAAATGCTCGTAGCACTTCACTTTTAATTGACTTTCCCATCTAGCATTTGCTACTTTCATCTCCATTAAATCCTCTCTCTTTTTTTCTTCATCATTTTTGTACACTTTTTTAATATTTTGCCACGTTTTTTTTTGTAAATTCAATGATCAGAGGCGTAACTAGAACGTTAATTGGGGAGTGCATATTCATATATTCCGTTGTGTCCTACTGATTTCTTTTGAAAGTGATTTGGATTTCAAAAGAAATCAGTAGGGCACAACTGAATATATGAATATACCCCCAATTAACGTTCTAGTTACGCCTCTGTCAATGATTATTCTATAAATGCTGGCAACCACAACAGTTAATGGGAACTAGCAGTACCGAAATATCGCATTTCATGAAAACGACATTTTTGGTATAGATGAATAATAGCATACAGGATTTCGCCCGGTAGATCTTACCTTCCATGCGGGACAATTGAAAGAAAAAATATATGAAAAATAATCAGTGTAGAACAAGTGCAAAATACGTTTCATTGCAAATAATTATTGCCTACAGGTGTTAATAGTCAGTGTCAGCCGTAGTTTTTGAGATAAGTTGTACTTTGTTTCATTTTTTACGATGATAATAAGTGCATGTAATCATAGAAGTCTAACAATAATGAAAAGATGATACGTGTTAATAGCAAGTGCATTTAGGAAGTAGTAAATCTAACAAGGATACGTAATTTTTGCTTATGAAGTCAGCGTCTAAATCTAAGCCATGGAGAAGACGAAAAACTATTTATAATACTTTGCAACCAATGCTTTCAATTTATCAGCATTTGCTCCTGTCATTGAATCAATCTATAAAAAAAATGTTCACATAAATTCATTAAGAGAATCATTCCTTTTGATTTCGTTGATGTTTAACTGCACCTTCTTTTCATCAATGTACAATTGAAAAGTAGGCATTGCACTAATTCCACAGTGTGCAGCAGTTTCCTAAAAATGCGAACACAAATCATTAATTTCTATTTACACATCAATCATTTTCAAAAATGAGTTTTATTTCAGTTCACATTATATTTTATGCACACACCTCATTTTCATCCACATCAACCTTGGCTAAAACAATATTTGGAAAGTCTTCATGAAGCTTCTAAACAAACAAAATAATCTATGTTTATAGTTGTAAGTTGTCAAAGATATTACAGTTGGAAACTACGCATATAAGGTATACGATAGCCAGCAAATTTCACTATGTTTCTGCAAAAGGTGAATTTTAGACGCCTACAACACCCCACACTATTCAGAATGACCTCCGTTTGCTCGGCACACCGCTAGGACCGTCCCTTCCAGTTACTCCTACACCCAAAGCAACGAGAAATAACGATCCCGAGGTTCACTCACCAGGCACTACGTCGCCCAACAAATAAAACGCACCGACTCACAACTCACAACGAGACTTCAATACCTAACCCTAAACCACCATTCGCACTAAGAAGTCTCATAGACTACAACAATAAAGGCTTAAAGGAATAGGGACTACACAAGGCCATACAAACTACAATTAAATATTGTTCTGTTGATCAGTATAACAGTATTTAAAACTATTACTATACTTATTAAAGACTAGTAGGGTGGGGGGGAGGGGGGAGGAGGGAGATAGAGAATCATCATCGTTAGCATAAGCCTGGGAACTAGTTAGCCTTTTCAGTGTTAGCTCAATGCTCTTACTTGACAGGTACTATTTGCATGATTCAATTAAATCAGGGCAAATCCCTGAAATAGAGTGTGAATTTCAACACAAATTGTATGTGTTTTAATTTGATAACACAAGTCTATTTAAAAATTGTTTTTGTATGAAGTATTTCATGAATTTTTTAACACTTTCAAAGTTTACAAAGTTTGACACTTGTAATGAGGACTCAGAAAACTCAGACTTTGAGAGTATGGGTCACACATGTAACAAAGCATATTTTTCTTCGTATATTTGAGAAGGATAGTGAAAAACTGAAACAGCACAGGTTTTCATTTAAAGTTAGCTGAAACACAAAGCAGGTCCATAACAGCAGAATAACAGGGGCAGATTTTCTGACGGTGCACCCTCAAATTCTCTAGCACCCCCAACATGAAAAATACCAAATTGTATTACATACTGTAGACAATTAATATAACAGTATTAGAGACTACGAAATTGTACAGAATGACTAAATTAAGATAGAACTTCTCATTGCAAAGGCAATTAAAGATTTTATGTCACCAATAATTAAATATCACCATGCACATTTTCATTGAAACATTAAAATTTAAATAAATTACTAAATGCGCATTCATTAACAAAAAATATGAAAAATTATTTTTAAGAGGTAATAAATCTTTCATTACACAAGGCTCACTCATCTACAAGTTTAAAAATCCACAATAGCCAAAGGCCCTTGCAACTTTAGCTAGGATAACATAGCCCCCCTTGGAAAATCTTCACCCCTCCTGTCAAATGAGCATTGATCCCATGTGACAGGACAATGGCCCAGAACTATAATGGTCAACATTGCTTATTCCCTTTAGGCTTTCACGCATCACATACTCTACATGGTCTGCCACATATACAAAGGTTAGCACATAACAAACATACCTCAAAAACAGGTCCGATAATCTTACAAGGGCCACACCATGCTGCAGTGAAGTCTATAGCAACCAACTTGTCTTTGTTTGCTTTCAAAAAACTATCAAAGTCGGCCTTCAAAAACAAGAATTTGCTTGAGACAAAAGAGCAAAGCAAGAAGCAAAACCACATATTGAAATTGTAGTAGAGTAACAAATTTTTACAGAGCATTTTTTATAATCTGTTAAGCCAATGTCGAAAAATCTTATTCAGATTAGGTAGAGAATCAATGTGCCTAAAATTTCAACAGCTCATTCTACTATACAGTTCTTCGTGGCCTTAAAAGCAACTGGATATTTAATTCTTCAGAAATAAAAACAATGACATTCTCATGAATTTGTTTTGATAGCACCTCAAAGAAATTTTAAAATGTGAAACCTAAGGTAGTCGAGTGTTCATCAAAAATAATTACTATGATCACCTTTCATGTAACTTTTGTCAGAATATATTACGATGATATATTTAATTAATGTCATTATGTCACATGATCTATCTTATTTCCTGTTCCTCTTATACGAACTTTGAGAAAAACACATTGACCATTCTTGAGCAGAACATTATTATGTAGTAAATACCTATCTTATATTCTATTGTTATTAATAAAGATACATAAAAGCTAAAAACATTCACAACCAAATATATAAAATGTACATAAAAATCAATTTCACTTAATTATAAGATAGTGATAAAATATCCAACATCTTACACAGATCGTGTTAAGTATAACCAACAATGGCATAACCTAAAAATTTCACAACATATTTTCCTGCTCATTTATATGATTGAAAGAGATTTTATGTAACACACCCTTTTCATAATTTGCAGCGACTTTTTGACAGTTCACTAGTAAAAAACCTGGTGTATGATAAATATTTATTTTCATCAGTCTCCATGTTGAGGGGAATTCAAATAATGAAAAGAATTTATGTTAATTTCATGCTCCGTTGAGCATGGGCACTTTGATCTACTCCCAAACATGGTCGCTTGACGTCACATGCAAAACCTCTAAAGCAATCATAGGAATGTGTAAGTTAGTGAGACGTATGCCTACGACGACGTGGCAGGAAAGAAATAAGTCAATTACAGTGCAAAAATGTGTTTAAGGGTTGTCGATGTGAAATAAAAAAAACTTATCAACTGATGCAAATATGCCACTCCCTTATTATCACATCGTTAAAATTATTACGTAATTAATATCATGTTTTAGACATTTAATACCACATTTCATTTTCACTATAACTTTATGGCGCTACTTTACAGCAATGAGAAACAGTTCGTGGGAATTAAGCAATTAAGCATTGAGCAATAATTCTATTTGTATCCATTCTATCAACTCAAATGTTCCACATACTACATATATTATTTTGCGATTGTCCATGCATTAACTCATTCTAAATTCTGCATGATATGAAACTCACCTTAGTCTCTAGAAATCTCACCATTTTGTATTACACAAATTTATTCAAAAGGATAAAAACGATATTACATTCAACGATAAGAATATGTATGTGACTTGTTGTACACTTCGAAGGGGAATCCTGTACCAGTCTCTCGTCTGCGCAAAACTTGTTGTCTTTGCATGACGTCATAGTTGTTGTTCTTTTTTTAGATTTTATAGTCTGCACGAAAAAATGGTTATCAAACAGCTTAAAATGATCACATCATTGCATCGGGAAATGCAAGTAAACTTTTATGTCACAAATTTGGTCAAAAACTGTACATGAGCAGTAGATAATGGTGTAAACAAGGACATATAGTGAGATCTATGATTGAGGGGGTGGGGGTGTAGGGGTTGCTCAGATTCATATATGCATGATATGCAATATTAAGTTTTTTTAAAATATTTCGACTTCTATGAATTATAACAGACAATAGATAAAATTTCTAAACAAATAAATAAGGATAAACCTCGTAAATTCACATAGCAAGACAAACCTTGTGAGCTCATTATAGCATAGCCTGAAGATATTCTATTTACAATAAAAAAACTATTAAACAAAAAGTTTAATTTCTCCCCTGTTAATGTTTTTCAATTCTAAAAAGTGGCATAGTTGGGGGGTATAAAATTAGAAAGATGCCATCATGAAATTTGTCAACCAAACATTCAGGATAGAGAAAGCTTGATATTTTCAAAAGCCCTAAATCTGGCAGGGATGAAGCCCAACAACCTTTTGTCACATTTTCCCCCAGCTATTTCACAACTTTTTACATTTTCTACATTTTCCAGATTGCTCAATAACTGGCACGAGAACTAAACTTTCTGCGCTTTTTGGTTTGAAATGATTTAGTGCTGATATCTCTATCAACTATCCTTTTACTTGAAGAGCCATCACGAGATCTTTTCAAGGATTCACTGTCTGATTCAGAGCTTTCTCTTTGTAATTGTCCAGATTGAGAAACCTTTTGACTCTTATTTTTCCTGTTTTTTCGTTTATACATATGGTATTCATGGTCAGTTACTTTGGCATCAGTCTTTTCAGCAGATTTTCCGGGCAAAGCATTTCCATTGTTTTTACTCTGCTTTTCTTTCTTTCTTTCACCACTTTTTGTTTTTTTATAATGCTTTTTTCTATCTCCACTGGATCTTTTTCTCTGCACTTTATCTTTCCCTTTGTCACTGATGAGAAAAATGAAAAATGCAATCGTTCAACAATCATAAAATGCCTTCAAAAAATTATTTACATTGAGATAATTAGAGTCACCTTTTGCCATCTTCACATGTCACATCAAATTCCTCAGGATATAACTCTTTATAACCACTGTGACCCCACCTAACAACACAAATCATTGATAAAAATCACTTGGGACCTTTTCTCTAAATTTTGCTTTCAGATTTCCAAATTCCACAGCAGCTTACCTGTCATTAAGCGTTTCTTCATACTCCACAAGAAGACGATTCCATTTTAAACTTTCCTTCTTGGCAGACATAGACAATTTATTTACATCACTTCGCATGTATCCTCTTAACAAAATAAACAAAGTTAAATTGATACACAAGACAAAATGCATGCATTAGAAAGATAAAAATATTAAATATTACTCCCAAACAAAAGATCATATTATTACTTCACATTTTCATGCTTGGATGATAGCTTAACTTCCTGGGATTGTTTTTTTAACTCCCATAATTTCCACATCTCATTTTGTTCCTGGATCTAAAACAGTTATTCCAAACATGTAATAATATAAAACAAGTGCAATTTTCTGGTGTTGCTACACTGATAAAAAGCTATTTGAGATATTCAAAAGAAAGCAATCCATAGTGGTCCACATTCGGTAAGCTTTTACTATACTTGTGATTATATGTACTCAAAATCTTCTGCTGCGGTGGATATATAATAAATGCTACACTATACTCAAATGAGCAGCATAGCAAACTTAATCATTGGAAGGGGGGACACACTCATTAATTCATATATATGCATATTTTGCTATAATAAGTTCCTTTGAAATCAATTGTTTTCTACAAATTAAAACATGCATACCCCAATAAGCAAGTTTTCTACAGCAATGATCCTAACACTCAAGTAGAAAACTGCTCATTGAAATTGCCATTACACAGACCACAAACACCACATCTTTAAACACCATAAGTTAGCTATTTTATTTACCAAGCATGACTAACTACTATACACAAAGCAAACTTAACTATTTGTATGACGCCACAATAAGCCGCATAGGTGAACAATTCTATGCTCGCCATGAATGAGGGATAACTTTTTGCCATAAATTTATCTATTTATGTTCAATTTACCTTGTTATGGGCGTCTGTATGTTTAATGATGTTCTTTAATAACCCTTTATTTACACTTTTCCTCGCGTTTTTCCATTTACTAACATCGTCCATGACTCAGCTAACTGTTGTTTATAACAATAATACAATCCTCATCATGTAGTATGCGAGACGAGTTTGCATCCCCCAAAGGTCGAGCTCGATGCGGGAAGAAATCTTTCTTATCTGTCTATTCTCCTAAACAACAAACAATTGTGAACATCGCCATAACAATTTACTATCAAACGTACACATCAATCAATTAAACAAAGCAAATAATAAATTGTACAGCCAGCACTTCTCTCAAGTTCCAGGACCGTTGCATGTGTGTACATTCCGGCAGAGTTACACAAGACGATTTTTCCAGGAAAAAACTATGTTTCTTCAATGAAGAAAAAAAAAATACTAATAAAATAAAATACTAATAAAATAAGAATTTTGGCATTCGAGAAATGCAAGACGGCTGAATGGATGATGAGGCTGTAATATACTTATTTACGTTGTACTAAAACGTTTAGCCTCCAATACTAACGCAGTATTCTTCAGGCTTTCTGCTCATGTGGACATTGAGTTGATGAAAGTATTTTATTGTGAGATTATTTTAAAGAAGTCAAAGACAACAAAAGAAAAATTTCATGGGCAAAACTTGTATTTTTAAATTTTAATTAAAGAAAACAATAAAGACTAAAAGAAGTTAGCTAAATCCTTTCATGTTTTTATGTACTTATCATGTTTTTCAGTGCTGTAGAACTAAATTTATCAGATGGGGGGCTCTCTTGACGTTTTGATGAATAGTGCCCTTTCAAAATTACCCATTTCAAAGGTAGAAGAGGGGCTCCTTCCCCAAGCGCTCCCCCCTACTTCTACAGCACTGATGTTTTTCCAGTAAAGTCAAACTTACGTCTCGATTGTAGTTAAGGCTAAATCATTATTAGCATTAGCAAAAATTCATAAATAACATTCTCTGAATGATTTTCTGGGCACTTACAGCTAACAAATAAAAGAAAATCCCAATTGCCTCACAGAATTATAAAATGGTTAAAACCTCTAAATATTGAATTTACAACACTGATGAAAGTTGGGAAAATGAAAAACTGATATAAAGAAATACAACCTAAGGATTTAACTTTGTTTTAATAGACATGATCATTACAATTACCCCATATTCGATAGCTCCAAAAATGGTCAAAAGCTGTGTCGAGCTTGCGCATGCGAGCCACTGCAGCGAGTCACTGCAGGCACTGGAACTGAAACAAAGGCAAAAAGTCAAATTTCGCAAAAAAATTTTCTGAATATTTTTTTTAAGGAAAGTCCGTACAGAAAGACACAGTAATAGCCAAAATAGTCGAAGTCGTGTTAATGTGGTCTGTATTACCTGGAGCTATTTTTGCCATTCGCAGGTATCACACTACCAAGAATAGCAATTATCACCTCCTGTTGTGAAAGGTCTTTTTCTGAGACTAACGTAAAAGTTTGTATTATACTATTAGCATATCATTTATTGATGTCACAAAAAAGTTATTCGATTACGTTTTGGCATTCGGTCATTAATTCGAGGAAACATTTAATTATTGGGAAAAATGGATGCCGCTGCAACAACGGATCATATAAAGTTGAAGCAAATGTTTCATAAGTCAAGCGAACGCCGGAAAACTTTAATTTGCTCTTCGGTATCGGTTGCCATTATCGTTCTTGTCGGCGGTGCAATCTTCTTATGTATACTGTGGAAACAGAGTACAGTCAATGAAAAACAAGAATATCGTTTCATTTGTGACACAGTTAATGAGAGTTACGTCAATCACGAGACTGATTGTTGTCAACCTTTAGGGTCAGCCAACTGCAATATTACCTTATTGGAGAGCATACCTCAAAACTTAAGATATCATCATGGTGCTCCAAGGCACATGTCCACTTTCCATGGATGGTTGAAGCTCTTAAACAGAGCCAAATCAAGTGTATATATTGCATCTTCTTATTGGACACTACAATCTGATGACCTGCCAGTGTGGAATCCCAGCTCATGGCAAGGGGAATATATTTTCTCCAAGCTTATCGAAGTAGCCAAACGAGGTATTGCTGCCTATGGTCTTTATAAGTAAATTTTACCAGGCCATATGCTTCCATATAGCAGCGACATTTCCCATTAGCTTCAACCATCTTGAGTATAAAGTTAAATTACAACATTAACAAAGAGAAGTTGACAAGGCAATTGATAATTATTGTAGTTACTCTCTTCATGCCATAACTTTCAGAGGTCACCAGGTAAATACAGTGCTAGTGTACATTATAGCTACAAGTGCTATAATTACACATTTTGACACCCTAATAAGGCCAATGCATTTTAAATGTAATGTTTTGAACTTTATAAAGTAATAGCCAAATTATTTCATCAGACAAAAATCACACTTTGATGGTCATTTTAGGTGTTAAAGTTTACATTAAAATACAATATACTACAATGAATATAGAGAACAAACTTTTTGAATATTTATCATTCATTTACACAGATAGAGATAGAGACGTTTGGCGTAGAAAAGTTCATGGACCGGTCAACCCCCCTGGCGGGGATTAATACTGGCCGGTATACAAATGTTGTTTGTTGTTTGTTGTTGTATTTACACTGATGATGGTATAAGTTTGCCGAAACCTGTTTGTATTAAAAAAGTTTGTTCTCAGTATATTCAATGTATTATTTCAATTGTGCTTCTAAATAAACATCACAATATACCACATTTTAAGGTTCATATGAATACTACTTTATACCCTTAAAGTTATGTGCTTCATTGTGAATAACTTTTTGGGAGTGCATTTCATGTCAAAACATTTACACAAGTCTTGATATACTTTTTCTTTTCAGTTACATTGCGAGATTTGTATACAACTTTGTATGCATTTGCTAGCAAGTTTGTTACTATGTTATGACTACAGATTATATTGTCTTAATTCCTTTTGGCAAGATCTATACTAGCTGAATATCTTCAAATATATAGCATATTATTTATATATTATATATTTTTCATTAATCATAATGGTGACTAGAAATTATTCACAACATATCCAGATATCTGTGTATATATATGTACACAGTTCACCCAAGTGTGATATAATTGTTTTCAGATGCCCAAAACTTTAGTACGTGAAAAATCTGAAACATATTGCATGCAAATAACTACAAATATTAAAATTAAAACGCTAGATCTAGACAGCCATTCCATGTAAAGAAAAAGCAAGCGTTTGTCGTAATGCCAACTGTGCAATGACCAATACAGGGAAAAGTTTAACATAACCCTGATTTTACCAGAATTTTATGGACGTATCTAACGTGGATGCATGTACTTTTGACTTCGATCCCAATTCCCCGTATTGTTACAAACCTTTTAACATCGACTTTTCTTGGAGAGTTGATTTGAAAAAATCAATGTATGTTCATTGTTTTCACTTTACGAAGCTCGGTAAGGAATGACAATTGGGCATTGTCTCATTTGTCTGCGATAATAATGCTAGACACCACGTTGTTGTCGTTTCTTTTATGGCATGGCATTACTTTCGCTTTTCAAATATACATAAAAAGGTGACCTATTTCTGAGAATTGGACGAAGGCGCTCAGATAATTGCAGGTTTAATAAGTTGTTTTCTAATCACCAAATTATCACTAAATTTACGAGGGAATGCGTCCATTAAACAGTAACATTGCCTTTTGGCCCTTATATACCATTTCTATGATTTTGTCGCGCTTAACAATTCCTTCGTGAAGTGCGTTTATTTAGCTATGAGCATGGAAGAGGTTATTCATATTGACTTTTGTTCTGTTATTCTTCAGCATCTAACGAATGAACTAGTTATCTTTAACATAACATAACCAAACAAATAAACTTTGAATGCATGAATGTTGCTTTACACTTGTAAAGATTTCTTAACATTTTCACTAGACGCAAATTTGCGGAAAGGCTTGAAGTTGTAAAAATCGCTTTTTACAGGTGTCGACGTCAAAATTGTACATCAAGTTGATTCGAAAAATCTACCCAATCGAGACCCAAAGATTTTGCAAGACATGGGACTTGCTGAAGTTCGAGTTCTCGACATGACAAGGCTGATAGGAGCAGGGATCATACATACCAAAATGTGGTTGGTCGATAACAAACATTTCTATCTTGGTAGCGCCAATATGGACTGGAGGTCACTTACTCAGGTTAAACATATTAAATAGGGGTTTTGGACCCATTTTGTAGAGTTATTTTAGCATCATTACTACTATGGGGCAGAATAACTGTTGTACCGTTTGAAAACTTGATAGGTCAAAGAACTTGGTCTTCTAAACACGAATTGCATGTGCCTTGCAAATGATATGTCTAAGATCTTTGACATTTATTGGATGATGGCCACATCATACTCGTCAATACCAAAATACTGGCCATCCTTTCTGGACACCATGTACAATAAAGGTGATTTCGTACCCGATCCAAGGTCTTTCTTGTATTGAAGGTGGCATTTTGCATGATCATCGGACATTTTCGTATACATTCATTGATAAAATTAGATAAATTTTAATGACGTTAAGTTAACCGAATGATGCACACACATATCATCAAAAACATTTTCTCCGACATGATTCAACCATTCTGACAGTCTTTTTTTGTTTTCCAGAATATCCACTAGATTTATCGATCAATGGCGATAAGGGTAAAGCCTATCTCTCATCGTCCCCTCCTCAACTTTGTACAAGTGGAAGAACGACGGATATCGATTCGATCCTTGATGTCATATACAAAGCGAAAAAATTTATCCACATTTCTGTTATGGACTATTCCCCAACATTTTTATATACCGCGCAAAAAAGGTAATCAATTTACGCAGGACAGATTGTATTTCACGCGCTAATGGAAGGGGTCTGTCTTGATGGATTAAAACTAAAACATTAGTTGTTTGCTAATATTTAGATATTGGAGCATTATTGATGACGCTTTGCGCTCAGCTGCATACGATCGTGGAGTCCAGGTTCATTTGATGGCAAGCGATTGGGAACACACAATACCTACTATGATCCCATTCTTGAAGTCTTTAGCTAATGTTGGAACAATCGAATCTGTCGATCTTGAAGTGGTATGCAAACTGACAAAGCTTTTTTCTTCTTTTCTGTACAGTTTATTAATTTGCACACCCTAACTGCCTTCCTTGTCGCATTCGTCTCACCCCCAAAGAAAGTTGAGTTTAATTTAAAGTATAAAGATGACATTTCGAGATGAGTTCCTTATTCTGAGGTACAAACATACGTATGGAGCAATCTATTGTTGTTGTTTTCAAGCCTAATATATTTAATTTCATCTCCCTCTCCACGTTTTTGACCTTATACCAGAAACGAAGTCGATTTTACGTTACAGCAAGGAAATTTATACCCACTAATGCTTTATTTCTAATTATTATATGGTAAGCGTCACTTCCTGCGAAATGGCGCGCTTTGATTGGCTCAAAAACATTTTTGCCGGTCCATTATTTTCCCGCGATCGACCACGGTCCAAAACGCGTAATTTTACAGTCAAATGTAAAAAAACAAACTTCGTCATGCAAACAGCAAAACGCAAAATAAACGAAACAAAAAAAAACATTTATGAATGTGATTCGAAGGAAAAACACTTGGAAAACAGTTTGACTATCCAGACGATAGCTACAATTTGAAACGATTTATTTTTTATGGACGAAAACTAGAAAAGTGAAAGGCAACCGGTAAAAAACAGCCAGAACAAAAAAGAAAGCAAGCTTCATTTCAAGTCAAATAATGCCGTATAGTAAACCTTTTAATAACCTCGCTTTCTCGGTCTTTACTGAAAAATATCGAACCTCTGTGTTTTGTACAAACCTCGCCCTACGGGCTCGGTCTGTACAAAAAGACATCGGTCCGTTATTTCTTCGTAAAGACCTCGCGCTCTGTTATTAAGGGCTTAATAATGTGCAAATGCTTTTCTAATTTACTTGGGGTTTAGAGACATCGATTTCATTTTATTGAACAGAGATTATTCAAAGTACCAGCAAGTAAAAGGCAAGCAAGAATTCCATACAGCCGTGTGCAGCACACCAAATATATGGTCACGGAAAACGTTGCATATGTAGGAACATCTAACTGGTCAGCGGATTATTTCGTAAATACGGCAGGGATTGGCCTAATCATCAACCAAACATTACCAGAATTTGAGACTCGACTCCTATACACGGAGATTATTCACAGGCAGCTACAAGATGTGTTCGACCGCGATTGGAATTCGCCTTACACAAAATCAATTTGGTCTTATTAATGCAATCGCGGATAATTAAATTTACACAATTAATTGGTTATCGAATTTAATTTGGTCTAATTACTGCAATTGGGGGCAATTTTACTAAGAATACGATTTTTCTTTGTGACGAGAGAGTTCATTACAAATAATCGAACCATAAAAGTTACATAATCATTGGGGCTATTTTTTATAAAAAATATGTACCGTTCTGCTTTTTATCGTGTACATAATGATTTCAAAGATAAAAATTTTCTAAATCCTAAATGTATTAAAACATTTATCGTAAATCAAGTCTGAATTAAAAGCGTCTTCTACGCTTCTTGAAATAATACGACCTGTTGCTTGTATTCCATACCCTCCCTGCCAAATAGCATTTCTAGTTCATGGATGATAAGAATGTTCAAAACGTAAAAATTAAAATGAACACAGGGCAACAACCATAAAATTTTTATAAGGGGGCCGGGGGGGCACATTTGTAGAAAACGGAATGGAAATTGTGATTTTATTGGCATTTATTATTAACTATTACGTTACTATTTTGTATGCAACAAATACATGTGCTTTAAATTCGACTACAGAGAAACAAAAATTTGATAACACGAGGACCCTTTTTATTATTTTGAATTTAACCAGACAATTTCAAGTATTATTTATTCCATTTTTTCTATTGAATCTTTGAATAACGGACCTCATAGATACACGGGCGAGTGCAGGGTCGTCACGAACGGGGTGGGGGTAATGGGGTGTCAGACCCCCCAATCATCGTTCTGTCGGCAAAACTGTTCATTTATCGATAAATGATCACTAAATTTCAATACGTTTTCAGTAACTTCGCCTTAACCAAGACCATGCCACGCTCACTTTATCGGCAAATTTGACGCTCCGACCCCCCAAAACAAAAACATAGACTTCACTACGCTGCTGGCCGAGTACATGGGTAGCCAGTGGATACAGGCGAGGATAAAAAATCTTGTGATGCATTTAACCAAAAAACAAATCACGAAAAATTTTTGGTGGTTAATTTCCACAATTTATAAATTCAGTATTGCTATATCTTACGTAAAGGGCATCGGAAAACTGACGCTATTTCAAAAAATTTACAATAGTTGAAATAGATAAAATCCCTAAAATATCAGGTTTGTCATTATTCAACGTTGAAGATGGCGGACGTTATCTTGTGCGTTCTAAATACTGCGATAACAATATATTGGGAGGGAAAAACTCACTTTTCTGATTTTCAACTTGAATCACATTTTTTGGCTCACCTGCAAAAAAAACAGTGCAAATTGTGAACTTGACAAACTGTATTTCCTCTATTTAACGCCCGAGACTTGTTATAGCCCCACTTCCTAACCCACCTCCTAACCCTTCCCTCCCCACCTCCTAACCCTTCCCCCACCCACACTCAGCCCCTTTTTATCTCCCCCCGGCCTTCTTCCTTCTAATAATCCCCAACTTGAAAGGTAGCCACTGTTTGTTGGGTGTTCTTAGCTTGAATTTAGCAAAAGGTAAGTTAGAAGACACTGACTTCCATGCTTATGGCTCAAAAACCAGATCATGAGCGAAGAACGCAACTGATCAGATAGAAAACAGTAAAATGGTAAAAAATCTTGTTTGTCAGTGATGTCAGTGATTCAAATGTCGGTGATGTCAGTGATTCAAGTGTCAGCGATGTCAGTGATTTAAGTGTCAGCGATGTCAGTGATTCAAGTGTCAGTGATGTCAGTGATTCAAGTGTCAGTGATGTCAGTGATTCAAGTGTCAGTGATGTCAGTGATTTAAGTGTCAGTGATGTCAGTGATTCAAGTGTCAGTGATGTCAGTGATTCAAGTGTCAGTGATGTCAGTGATTCAAGTGTCAGTGATGTCAGTGATTCAAGTGTCAGTGATGTCAGTGATTCAAGTGTCAGTGATGTCAGTGATTCAAGTGTCAGTGATGTCAGTGATGTCAGTGATTCAAGTGTCAGTGATGTCAGTGATTCAAGTGTCAGTGATGTCAGTGATTCAAGTGTCAGTGATGTCAGTGATTCAAGTGTCAGTGATGTCAGTGATTCAAGTGTCAGTGATGTCAGTGATTCAAGTGTCAGTGATGTCAGTGATTCAAGTGTCAGTGATGTCAGTGATGATGTCAGTGATTCAAGTGTCAGTGATGTCAGTGATTCAAGTGTCAGTGATGTCAGTGATTCAAGTGTCAGTGATGTCAGTGATTCAAGTGTCAGTGATGTCAGTGATTCAAGTGTCAGTGATGTCAGTGATTCAAGTGTCAGTGATGTCAGTGATTCAAGTGTCAGTGATGTCAGTGATTCAAGTGTCAGTGATGTCAGTGATTCAAGTGTCAGTGATGTCAGTGATTCAAGTGTCAGTGATGTCAGTGATTTAGTCAGTGATGTCAGTGATTCAAGTGTCAGTGATGTCAGTGATTCAAGTGTCAGTGATGTCAGTGATTCAGTGATGTCAGTGATTCAAGATGTCAGTGTCAGTGATCAATGTCAGTGATGTCAGTGATTCAAGTGTCAGTGATGTCAGTGATTCAAGTGTCAGTGATGTCAGTGATTCAAGTGTCAGTGATGTCAGTGATTCAAGTGTCAGTGATGTCAGTGATTCAAGTGTCAGTGATGTCAGTGATTCAAGTGTCAGTGATGTCAGTGATTCAAGTGTCAGTGATGTCAGTGATTCAAGTGTCAGTGATGTCAGTGATTCAAGTGTCAGTGATGATTCAAGTGTCAGTGATGTCAGTGATTCAAGTGTCAGTGATGTCAGTGTCAGTGATGTCAGTGATTCGTCAGTGATGTCAGTGATTCAAGTGTCAGTGATGTCAGTGATTCAAGTGTCAGTGATGTCAGTGATTCAAGTGTCAGTGATGTCAGTGATTCAAGTGTCAGTGATGTCAGTGATTCAAGTGTCAGTGATGTCAGTGATTCAAGTGTCAGTGATGTCAGTGATTCAAGTGTCAGTGATGTCAGTGATTCAAGTGTCAGTGATGTCAGTGATTCAAGTGTCAGTGATGTCAGTGATTCAAGTGTCAGTGATGTCAGTGATTCAAGTGTCAGTGATGTCAGTGATTCAAGTGTCAGTGATGTCAGTGATTCAAGTGTCGATGTCAGTGATTCAGTGATGTCAGTGATTCAAGTGTCAGTGATGTCAGTGATTCAAGTGTCAGTGATGTCAGTGATTCATGTCAGTGATGTCAGTGATTCAAGTGTCAGTGATGTCAGTGATTCAAGTGTCAGTGATGTCAGTGATTCAAGTGTCAGTGATGTCAGTGATTCAAGTGTCAGTGATGTCAGTGATTCAGTGTCAGTGATGTCAGTGATTCAAGTGTCAGTGATGTCAGTGAAAGTGTCATGTCAGTGATTCAAGTGTCAGTGATGTCAGTGATTCAAGTGTCAGTGATGTCAGTGATTCAAGTGTCAGTGATGTCAGTGATTCAAGTGTCAGTGATGTCAGTGATTCAAGTGTCAGTGATGTCAGTGATTCAAGTGTCAGTGATGTCAGTGATTCAAGTGTCAGTGATGTCAGTGATTCAAGTGTCAGTGATGTCAGTGATTCAAGTGTCAGTGATGTCAGTGATTCGTCAGTGATGTCAGTGATTGTCAGTGATGTCAGTGATTCAAGTGTCAGTGATGTCAGTGATTCAAGTGTCAGTGATGTCAGTGATTCAAGTGTCAGTGATGTCAGTGATTCAAGTGTCAGTGATGTCAGTGATTCAAGTGTCAGTGATGTCAGTGATTCAAGTGTCAGTGATGTCAGTGATTCAAGTGTCAGTGATGTCAGTGATTCAAGTGTCAGTGATGTCAGTGATTCAAGTGTCAGTGATGTCAGTGATTCAAGTGTCAGTGATGTCAGTGATTCAAGTGTCAGTGATGTCAGTGATTCAAGTGTCAGTGATGTCAGTGATTCAAGTGTCAGTGATGTCAGTGATTCAAGTGTGATGTCAGTGATTCAAGTGTCAGTGATGTCAGTGATTCAAGTGTCAGTGATGTCAGTGATTCAAGTGTCAGTGATGTCAGTGATTCAAGTGTCAGTGATGTCAGTGATTTAAGTGTCAGTGATGTCAGTGATTCAAGTGTCAGTGATGTCAGTGATTCAAGTGTCAGTGATGTCAGTGATTCAAGTGTCAGTGATGTCAGTGATTCAAGTGTCAGTGATGTCAGTGATTCAAGTGTCAGTGATGTCAGTGATTCAAGTGTCAGTGATGTCAGTGATTCAAGTGTCAGTGATGTCAGTGATTCAAGTGTCAGTGTCAGTGATGTCAGTGATGTTCAAGTGTCAGTGATGTCAGTGATTCAAGTGTCAGTGATGTCAGTGATTCAAGTGTCAGTGATGTCAGTAATTCAAGCGTCAGTGATGTCAGTGATTCGTCAGCGATGTCAGTGATTCAAGTGTCAGTGATGTCAGTGATTCAAGTGTCAGTGATGTCAGTGATTTAAGTGTCAGTGATGTCAGTGATTCAAGTGTCAGTGATGTCAGTGATTCAAGTGTCAGTGATGTCAGTGATTTAAGTGTCAGTGATGTCAGTGATTCAAGTGTCAGCGATGTCAGTGATTCAAGTGTCAGTGATGTCAGTGATTCAAGTGTCAGTGATGTCAGTAATTCAAGTGTCAGTGATGTCAGTGATTCAAGTGTCAGTGATGTCAGTGATTTAAGTGTCAGTGATGTCAGTGATTCAAGTGTCAGCGATGTCAGTGATTCAAGTGTCAGTGATGTCAGTGATTCAAGTGTCAGTGATGTCAGTAATTCAAGTGTCAGTGATGTCAGTGATTCAAGTGTCAGTGATGTCAGTGATTCAAGTGTCAGCGATGTCAGTGATTCAAGTGTCAGTGATGTCAGTGATTCAAGTGTCAGTGATGTCAGTGATTTAAGTGTCAGTGATGTCAGTGATTCAAGTGTCAGCGATGTCAGTGATTCAAGTGTCAGTGATGTCAGTGATAGCAAATAACCAGTTCTGTGTTTATTTATCTTATCATTTACTTTATCTTAAACACCTACATTGAAAATCATTAGATTTGTGAAACTTACTTTGAGAAGAAAGGTTTAGGTATTGACAAATTCCATGAATAATGAGTCGATCCATACTACAAGTGATCAGGTATCAGATATTAACAATTGTATAAGCTTGACTATACATGCAGAAATACTCCAGCTATGAAAATATTGAATCATTGCCATAGTCTGATTTTATAGGAATGTATTGCTTGTATAGCAGTAGCACCAAATTGATAACATATGTATTTTGAGTAGTTGAGCTGGCTATGATACTGAATAAATGCTATCATAAAATGATAACTATGATAGTCTTTGCAACAGTTGCTGCACCATCTGCATTATAGAGTGTATTATAAATACCACTGGCAGTTGTTGAGCAAATGTATTTTTAAGCGCATGTACATACCTTGAAGGTATTAAGGAAATAAGAACAGTTTCCTGTGTCTGATTGAAGAAATATAGCAACTCTTGTTCAAAATACTTGAGGCCGGACTAAATAGATAAATCAACAATTACATTTAAACAATAACTGAGAGTAGTAATCCCTATTAAGCCATTAATCAACTGATGATATTTGCCAAACTTTGTACCATGGAAATGTTTCTGCCCTTCAAAGTGGATTTGATCTTGTGTTCAACATTTTGAAAACATTTCGAAGCAATTCCAAAATCTGCAATTGATATAAAATATAATTAAGACAAAGGTTTAACTGAAGCATAAGTTTACAATGTTAAACATAGCATATAACCTGCTTGAATGCTGGAAGTTTGTTGTGAAACTGTTATTTTATAATCATTTCCCTGGGATAACTCATGAAGATATTGATCTTGATCTTCACCTTTGAGATTCATAAATGCATTCCATCTCTGAAAAATTAATTGAATACAGGGCAATAGAAGCTTTTTTTAGTGGCTTGAACATAGCAGAAATATATTATCTTCAGCTGACCAATTAACACATTTCAGGTTGATGAAAATTTTTTTAACATCTGTTATTCTATTATTTTAGTCTGTAGTTATGGCAATTTGAGCAAAAGATCAAAACAAAATTGGAATAAAATAGTTTTCAATTTCAGCAGCACTACCAAAAGTACACTCCAAGCAACAATTTTTCATTCTTTCTTTTTGTGATACATTATATTGGTGAAACAAAAAATCAAACACTTTACCAGAATTTGGATGTAAAGAAGAATGTTTACTTTATGGGCTTTGTTGTTAGTTTTATTTGCTTCTTTGATATTACAATTTGAAAACAATGTTTCATTGGTCTACTTAAAAGTCAATTAAAAGGGTCAAGAAACAGTGTCCTGCAATTTCTTATCCACTTGATGATCAACCAATTGGTCAGATTGATTATTAAAATGTTGTTTGTTTTAGTGTGCACAATAGCATGATAGTGCGAGCAATTTTACTAGGAAAAACGTTTACCAGCTAAATTTGTTGATGCGAACTTAACTTAAAAAGGAGGTTTATTAGCAGCAAAAATTCATGATCAACCTTACCTTCAATTGTGATTCATTCTGAAAAACCTTCTCAAATGCTGATGCCGATTGAACCATGAAGTCTGCTATATTCAGGTCACCAAAATCTTCACATTCAATCATTTGTGCAAGAAAGTTAGCTGAAAAAAACACACGGAATGTATTAAAAAAGCACACAGAGACCAAAGATATAGCAAGTGTGGTTGTATGTGTATGAGAATGATTCATATACATGTATTGGTAGTTGATGTTTAAAAATTTATTCAAATTTTTAAGTTGTAGTTTCCTTGTTTCTGATAGTTGGTCATGATGCCACAATGTCAAGATGTAATTCTAACCATAATGGAAAAGATAATTCATTCAACCAACATGAAGTAGAGTAAGTTCAATGGATACCATTCTCAAATTTCCGTGAATTACAGCATCCCTTTGCTTTTCGCCCGGTATTTTTTATATGAGACTGTGGTCTTGCTGCTTTTGATGATTTTTGCAAACTGTTGTTCCGTCTACGTCTTCGCTGATTATTTCTTTCATTCAAGTCAAGTGCATGAGATCTACACAAAAAATTCTTTTACTGAATGAATAGTATATTTTCAACTCCTGTTTCTAAAAGAGTAAAAAGACTGCTGCATAGACATAAAGCACTTTACACAAAACATTAAAATGCAATTGTAAAAAAAATCGCAGAAAGATACAATCAATATTTTTCAACGGATGATAAAATCGTTCAACCATATAGTAAACACTGATAAATTGATAATATATTGAATATATTACTAGCACGAATAAACAGCGTACATTTCAAATGAAGAGTCTTGGTCGTCATCATCAATCACATAATTCAACAATTCAGCTCTTTTACGGCAATCCGGGGTGTTTAATACACCCATAGGTATCAATAAATAAGCTAAAATTAGGAAAATAATAAGGCCCGTATATTGTTGTTGTCGGAACACTAACGTGGACGCGGTACTACGCGCGAAAAATTATCAAACTCCCACGCAAACGGTGACTCGACGCGTGAAATATGACTATTCATCTCGTACTAAGTTTCATAACAATAATATATTTGTGGCACTGCCTTTTGGTTCTTCCATGTTTGTTTGCTAACTTGTTCTGCTTGCTTCACATTTCAAAGTTTGGCCGCAACTTATTGCGTTCTCGAAAGTCGTTATATTATAAATGTACTTATTAGTCAAGCGTTTTTAATTTGCAGTCTACGCGAGTAAAGATAGCATTGATTTTGACTTTTTAAGTCGACATACCTATTCAACTATTAGGGTTTAAAATATATTTATGCCATGCATACCCCGTTTAAGGAAACTATGTTATATGTTATATTTTGTCTTATATTTTTATTAACATAAGTCATAAGCGCCAATAATTGCAAAATAATTCGCAACAGGAAATAGCAAAGAACAATTAGAACATCTGCACATGCTCTTTCCAAAGGGCAAATAAACAATGCAAATATGGAGGCCGACACTGGCGATGGAAGTGATCTGGCGAGTGATGTTTCTAATTCCAAAGTACAGGCCAGCACTGGAGTAGAGTCAAGCGGACCTGAAGACAACGAACACGATGAAGACGAACTACCGAGCGCACAATTTATCAATAGTGTTTATTTTAAACGTTTAATTGAAGTGTCGGTCGTTGTAAGTGCTATCTCAGTAGCTATGAACAGTAAGAAAACGTTTAAAGAAGTCAAACAACTTTGGTATGTTACTCTAACGCTTGACGTTATGGTCTTAATTTTATTTCTTATTGAATCGCTCGTGGAGATGAAAATACTCGGTTTATGGAAAGACGAAAAGGCCTTTTTTAAGAACCGATTCAAGATTTTCAATCTGACAATGCTAATCTTTATTTTAATGTCAGTAGTTTTGCAAATTATTGAAGGACCCTCACTTTCTGGTCATGTTCCAGAATTCATGAAAATAATCGCCCGAGCACCGAGATCGTTCATTTTGTTTCGTGTTTTGAGGTACTTGGTGAATTATTCTTTATTAAATCAAGTCTCGAGACGTTCTGGAAAGCAAATTAGGAATGTTGCATTATTTCTGTCGTATTTTATGATGCTTGCCTCGCTTATTGGCGTACAACTTTTTGGGAAGAAAAGTTACTATTGCGTTCGAGATGGTGCAAACACGGCGAACATTACGTACAAAGACCTTAATTTACCTGAGTTACGGTGTAATAATGACACTAATGCGAACAGGCCATGTCCCGAAGGGTTTGTTTGTGAAAGTTTGAAATTGTCGTCGACGCAAAAAACGACTTACTTTGAAAATATCTGGTACAGTTTTTTAACGGTCTACGAAAGTTCCACGCAGGAGGGCTGGGTGCTTGTCATGTATGCACAAATGAAAAGTCAAAATTACTACGCAAGTGCAGTGTATTTTATATCTCTTATATTCTTCGTAGCCTGGTTAGTGAAAAGTGTATTTATTGCTGTGATAACGGAGACATTTGCTGACTTGCGTTCACAGTTATATCTCAAGAACTGGCGTACAAACCGTCGCATAGCAGGTTTATCTTCGGAGATTATTCAGGACTATGGAATGGGTTGGCATTTAGTTGCAATTCAGGACGAGTGGACGAAGACTGAGGCTTTGAACAGATTCAGAAAGTTCCTCTCCTCTAAATACTTTCGCTATCTTATTTGGTCGTTGTTGGCGATAGATGCTGTACTTCAGGCAATTTTAGGATCGGGAAGGCGTTACATTTCAAAAATAGTATTTACAATAATATTTGACATAGAAAGTGTTTTTAAGATATGGTGTGTTGGTATAAAGAGCTACTGGAAAATCCCAGTCTATCGTTTTGAATTATTTCTGGCGGTCGGCAGCACCATCTTTATAGCAGAAAACAAATTAATGGAACCCGACATCTTCGTTGCGTTTCACGTTTTACGCATAACACGTTTGATCATCGCCGTTCCAAGCCTGAACGCTTTCCTGCATAAAGCTTTTGGAACAGGAACTAAAATAGGCGCTGTTCTTATCTTTACCTTGTTCTTGTTGGTCTTCGCCTCAATTCTGAGTCTGCAATTGTTTTCAGGATTAGACTTTGGTGAAGGCGAGGATGCTCTCTTCGATGACTATATTAAATCGTCATCGTCCATGTTTCAAATTATAACACAAGAAGGTTGGGTAGAAGTTTTAGATACAGTTAAGTACGCTACAAAACCATATCTCGCTCCGTTTGTGAGCATTTATTTTACAAGTTACAACCTTTTTGCCTCGCTCATTCTTGGCAGTGTTCTCATTGCTGTAATTCTAGATAACTTGGAAATAAAAGAAGAAACAAAAATTTTGAAACAGCATAAATTGGGGGAAGAGGTATTGAACATTCAAGAAAGCTTACCAAAACGGCTTCAGATATTTGGTAAGTTCAAAGAAAGCCCTAGATTAGTCCAAACTTCGAAAATTTCAAACGATTTTCCAGTACCCAAAGTGCGACAGAGTTTCATGAGGAAATTTTTAGACGATGGACGCATGCGTTTGTCTCGTTTTACCTCCAACCCTAGTGTTTATGAAGATGCATTGATGACGCAAAGAAACAATATACCTTTCAAATTGCTTAGTTCACCTGTGCCCGATGATGTTCACACATTGAAATTAAAGAAACGTACAAGTCTTACCCAACTAATTCAAGACTCCACACGAAGACGTAATCACACCGATCACACGTCTACACAAGGAAGACATGCGTCTAAATCATATTTGTTAGGCTACACAGCTCGTCAGATAAACCGCAATGCAGCGAAGTTAACTCAAGGTGCACGAAAGACGACTGAAAGAGCGGATATCAGTACGTTGCGGCAGATGAAGAATGAAAGTGGCCATGGAATGACAACGCTATCACATAGCAACGGTGGGACCACAGGTAACGAGAACTGGAACATCCGGGAATTGCGTGCACGCCGAGAGCAAGCTCAAAGAGTGAAAGCGGCACGTGAAGAATCTCTGCGAGAGAATCATCCATATTTTGATTTCCCACTATTCCTTGTACCACGTGACAGTCAATTTCGTCGATGGTTGCAGCGTATTGTGCATGCGCGGTATGAGATCTCAGGCAATAACGGTGAAGTTCAATCCAAACGTCTTGTGATCAACGATGCATTGATTAAAAGAGTTTTATCAACACAAACTTATTTAGAATGGGCGATTATTCTCATTACATTCTCATCCTGTATCGCAATGATGTTTGAAAGAGATAATTATAGAACATTTAGCGTACCCGCTCTCAAATCTTTCGAGTATCTCTTCGTGGTCTCCACGACTATCGAGTTACTGATTCGTGTTCTCGCTGATGGTTTTATGTTCACACCGAATGCAGTTATACGGAATTTCGGGGATGTTGTGGACATATCGATTTATTTAATTGGCGTTATATACGTGTGTTTATCGCCTGAAAACATCCCCCGACTCTCGCCACAGCAGTTTTTATTGATTTTACGTGCTTTGCGTCCCTTGAGAATCATAAACTTGATCCCAAAAACCAAGCAGGTGATTCAAGAGTTATTTGGAGGCTTTAAGGAAATCCTGAAAGTTGCCGTTTTGCAGTTATCAGTGATGTTCATTTTTGCTAGCTATGGTTTGCAAATGTTTCAACATATGCTCAAGAAATGTAATGATGACGATCGTAACCCGGATCATTGTAAAGGTGTATTCTTCACAACCTTGAAGGGACCGGGAGAGATACGAAGCCTTTCAGGAAGTGAAAACCAACTTCTTGTCCCGCGCGTGAGTCAAAACCCGAAGAATTTCAATTTTGATGATATTTGGCACGCGTTGCTTGCATTATTTGAAGCTCTTTCACTCGAGGGCTGGTTGGACATTCGAAATGTCATTGAAAACAGAGAGAGCCTTGTGGTATATGGAGTGTATATTCACGGTTACGTATTAATTGCTTCCATGATTGGTCTTGCTCTCTTTGTTGGTGTTGTAGTGAATAACTTCAATGAGAACAAGGGTACTGCATTACTTACTGTGGACCAGAGAAGATGGGAGGATTTGAGAAAGAGATTACGTCTAACCCAACCCCTTCATCTACCATTACGACCTGATGATAGTCCTATCCGTTCCCGCTTGTACGACATTTTGCAATCGAAGCGTTACGCACGACTCAATGCATTCTTGGTTGCGTTGAATTGTTTACCTCTTGCAGTCGTTCCGTGGATTGTACAACCGAGTGATGATTTAACAAAGTCGTTAATGTTGCTATCTGTTGTACTCACTATTTTTTTTGTCGTTGAATGTATTGTCAAAATTGTTGCTTACACATTTAAAGGATACTGGAGAAGTCGTAGAAACCGCTTTGACTTTACCTTAACAGTAGCTGGTGTAATGTGGATTATTCTTCATCTGTCATTTGTCTATCATGGTAATCATCGTACAGAGCACAGACCAATCTACGATGGAACTATTTGGTTAGGTGTTGGTGTCATACTGTTTCGGTTTCTTAGCCTGTCTGGTAAGCATGATACATTGAAGATGCTAATGATGACAGTTGTAATGAGCCTGGTGAAGAGTTTCTATATCATATTCGTGTTGATATTAATTATGATGTCGTATGCAATGATTGGAGTGATTTTGTTTGGTACCGTTAAACATGGCGCAGGGGTCACTCCCGATGCTAACTTTGAAGATAGCATTAGTGCCATGATTGTTCTGTTCCGAATAACTACAGGTGAAGATTGGAATAAGATAATGCAAGATTGTAGGAAAGAAAAACCGTACTGTACGGAAATATCAGGTGAAGATTACTGGGAATCTGATTGTGGTTATCAATTTGGTGCGATATGTTATTTTATATCGTTTTACGTAATTTTGACATTTGTTTTGCTAAACCTTTTAATTGCTGTTATTATCGAAAATTTCTCGCTATTCTATTCGAGTGAGGAAGATGCAGCTTTGAGTCATCAAGATGTTTATCAATATCAATTAACTTGGAATCTTGTTGATCAAAACCGCAAAGGCTTCATCACAGTTCGTCAAGCTCGTTTGGTGTTAAGATTATTACGTGGTAAACTTGGTGTTGACTCCTCGACGTTTCTTTACAAGCATATTTGTTTAGAGATTGAAAAGCTTCGTGGAGGTCGTGACGTATCTTTTCACGATCTTTTGGACATTTTAGCTTACCGTTCAATCGAAGACATTTCACGAAGTTTACAGTTGGAAGAGCTGCTGGCTCGTGAGGAACTCGAGAGATCAATCGAGGAGGAGGTGGCTATACAGACTATACGCGACTGGTTTTTAAATCTCAAGAAGGAGAAAGCGATGCAGAAAGAGCGTGGCTTCTCTTTTAGTAACGCTAGCTCCGCGTCAAGTGTGGAAACATTTTCCAGCGAGGAAGAAGCACCAGAACAACCAAACAGGCTTTCTGTTAAAGGTTTACAAAAGCGAAATATGGGGTTGAAATTGGTGATGGGTACCTCTCGCGAGACGGCAAAAGCCAAACTTGAGCCAAAGCAGAAAAAAGATGATGACACAGAGTTAGATGCATGGTTTAATGATCAAATCAAATAAACATGGAAACACCAAGATGAGAGAAAAATTTATTTACTTTTTTGCTTGTATTTGGAATGTAGTCATAGATGTTATCTTTCATTATACAAAGTTCAACCTTCTACATGGTTATATATTGAAACCCGATAAAATATAAGTCAATGAACTCCGGCCCAGATGATGGAATATGGGTAACATCAGGTTCTTGTGGGATGGTGCAAGTTCGAAATTTCGATAAACTTCAGTACAAGTCTCAACATGTAGTAGTGCACAAAAAGTGTAAGATTCATTTTGGAAGTTCCTTATTTACGGAAACTCACTTATTTTGGAATAGTTGCATGGCAAGCATGTCACATTAAAGTATGAAAGAGCTTGGGTTTATAGACCAAAAACTTTTTTAGCGTAATTTGCTTGATACTGTATCCAGACACTTGAAAGTGTTTCTTTCTGCATTAGTAGATCTTGAGAAATATTTTATAAACGTGACGTGAATGCAGTTTGTAGAATCATCGAAGAACATTCTCTTAACTAAATTTAAATGGACGCATTCAAACACGGAAATCGTTATATAATTGAAAAACTTATAGTATGCTAAATATGTAATGAAATATATAAATGAAAATGTACAATTAAATTACAAATGAACTTTTGCACTCTTACAAATGATGTCGTAGATGGGAAAATTAAATTATTTGCAAATATAAAGTAATATAAGGCTAAATTAATAAATAGCTTAAAAACACAAATGAGATGTACAAAAGAAGAAAAACAGAAATGTACGAGCGAAACTATATATATATATAGAATCATACTAGGTACCTGGAATACAAGGAAGAAATATCTAGTACTATATCAATATCTCTATTATTACCGAGTAAACGTGGTCATCCTTTCTCGTAAACTGGTGCTACGTAATGAGCAACAGCCAACCGCCTTTTTCATTTTGTGTTGCTCATGCTGCGCCTTTCTGAAAACGATATTTTTGGCAAATTTTACTTAAAAATCAAAAGTCTCAAGAAAGGATGACCATCTTAAATATTTCAAGATCATAAGTGCTATGAGAAACATAGTACATCTACGCAAGCTTTAAAACATTTAGAGAAAAGAATCAAGTCATATTCGGTGCGTATTCTGCTGGTTGATTTTGAAGGACATTTTGGAGTTTGGCATAGTCTAGTACAACAATGAGTAGCAAATGATAGGTATTTGATAACGTTGATGTTGGAAAAATCAAATAAAACCTTGGGTACAGAAATATCAAGTTAATTTCCAAGTCGAATGTTAATGAATAAAGAGTTAAGGCCATGCACAAGAAATTTTGTGCACCTCAAATCTTCATTCATCAGGATCCATTTCGGAATCCGTCTCCACTCTGCGGCATGAATCGAAGTAAATTCAAAATGACAATGGCAAGGAAGAGATCAGATAGACTGGTACATGCAGGTTCGTCTTAGAACTTTATGCACTCTGTTGGCTTTCGAACTGATCAAGTAAGTCTGTAATTTACAGGAAGATGTAGTCTACACAATCACACCAGCATAGTAAGTTTTCGGATTTTTCTTCCTGGTCGAATACTGTAAGTCTAAAACATTGAATTGAAGATTGTTTTTCCTACTTCAGAAGTTCAAACTTGTCAGTGATTGTTTTGAAGATAGACAGTCTGGAAAGTGGTGATTTTTTTGATGGAATTTAACGTCCTCAGCGTACAAGGATGGCTCGTTTGTTTAGGTACTCCAAAGAAGACTGTAAATAATGTAAATGAGACATATATCCTGCAATTTAGTTATAAGCAAACAAAACATTAGAGAGATCTTGTCACACCATGACAAAGCTGTTTTTTTTTAGAATTGCATGTTCCAAAAAATCAAAGGCTCTTGCAAAGTTTGGGTAGATGTTTGTTTGCGTATTCCATTCCAAATTCTGACCATTATCATAAAGGTCATTGGAGGAAGGAGCGGTTGCGAAGAAAACTATGTTGCCAAGACTAATGAGGTACGATACATCTTTATAAAAGTAATGCAACGTTCCGTGATTTTACTGACGATAGGCAATAAAGAAACAAGTCTGTAGTTTTTCACTGTCTTCTTTAAATTCTCATGTCATTGAGTCACATGAGCTGATATTTTTATCATAACTCCGAAAAGGCTTCGGGTTGTAGCATAAGATAAATTTTTAACTTTGGAAAGATAATCTCGATGTTTTCTTTTAGCAAGGCTTTTAACAGTTTGACTTAAACCATGTAATTTTCTTTTTCAATATTCAGTTCGACTTTGGCGATAAAATTTGAGCACGAAATACTTTATATTTGTGAAAATGTCTTCAGTCTCCATGGAGGGTGGTGAATTAACGTCTTTATTCGAATAAGTTTATATACTGCTTACTGCACTCAAAAAAATTCTCTTCATTGAGCCCAGCATTCATTGATTAATGGAAACCAGTAACACACTGTCCTGATAAATTGTTGGAGCAAGTTGTCACCAGCCAAGTAACAAAATGCTCGTTTTAATTGTCCCCGGCATTGTTTGGTCTAATGACCAGTTTGTAGAACGTGGAACAAAGTCGCTCATCAAAAAAACACAAGTAGATTCTGAAGAGACAAATTTAGATGACGAACATTTTTGATTCATTATGTTCCGTTCTGAGTTCAAAAACAATTCAATCTGAGTCAATCTATATCTAACCAAGAAGTGACATCTAATTTATACTTTACAGTCACAAGAGCATGACCACCAAATCTTCCTATTCTGTCATGATGAATCACATAATCTGGTCGACTTCACAATTCTAAGACGATATCGTCAACTCACGTTTCATAATACGACATCAAAATTTGCACTGTAAGTAAGATGTTGCAATAAAATTGTCTTCCATACATGTGATGTTAATATCATTGGTCAGGATCGATGACGAACGTTTTTAAGATTTCAGCGTTATACGAGTCCATTTTTGCGATGTTGATTTGAGAAGAGTTTGACTACAGATTTATGGCAGCCAGTCAGAATAATAACACAAGAACTAATGGCGGTATGTTAGGAGGGTCTGCAGGGTAATACCATAGCAAAGATGGGTAGTTGAGCTTGGGTACGTCACGATTAGCAGTCCAAAGCCAACAAAATTTCCCAAGCAGTCATTTTCAAAGTTTATACAATCATCCACATTATTGCACCGTTGAGGAACACATCCAGCCGATCCGAATATTGTAACCCAATAAAGTTATTGTACACAATGTTTAATAATTCCCAATAGTTATTAAGATTGTTGCTTTTTCAATACATAATGTACTCGACCCAAACCCTAACCTCTCGGCTAGCCATTGACAATTCCAATAATTTATTGATAACAACAAAATTTATTGGTTACAACATTCGGATCGAATGAAACATCCATGTTTAAAACGAAACCAAATAAATGATATAAAATACAAATTTATACAACCAACACAGAGGCGTTGAGAGTATTTCCAAATAAGGATCGAATCAATAATAGAATAAAAGTTCTCTGATTTTTTAAATTTTACTGGTTTTCTCTCTCGCGAGCTTTCGGCTACCAAACTACAGTTTTCAACGGGTGAATAGTAAATGATTATTTCATCACAGAACTTTTATTTTATCATTACATCCACAACTGGTTACACATATATTATTCCTATGAAATCTCTAGTCCAGTGGTTTGAATTTCCTCGCATGCATTTGAACATATGGCCAATTGAGCTATATAAGACCTGGATGATACAAGTCATATAGAACTCAGTTGGTTTCAGCATGCAAATGACTGAGGTTTGCGTTTACGTTCAAATCTCAGTGAAAGTATTACTCAAGTAAAGCAAACAACACAAAAAAACTGGAAGCATAGTGGCGTAGCCAGTCAACAAATTTTTTCATGCTATGTAATTGTTTCATCATTAGCGATATTCATTAGAAATCTACTGTTGTTTTTACAGTGAGTGCACACCAAAATATTTTCATAGCATAAAGAAACTTGCTGTGACGCCACTCGTTAAAACTGGAAAAATTCCAAACATTAATTTAACGATCAAATGCAAGTAAGGGTCGTTTCGAAAGAAATCTTCAGAATTTTAAATGAAAATTGACAAAATTTATCAAAAGTAGATTAACATTAACCCAAAGCAAGGGGGCAGATTACGAAATGTGGTGTGAGGATGTGACACCTCCCCCTGCTTTTCGTGAGATATTTATAAAAAGTAAGTCCAAAAACTGATAAACTAAGATGAACAACTAAAGTCTGTTCAACTGAAACTGTGTTTTTTTTCTGAACACTTTTCTCAAGTCGCTTCCAGAACATTGAAACTCCTTCAGTTATTCTCCTAATCTTAGGTAAAATACATCAAAAATTTCATCACACTTTGTTGCATGAAATTTTTTCTTTGAAAAACAAAATTCAAAAAAATTGTATAAATTAAGTAACATTGACCGCACAACTGTTAGGTCGATATGGGTTGTGAATTTTCAAATCACCTGTTAATTGTTCTGTTAACAGAAGGTCAACAACTACAGCAAAAAACCAGGCCAAAATTGAATTCCTGAAAATGAATGTCTGCTAAGACTACTCTATCTTACGTGGTGTTTTCCCTAAGGAAGCGTTTCACCAACAAAATTTTATGCTCAATCTAGACAAGAGTAAAATGACTGGTGCAGCCTTTCTGGATGTGGTCTATGCAAGTGAAACTGATGATTGTGACCTGTATGCTATTAAAGAAATTAAGAAATTGTCACTCGCTATTTTGTAACATCTAACTGGAAACTTCATATCCTAATTTAATAAAATTAAAGTTTGTGCTCTTCAAGGAAGTGTAACAGCTTCCTTTTATTCATCATTCAAATTAATGATCTACCCACAGTCTCAAAGAATTGTGATGTATCAGAAAGGATAACACATTTATTTTTTTTGTGAAAACTCCACAAAAAAGATTCAAAATAAATGTGTTGAAAACGAACGAAGTTCTGATAAACATATGCTGCCTTAACTCTTACTTTCTAACTTTCTAAATTTTAGATGCAATTAAGACAAATATTATGACATTTGCAATCAAACCAGATCACAATAAAAAATGTCGAAAAGTTTCAAGATCCGACTCAGGGACGACGCTACCGGGGGATGTTGGGGTGCAACACCCCCCAAATCAAAAATTAAAACAAAAATCAGGTAAAAATCAGGTATAAATCGGGGGTGAAAATCATGTGGTAAATTAGTACGATGCTTATATAAATTATTGCTAAAACCATCAATTTAGATAATTCCAACTGGAAACTGCTGCGTTGGTTGCCAGTCTTAAATTACTGGCATGTAATATGTGAGAGTGGGTATATTTTTGATGCCAGTTAAAATTTAAACATTTTAAATTGACCATTAATGTAAATTAACAAAGAAACAGTAGTTACAACACCTGTTTGAAAACCTGACAGTTGATATGTTATAACCTGCACAATGCATGAACAATGTATACTTTGTAGGAAGTATAGACATAAAGTAAACAAAACATTGCATTATTTCGACTTTCGATGACTAACCTTGAGTTACCTACGCAATAAAATTTTAGGCGAACGAATAAATGACTGATTCTTTCCGAAAAAATTCAGGTAAATTTAAAAAAATCGTCAGGTAAATATTTATGACACCCCCCACAAAAAAAGAAATCAAGGTGT